GAAATAACCAATGGGCCTTTTTCAAATTTCAAGTAAACAGTTCCTTTTTTCCCATATGAATTTTAATTTGTTTGCCTACTAATTTACATTATTAGCATTGTTAACATTTCTTTATGATTTTCACATTTTCATCAGTTTACATACAATAAATTATTTTATTGATATTTTCTAAAAGCCACGTTCTTTCATCACGTAACCAAACAATTGAAAATCGACCACCCTATTATCAATAGTCAATTATTTATGAGATCAAGAATGTTTATAGCCATCTTCTTTAGTTGGTACTTTTTTATGGAAAAACAATAAACCCATTTTACCAGAAAATATCTGTTGAATACAAAGGAAGACAGGTCAGTTCTTGATATAATATTAAAATGAACATCATTTTCAACTGGGTAGTAAACATATATGTTTTAAGCGTATCAAACAGATCCAACTATTGAACATAGCAAGATATTTTTATTGATTAATGTTAAATTATCGTACACCAAATAAAATAACTCCACCTGGGGCCCTTCTAGGGTAACTGCCGTTCTCAAGGCAGGATAAAGGAAGAGGGTAGGGCATGGGGTTAGTGACCCCATCCCGTAGAAATCCAAATACCTAAGAAAAATGCTAACCAGAAAAATAGTTCGCTGTTCGCTGACCTATGCTCCATGAAGGTTATAAGGTAGAAGTAAGCATGTAAAAAGCACCAAATAAAATACATTTAAGAATATTAAAGATTCCAATTGTGAAAATTAGAACAATACATAGGCGAAAAATATTGTTTTCGATTAGATTTTCATCAGGCTATTAAGAAACTTAATCTCTATTGCCGGTACGTCGATTACAGATTCATCATTGTAGATCAGAACATCAGTGAAGAAAAAATCCTTGAACAATTCAACAGCGTACACTTGGCAGTCACTTTCACTGATGAAGAGGAGTATGCTAAAAAGCTGACTTTCCTTGATGCCACACCAAGCAAGCGAAGTAATGACTCTCTAAGTAGAAGCGTATACAGAAAAAATCCCGCTGCTTGTCAATACACTCACTTTTTTAATTTTACACCTGTCCGCTACAAAAGAAATTTGGTTATATGTCTCACTAGCAGAGCTGGAATTCATCAACAGCTAACTAACCGAAATCAGCTACCCTAGTGCGTTCTTAAAGAAGTATTTGTACAACCCAAAAAAGAAGCCGGAGACTTCGACTGTTCGAAAAAGCCATTATTTATTTAATTACAATTCAACGGATATGTGGCCTAAGGTACTCTGAATGACAGATTAATGAGAGTAATTAGTAGAACATTCAATTCAGCCAAACTTGCGTTGACCTTCTCAAGTTGACCAGCGATGTCTACTCAAACGAAGGATAAGTTACCTGAGTTGGCCTCCTCTGTGTGCATTTACAAATTCAGCTGCTCCTGTGTAGATAGCTTTATCGGATGTACTACCAGGAAACTTAACCAACGAATGAGTGAACACCTCCCAGCAGGGTTTTTGAATGGCCAGTAAAAAACAATACTTACTTCTATCTTAGCACATCCGGTTGATAGTGGTCATAGTGTAGATAAGTCTAGATCTTTTCGAGTGGTCTATCGCATACCTCCATCATTTCTCAACGGAGTTCGATCCCGTCTCCTACACACGGCAGAAGCCATAGGAATTCGTACATTCAACCCTAATTTATGTGTTCAGAAGAAATTCGTCACACCCCTACCTCTTCCATGGCCGGATATGAATTAATTAATGTTAAAAAAATTTTTCATTTTCATTTCGTTATCATTAGCATTCTTTCCACATCCTGGATCTGTAATTTTCTGCCTCTGCTCGTTTATATCCTTCACTATCTAATTATGTACACACCTCTTATTGCGTAATGGTTTTAATGTTTTGTAATGATTATTTTAAGTCTATTTATTCACGTTTGACCTATTATTGATAAAACTTTTGTTATGGTATTTTATTTTTATTACTACTATCAGTACACCTGTCTTCCTACTATCCACTTGTACTGTTGCCTATTATGTGTAGTGAGTGACATAGTCTATTTCATTTCATTGTGATTATTGACTCAAATTGCCTTGATTGGTTTAACAGTTTCATATAAATATTCATGTATATTAGAGTAAAGCCTGATGACGATCTAATCGAAAACAATATTGTTCGCTTATGTGTTGTTCTAAAATACATGTTTGTCATTTAACTATACACCTATCCACTTTGTACCATTTTCAGTTGAAAAAAATCAATCAATTTTGAATTATGAAACAGTAGACTTGTCAAGTAATCCAGTGACTGAATAGATAACTTATTATTAAAACAATTCATTATTGAAAATAATTTTTTATCTACATGTATTTAATGATGACTGTTAAATGTGTGGAATACCTGTAGAGTTTTTTTACATATTCAGATAATTATTCCTGTTGCTTAAAGATTTTTATGTGTTTTTCGATACGAAAATAGGATTTTTATGCAACCGTAAAACGTAAAATGTCTTGGAGCTGAACAATGATATTCCCCTATTACTTTGTAATAACTATTTTACGCCGTAATATTTGAATTTATTGGTAATGAATTTCTCATAGTTGATCCGAATTAATACTTAAGAATTTTGTACTAACAGTATATTTTCGAAAATAGTAAAGTTCTCAGGGTATTATTAAAGTGAGTGAAGAAAATTTGTCAAAATTTCTAAAATCTACAGTAGCCATGTAACGAGTCATTTTTTATATTTGTTTCCTATGGAGAATATCATTTCGTTAGGCTTTCACAGTGAAGGATGAAACTGTTATGCTTTCTCTAAATGATGTGAAATATTTTTTAGGTCCTACTTTAAACTTCAAATATATCCAAAGATATTTATTGATAAAAAGTGAAGTACAGGGAAATTTTTAATACATTGATGAGCTGATCTCGTTTCTATGCTTCTTCATAGTATTATTTTCAGATTTCTGCAGTCAATATTTAGCATAAACCTTTAGTTGAGTAACGATTTAAATCTAACATTCGAACTTATGTTTGTGCTAATGTTTTAGTTTGAATTTATATATATGGGTAAATTGACCTTAAGTAGACTTGATATAATGCATTGTAACATTTATTCATGAGATTAATAGTTTCATTTTCAATATGAACTGAGGAAACGTCTACCTACATAAAAATGAAGTATTAATATAGGCTGTTAAATTTTGTTTTGATTTATTGGCTATTAGTGCATGATAATTGGACATGTCGGTTATAATTTACTACCACACCAAACAGGTTTTAAAACAGTAACTTTTTGGTATCAGTACTAAGGTGGGACAAGATAATTGCAAAGAAACTGAGTATTGATTAAGAAGTGATGAATAATAAAATAATTATAATTTCTGGTTACATTCAAATGAATAATAATTTGTTTTTCCAACTTTTTGTGATTTCATGCGAGTCACATCTTAACAGTAAATAAACAAATAACCGAAGCAAATCATCACAATTTCAAATAGTGAAAAATAAACAAAGTTGACTATTTTTATTACATTCAAAATCATGATAGGCTTGAACCTAACAATGTCATGTTATTTTCGGTCATGGTAATACTTGTACGAAACTTGTGTATTAGAAGAGAAGTAAGAAAAAATCATGTAATTTGTGACATGAAGTAGTGGTGTTAAAAAGTAGTACAAATTTGTATGTGTGTAGTACATAGTATAGTATAGCATAGATAATAGGTCAACTGTGTTGGTTTGGATAATCAGTTTAGATTTAATAATAATAATAATAATAATAATGGCTTTATTCAACATTATATGTTCAGTATAAAATGAGGTTCTCAACGCAGAACATTTCAACAAATTTTCTTTTCAAAACAACTAGTGATTGGTGTTTGGAGGTAAGCAGTTTAAGAATTGACATCATTCTTTTCTCGGAAGTTTGCCAGCAGTTCAGTGTCTTGGATAATACTTTCTTTAACCCGAGAAGCGATAGATTGTAGAATTTTCATACACACCCGAAATTATTGTGATTAATAAATAGAAATGCCATGTTAATACAAACAGGAAAGAGAGACCTGCTGAAATATTTTTATGTTAGGACATGGGTAGCCCAGATATTCAAATCAAGCCTCCTTTACGATTGAAGGCAGAAGGATTTAGCATTTCTTACGTCTCTTTACACACACAAATGACACTTTCAAGTTTCGTACAGAATCACCTTGACCGAAAATAACATGACATTGTTAGGTTCAAGCCTATCATGATTTTGAATGTAATAAAAATAGTCAACTTTGTTTATTTTTCACTATTTGAACTTGTGATGATTTGCTTCGGTTATTTGTTTATTTACTCTGAAGATGTGACTTGCATGAAGTCACAAAAAGTTGGAAAAACAAATTTTTATTCATTCGAATGTAACCGGAAATCATAATTTGGTTTGACATTACACCGTTTGAAAATGTATAACCTTAAGCTGTTCTGAGTGAATAATTAAAAAATATTGGGCATCTTAACCAGCAGACATAATTAGTTCCACTGTTATTATTAAGTGAAGCGTTCTGATAGATTCCAGAACAAACTACGTCCCCTAGATATTCATGGTAAACGATGAAGTAAAATTCTGCTATTTTATCAATAAGGACGAAGTAACTAAACACATTTGAATAGTTTATATGAACATTTATTGACATTTAAATGTATGGTTTGGTGGAAATTTGAAGTGAGTACACAAAAGACATGTAATGTAAAATCGTATTTGAAGTCAGCTCAGTGATTGAAATTTATGTATTTCCAAATTTTTTACTCAATAAATGATCGGGGCTTCTTTACGAAAACAGTCATAATCATCAAACATATTCTTGATAACTGATAGGCGGAATATTGAAACAATTTAAATCTCAGTCACTGGAATAATTTGAAGTACAATTTTTACGTAGAATACTTGGATTGTTGTAACGCGATTTCAGACTTTACCACGTTACATATCTATTGAAGTTTTATTAATCTGTATGTATGAAAAATAGAAATATATTTCATTCAGAATATAATTTTATTAAATAATGTAGTTCCTAATTAATAAATCAACAAGCAGTTATTGCTTAGTCTGGTATTTAACTGTAATATTCTTGTGTACTTCTACGACATGAGAGGTGCAATAAACTTGGGTTTAATGATATCTTCACCAGAATTGAGCACTGCGGATGGTATCGAACTAGAATTTTTAATCCGATGGCCTGTAATTAATAAATACATTATATGTGTGTCAGTAGCTATTTGTAGATGTTCCGTAAAGGTGATGATTTTATTATTGAAACGTAATTTCTCTCTCAGTCCATCATCATCAATATCACAATCATTGTTCATATCTTTTGAATTCTGCTCAGGATATTCGTTGATTTGCCATTTAATATTTGAATGATAACATTTCTTTGATTCATCATCGATTTCTGTCTGTTGTAGTTCTTGATCGTCAACCTGTTGGTGATTTGAGCAACATTCCAGTTGGTTCTGAAGTTGATTCGATACTTCAATTGTTAATCGACGACATAAGCCTATAAAGAATAAGTTGAGATAAAATATGTAGACAGAGCTGATATGAGTAGCGAGATAAGATTTACTGTTCTTATGTAAGATCATTACTATTATATATTTAAAATCTCGACCTTATTCAATAATCAGAAATCGCATATCTAGCTGTTTGGATGGATAAATATGGTTATGAGTACCGTAGAATAAATAAATAACGAATATATCATAAATAGCAATCTTAAATATATCTCTGTGTGTGCTTTCAAAGTTGATATTTGAACAGACCATTCAAAGTGCCAATGCTGGTCCAAAATAGTTTTTCATAACCTTATAAAGAAGGAAGCTTAAATATAAGATTATTTAAGGTTTAAAAAACGGTTACATAGTAAGGCAAGGATATCAAATCTGTTGATAATGTTTTCCTGAGCAAAATAAAATGTCTTCAAGACTCAAACAAAGGTAACTAAATATGACCATTAGCTGCGTAACATAATTTGAAACTTAGTCAGTTTGTCGGTTACATGAAGAAATAAACTGATAACTACCAGACGTGATAACGTACCTGCAGGAATCGGTCCTGGTGTATAAAAGACGCGTATCCCACTGTAAATTGGCAACTGTTTAATTCTGAAGTATGATGTTTCTGGACCCCAGTTGACTAACTTCACTGAAAACCTACGGGTTACACCGTACGGTAGTACACCAACATTGACGCGACTTGGTGCTAGGCGTAAACCACGCATTCGTCTAAGTGAAAGTTGACCGAATGGTGGGCCGCCAATAATACTTGTGAATAGAGCTCGACGACGTACAGGATCTTCAATAAGTGCTTGTTGCATATTGAAACTTGTGGCATAACTGATCTCCTTTACACCATCACTGCATTTTGATAGGCTGGGTCTTTTAGCATATAAATACTTTGGTACTCGAAGTTGTTTTTGTTTAGCCAAGGCAACAGCGTCCAATGGTACGTGAGTATTATGTCCACCTTCCAGAAAATGAACAAAACTGTAATGTTAAAATTTTCTGTGTCACTTCCAAAATGTTTTAACGATGAAAATATAAGAAATTGTGGTTGTAATACATCGAGTAGCATATGTAAAAAATCATGGTGGCAAGGGTTAAAGTAAACATAAACCATAACACTTTACCCTTCTCTAGGTAATAATTGTGACACTACTGTTTGTTGCTTCTATACTGATAAACAGAGTCTAAATTTAACTAGTTCGTATTTTGAAATATGCAAACTGGATACATTATCGACTAAATAATAAACGCAATACACAACGGAAGGATCTTCTGAACAGACCAAGTGGATTCATAATTCAATGACGTTTATCTTAAATCCTCAGTCGGTCTCATCATTTCAATGTCTAGATATATAGTTTAAAAACCTTGTAAATACGATAAATAGTTCATTCAACTAAGGTGATTGAGTTGTAAAATCAATTTGTTTTTACATATTTTTATTGTTTCATCATGAGCTTTGTATTCATCTCATGCCATTCATAAAAGTCAATTTGAACTCTCATTCAGCCATCTATTCGTGCCTTTCTATTGTAAAGGTTTTATTTTAGTAAGAGATAATTAATACTACTTGAAGACTATTGATTTACCATTTTCATGAAGCGATAATCTATGAGATGATAATGAAAGAATGATTCTATTAATTAATAATAAAGATAGTTTCAATAATGAAATGGTTTAAGCTAAAATATATTTCATTCATGAATGAGATTTTTCAGGAGTAGGCATTCATGACTGAACTAGCTATTGAGTCGAAGATCATCAAATCTCGGTCCCACAGCATTACTTTTAGAAAACTAATAAGGGATATGATGGTTAACATTTTTAACTTCAGTTTCATTGTGGATTAAAGCAGTTGTTCTGTATTGTCCAGCTTCTTATAATTATTTAGTTATAATGAGTCATTTATGTATAGTATCATCAAAATGGACAAGATACACAATCTTCATTCCATGCTAATCATTAGTTAACTCACATCCGTTGATGCTAATCGACTAATAAAGAGAATATTATCTTTAATTTTAATAAAAAAAATATTTATAACTTGCATGGAATAGAGAAAATAATTTCAAATTGGTAACAAGTTGTATTTTTATTTATCATCTATATTATCATCATGAAACTTTAAGTTTACAGTACATCCCAAAATTATGATGAACAATTTTTTTTTTAACAGTACAAAAGCAATAAATACCTGTGAATGAAAAGATTTTGTGAATGCTTAATTTACTCAAACCAATCATGTGAACTATTTAGATTATTTTTGTTTAAAATTATACCAATCAGGTTTATCCAGTACGAACCTAATTAATTCATTGAATCATGACATACTGATATTGATATTGATTACAGAGGGAAGAGATTAGGAAACTACCCATCGATTTCCCAATGTTAAGCTAATAATTGTACTCATAAAACAAGCTAACACAAGTATACCTAATTAAATGCATTGTACATGAACAAGTATAAATACGAATAACTTCACTTACCAATCATTTCAATTTGTGACTGGTCAATATCATAGTAATAAAAACATTTTTTTGTTGTTGTTTCCCTAGTTGACATTCTCATTCGAATTTGATGATCGACATTTTGGATAATTTGCTTCTTAGAAGTCTTGTCAATTTTGTTAATTTTATTCATAGTTAAAGAATCATTGTTTGTATTTCCAGTTATTCTCTCTTTGATCAATTCATTATCATTCTCTATTGATCTTAATAACGGACTGGGTATATTCGGTGGAGAATCACAGAGAATTGGAAAAGATTGTTCTGTTGAGGCTAATAATATGTAAAAATAAAAAAAGAATTGACGAAAATATCAAACATATTTAAGTTTAAAATGACCATGTTGAATTTTGAACAGGTGGTTATTTTGTTTGAACAACAGAAAAAAAGGAACAAAAGCGACAACACCCTTTTAAAAGAATATTTTACGACGCTTGGTATATTATATAAGTAGCAATTAGAAAATATTTTGTCTACTCAGTCCATTTATAGAACTCTGAATGAAGTTATCCTAAAAACTGATGACAATGTTTTGTTCTATAGGCATAAGTGGCAAACAGTTTTTCACTCTGTTAGTCACAGTAATAGGTTTAGGAGTATCTAAGTTAATATTTACATAATTTTTTCCTAACAGACTTCGTTATTCAGCACACTTTTATTGTATGCTATCTCATCCCGTGTTCAGTACGTTTTACGAAGCTTATTATTTGAGTTTACACTGCAAAAACATGAGCAAAGTAGACTATTGTAGCAGTTATTGTTTTCGTATATCATCGTAACAAAGAAAACTGCAGATTCAAGGATTTCAACCGAGTACTACGAGACATTCGACTGAAGCTTGTGCACAGCTGCATATATTAAAGAATGATTTTTTTTCAGTCTTTGTCGATGCATATCTACCCTGAGATCTACTGATGCTGGTAATAATTGCAAGTTTTATAAAGGGTAATCTAGAAGATTATTAGTGTAGAGATATGTACAATGTGAATTTTGAGATATATCATTCGGTTGATAAGGGTACTACATTTCACATAATATTAGTGATAAGGCTCGTACTGTCCACAAAATTTAATATAACAGTTATCTTACTTACTCGATTTCTCATTTTGTTTACGATCTTGACTCGTTGAATTATTTAATTCTGGAACTAATTTAGATAATTTTTTCACATTAGGGACCTGAAAAAAAATTTTACACTTCAAAATAAATAACAGGAAAGTGAATAAAACTATATTTCAATTTACGGAGGTAACTCAAGAATCAGGAAAAACACTAGACCGTTAATTAGTTCTAGTCTGAAATTCTTCGGTAGTGCTCACCTAAGGTATCAAGAGAGGTTGAGCATAGGAATATTAAACTCTGTGGATAATGGTGTACTTTTAGACTTATGTTTCAGTTACCTCGGTCCGTTTGACAGGAAATGCCACTTATAAAACTTTATTAAGAAAGATTTCTTATACATGCCATCAACGAGCAAGATTCTCATTTTGCATTCTTTAGAGCCAAGGAACCGATAGAAACTCATGAACATAAGTTAATATCATTGATTTCTCCAAGATACTCAATCTTGCTTAATGTGGAGTGAAGGCAATAATCAAACTGTCTGAATAAAACTGAGTACTCATTACATTTCTGGTTTCGCACCGATAATACAAACAAATCTACGTTCAAGTGAGTATTTGCAACGTACCTGGAATGATTAATAATAAATGTTTTATTTAAACGACTAGAAAGTGACATGGCTGACTAATTATTTCTGTGAAAGATTACTAAGTATCTTCTAAAATATGATGAAACAATATTTCATATGATTCACTTTTCTAAATAGTTTTTAGTTAGGAAATTTTATTGTCTTCTCTGTACATTCCGTTCGTACAGTTTTAAATGAAGTATATTCAGTCGCTTTTTAGCTTAAAGGTTTGATATTTTCAGCATAATACAACAACCTGTTATGAAATTCAAGAATTTATTTATCAAGTCACTACGACTTATTCTAAATGTTCAATTCAACATCCTCATTTAGTGAAAATTGGTTAAACATAGCTCATCAATTTCAAAATCATTGAACAAAATCAGAAACGTATTTTTATGTAAGTATTCTATCAATAGTAAAATGGTCTCGAGATTATTTTTGATGAGCCAGATATGGAATCAATTGTAATTTCTACAAATCAGTTTGATTATAAGCATAAAATATTATCAACATTGAGAGATAAAAAAGGCACTTATAGTCTAAAGTTAGCCATAAAAAGTGTAGTGAAGACAAAATTTTGATCAGACGGAAGTACTCAGCATGAATGATATTAGTTTAAAGAATGTTTACGTAAACATTTTTTGAAAGATACATTTAAACTGAACAATCACTGAGGTTGTATTTTAGTAAAAATAAAAACAATAGTTATTTGATGATACACTACTTATGCTATAATGTATATTTCATAATATTTTTGCAATCGGAGGCAGATATAGAAATATCTAATGAAAACAGACGAACATACAATTTAAAAGTCGAGTTATTGTACGTGAAACTGGACAATACTGGATACTGAGTAGTTAAGTACTCAGTATAACGTAGAATTCCACTTTCAAGTCTAATTGTTGATGGCATTAAGACTTAACAAGATTAAACGGTGGGAAGTTTGTTCCTGGTTGACAGATAATTGGGAGGTATATATCTAGAGATAATTGAGTTTATCAAGTGACTTTGGTTAGTTTCAAGAATTAGAACAACACATATAAGCGAATAATATTGTTTTCGATTAGATCGTCATCAAAGCAAATATTTGCTTATTACGTAATTGTTTTGATGTTTTTAATGTTTATTTGATGTCTATTCATCCACCTTTGACCTACTATTGATAAAACTTAAGTTATCATATTTTATAATTTTCTTACTACTATCAGTACACCTGTCTTCCTACTATCCACTTGAACTTTTGCCTATTATATGTAGTTACGTAATCTATTTCATTTCATTGCCTTGATTGGTTTAACATTTTCATATAAATATTCATGTATATTAGAGTAAAGCCTGATGACGATCTAATCGGAAATAACATTGTTCGCTTATATGTGTTGTTCTAAGTTTCGAGAATCTCAGTCATCTGATTGCTTTGCAGCAGGTTAGTATAATGTTCAGATATCGAACAACCACTCTTTTTAGTCCAAACTAGATATCATGATAGATTTGAAAGAAAATTTATAAATTTATTCAAATAACTAATGCAAATCATTTCTCAACATAAAATGGATAACCAGTTTAATCTTGATCATAAAACTGTACGATTATATCGAAAATATTTTTGGAAAAGTTACTTGTGATAGCAGAAATTCGATTCCTTCCTTTGACCGAAAGTAGTTAGGAATATGAGTACTTCTAAGTGCTGCTCTGTCTCTCATTGCTTTTTCGATCTCTTGACGCAATACTTCGAAAGCTGATTGTCTAGCTGGTGAAAACATTTTAGTGGCTACAATATATGTATATATATATATATATAAAAAGAGTTTTAAGTAGGAAGACAATAATGACAAGTCAATCACATGAAACTTACAAACATATACTTTCATGATTATTTTATACATGGAAAAGCTAATTCAGATGGTAGACAGGTGTGAAAATGTTTAATCACTTCAAATCAAAAAAAGATGTACTATGTTATTTGAATGTTCATTGGTTTGAAGCGGCTATTTGAAAGCAGTCGTCGGTAGTAATGAATTACGCATTGGAAAACAACTTAATGACTTGTTCGGTCACAATATCAGATTTGGTTTTTCAAAGGAAAATCGGTTTGTTTAATGCCATGTTATAAGAATTAAACCTTCAAAAACAGGAAGTATCTATTCAAATATGCAACATTCATATTTAAAATACGACATTCTGGAGAGTATTTTCTCATTTGGATTCTGCACTAAAAAATAACAAACTGACAAAAATGCCTCAACACGTGAACATCATTTTACAATTTATCAGAACCAATCAATCAAAATGTACTTTTCATTCTAAATGGCACATGATAATGTGTTTTTCTCTGTAACTAAATCTGTCACAGATAAAATTTGTTGCAAATATAATATGTTAAATGATAAATAGTTTTCAAGTTGAAGCTTATTTGTTGCTCATTAACAAAAGAAGTAAAATTAAATCCCTTTGACTGATTGTTGTTTACCAAAGACCTATTGAATGATTTTCATCACTAGAATGTTGATTAAAAAAAACACTTGGTATAGATAAGAATTTGAAGGAGTACTAATCGATTTATTGTTTTCAATGTATGAACACGAAAATTTTGGCAGTCCTTACCATTCACAGATTCTGTACAGAAAGTTTTTCAAAATGAAATCTTACCTTGTTAAGAGAATATAAATAACTTGATGATGTAGATAATGGAATTTAAGTAGTCTGGACTAATGAAAGAAATATTTGTTGGAAAACTGATCTTTCCACACAACAGACTTTGAGTTTAAAAATATTTCTAATTCACCTAGTTCATGAAGCTTGATTTATTCTTAAATTAAATTCTATCATTTTGCCAAGATATTGGAATCATAAAGAATTTTTAAGTAGTATGATGAAAACTATGTTGATTCAAAGAGAATCAGAAAGTATAATAATACAATTAACTTTGGAAAAGAAGTCAGAATAATCTGTGAAATTCGAAATGAACAGAAACGTATTAATTTATTCCTTTCGCGCTCAATTAAACTATTCAGCAAATGCAAACAACTCAGTTGAATATATACTGAAACAGAATGATTTTTGGCAAGTTAAAACTAGAAACCATTTGATCAGGTGCCTCACATCATATTTAATTTCTATCTTAAACATAAAATATTTTTGTTATTCCTTTCTATTTCTAGCTTCAAATGAATAGATGATATAAGTTTCTGACTGAACAAGAAATTCGTTTATATTTTATACACATAATGACATATCTATGTATAAATTAGCCACATAATAATCTATCAGTATTCTCGCAAAATAATCACTACATATGATAGGAAAAATTGATAATCTTTGAGTAGTAAAATAATTAAATAGTTTTTAATTCTTGTCACCGTTGCTAGTAGTTTTAGTTTATAAGCAAGGATGCTAATCTTGTAAAGATAACCATGGAAAACAGCATCACAGCTTTAAAAAAAGTAATATTTAATGTGTGTGATGTAGAAAATCCTGTTAGATCCCGAAATCAACCAGATTTGTCAGCTTATTGCGTGAACTAACTGGTATTAATCTGATAAATGGATACAATTTATTGAAAACGTATGCGTTTTTAAATCTTCTTACCAATGTTAAACCATGTGGAATTCAAGTGAATAATTTTGTAGAAAGATATGTGAAATACTAAACAATTATGTTGCTGCTTGTATGAAATGGATTATGAGAAGATTAGTGTATGTTTGATTGTTTTCTTATTGTTTCCATTGATACGTAAAAATCGAATCTCATTATGCTTGATGAGTTAAGTGTATTTAAACATCCCTCTAGGTTAATAAGTTTATCGAATACAGAAATAATTAATTTATAAATATACCGGAGTGAATTATGTTTTAGGCATGCTGTATAGTATCAGTGAATTCTGTTACCGTGATAAACAGTACTTAACACAAGAATTATACAACAAACGAAACGTAATTTGATTGAAACACCGAACTTTTGGAAAGTTCAAATGGATTAAGCAAGACAACCACCATTAACAGTTCTACTCGAAAGAATTTCAAACTATGTAATTTTTTGTCGTCTATTTTTATTTTCTATATTGCCTGTTAAAAAACATATGTAAAGTGTTCATTGTTTGCTATGCTTTAGTTTTAAATCGCTAGAGTTATGAAATACACCTTGTGTATTTTTGTTAACACTTATAATAACTAACAGCAAATATTATACACTAAACTTCTTCAGATACGTTTTGCAGACACCATTCTATTCCCGGAAGATTTAAGATATTCGTCATAATATTATAATGATTTTCTCATTGACTAATAAAAAATACTTACGCTTTAACCAATGCGGCATGTTCTCTGGCTAAAGTAAATACTATCTGTTTTGTGCGGAAAAATGTGCATTTCTAAACTTGATAAATGTAAAGATACAAAGTTCAATTTTTACTCGAATAATGGCAGTCACAAGACTGTGATGTGAAATTTATTTAACTAAGCCCAATGGTTAATTATTTCACATTTCTGTAATTAATTAGTATAACATGATGTCAATTACTTGTAACATTTTAATTCTAAACTGTTTTTAAAATTTACGAGCAGTATAGTGTTCTCACGTTGTTGCAAATAAACATTCTGGTATACATCTAGATTTTAGATTAACTGTGAAACTTCATGAACCAATCTTTCATAAATAAAAAGCATTTGTTTGTTATAAATAACGCAGATTACATGACTATGTAATAAGAATCGAAAAACTGTTTCTGTGTTTTGAATGAATACATTCTAGTGATAATCTTCTTTTCTCAACCAACATTGTCCTTCAATAACTCAATATTAAACTATGTAGTATATTTATTGTAGTAATCAGTAGTCTGAATAATTATTCCACTAGGTAAATGGAATTAATTCACTTAATAACTTCCTTATTTTAAGTTTGTCATCAAGAATCTAACCAGAACAGTGAATTCCATGACGTAATCAATAAAACTGCTAAGTTTATTCATGATAATTCGTCAAAATTAACAGAACATTTAAAAAACACTACAAGATCTCAATCTAAGACATGTCCACTTCATCCATCCAAAATATGCAGAGTATTTCAACACATATACACAGACACACGTACATGTATGAATGAAGATAATATTTAATTTAGTGTTAAAATATTGTGATAATTTTTTAGTTTATTATTTGAAAGCAAGAAATAATAATCATAATGACCTAAAGATTTTATATAGATTATCATTTTCACATTATCAAAGTTCGATTTGATCAGTTCTCTTTGTATAAAAATTAAGGTTAATCATTGTTTTGTACTTCTTTATTTACCTACTCCTATTGATTGACTTGTATTGTGTTTCACTACAGAGAAAGAAATAGTTCGTTATTTCAATTTGATTTCGTATATTGGTTAAATCGTTTTATAAATTATCACGTAACAGAATTATGGGTCATCGTCTAATATTCTAACTAATGATTATAGTTGGGCGAAGAAATGAAAATTTAATATTTAGATATGGTTTGTTTTTATGAAGTGAAAAGTAAAATGATCACGGTTTTGATTGGTACCGAAAAAAATTTGACTTTTTACCGAATAGATCAAGTAATAACAGATAATATTATCAATAAGAAATTGAAATCATTTTCGTTTGAAAGTACAATTAAAAGGATATTTAATTGAACAGTAAAACATTTGTGAGGAAGAGAGACAACAACAAACTAAGCACAACAACGAAAAGCCCTAAAGAAACTCAGAACCAGGTAAGATATAGTCATAGTTCCAGCGGAAAAAGGACGCACCACAGTAATTATGGACAAGGAAGAATATATCGAGAAAGCCGATGAACTACTTGAGGACAGAAGCGTATATATATCGACACAAACCCAATAAAAAAGTTGGACAGCAAAATCTCGAGCACTCTAAAGAGGCTTGTCAAAGCAGAAAAAATGGAGAATGAAATCCAATGGACCAGTAATTCCACAATTCTACGGTAGGCCGAAACTCCGAAAACCCAACATTCCACTACGCTCTATTGTATCCCTCCCCGGAACCCCGACCTACAACTTATCAAGAGAAATTTCAAGGATAATAAAACATCTGATGGATGAATCCAACTGCTCAATTAAGTCCGCCACATAATTCTTGGATAAACTCAAGGGGATTCAAATTGACAACGACGAAATGATCATTTCCTTCGACGCTACAGCCTTATTCACCTCGATAGAGCCAGGCTTAGCTAAAGAAACTCTTTCCCTGCTCCTCACCTACGACACAAATTTACAAAAACATACGAAGCTTCAGAGCCAAAGTCTGCTAGACATCATCAATCTATGCTTAACAACGTATTTTCATTTCAACAACAGAGTCTACGAACAAACAAAAGGAACATCAATGGGATCACCGATTTCAGGACTCATCGCGGAAGCGGTAATGCAAAGACTAGAAGCGTTGATTTTACCAGTGATCAAGCCAAAAATGTGGGTTCGCTATGTAGACGACACATTCGTCATTAAAAGAAAACGGGCTGGAGAACATCTACAATCGAATCAACAACTCTTCGATTACATAAAATTCACGATGGAAAAAGAATCAAACAGCAGTTTATCATTCCTGGATATACTAATCACCAGAACTAACACAGGAAAACTGGAAACTGAAGTATTTCGGAAGCCAAACCACACAGGCGTAATTCTCAACTACAGTATGAACAATCCAAGAACCCACAAATTCAACTGCATACAAACTTTGTTCAAGAGAGCGAAGAAACACTGCAGCACATATGAAGCACTAAAACACGAGGAGAAACATCTAATGACTATCTTCCATGTTTGTGCTGATGATTTTGTTCAGAAGGACAATGAAAGCTCCACAATTCAACACCACCACATGAATACACTTGGATGATTTAACCACATTAACTGTTGAGCAGGTCGTATATTCATACTTTAAAAGAAGCTTAGCGTGGTAAAATTCTGTTATTGTTTATCCCTTTCTATGCAACTTCTCACTGTCCAGATTCGATCTTCCTGGGTTTATCTAACAGGATAAGCTTCAGAAATATTTAAATATTAGAACATTCTGATCTTCGCGGACAAATGAATCTTACTCTGATCCTAGAAATGTTATGATAGTAGATTATTTAGTTTTTCGTAACCACTGATTTATTTATGATTCAAGATTTTGTTCATAATGCATACTTACGTTGCAATATTTCTTGACTGACAATAGTTTGTTGACTTGGTGAACTAGACACATCTGTCAAATTCTCACTTTCAATTTTATCTGAAATCTGCTTATCTGTAGATAATATACGTGATATTGTTGGCATAGTATCCAAGATCACTGTCGGTCCAGATTGCATAATTTCTGATAACCTTGCAGGCTGTTGAATGCTCCATTCATTTAAACGATTGAGGTAGTATTCTGTGTAAGCGCATAATACACCTAAAAATCTTATTAAATAATAACACATAATGGATCGAAATTGTATAATTTTTGTTTAATGCTAAAAACTGAATTCAAGCAAAATTCTTTAGAAATCAAATTGGATATAACGTCAAAGTGAGTTTTTCTTCAGCTTTTCGAAATGTTAAATGACCGATAGGAAAATAGTCTATGAAGAATTAAACTAATGCTTTCATAAAGTCATATTAAATTCGAAAATTACTTTGGTTGTACATATTTTGTGGTAACTTTATTAGTCCGTTGTAATCACGAACAAGATTTGAACGGCACAACCGGCATTAATAAAGTTCACGGACTGGCATTGTAGGTTGTAAAATTTACACAGGTATTTGTATTTATATGACCTATTCGTGTTCACCTCATGTTTTTTACAATGATATACATTAACCCTCTATTGTCAAGGGCAATTTTACATCGGTTTTCAGGAGAACCAAGGAGACTGTTCACGTGTTAGCATTTCGACATGAACAGTTCGGCTCAATCCTGTGGTGCAACCACACAGGTACCATTTATATATACATTATTACATATATAGTGATTATTTCCGATCCATGATCGCGTCAATATGCACCGCATGAACAGGTCATTTCGAACCATCCCGATTACATGACTGTCAAACTTATTATTATTAGCAATAGTGATATGCAATACAGCACCCCATTGACAATGGCCCTCGGGAATGTTGCAAATCAACCACTAGTATCAATGAAATCGGTCACGCTGCTAACCAATTTTGTATATGGACTGTTAGCAATGCTTGCCAAAGTAATACCAAGCCATCCACAATGTTCACAGCGAACCTCTGGTCTCATAGGAAACCTTCAGCTCTATATTAGCAGCATAGAATATGGTGTTCACCTCATAATTAAATCTTAGGTTGATAAGATGAAAGTGATGTAATGTCGTTAGTGAAATCTCACTTGTTGTCCTGCTATACATAGCATTTTCATCTATTAGATTTGAATAGGATTTACCATTATAATGCTTTTTGAACTAAGCACATAAGACTTTTATTACTTTTCGTATAATCAAATACTGGCTATAGTTCAAGTTTGACTGAATACAGACAATTCTTTCATAGTTCATTTGCTTAAATACACTATATTTGATGTAATAAATTTAAACAGATTTCCATTTGACTTACCTTTGTTTAATTTCAGATGTAATTAATGGAAATTCAGTAAATTGTCTTACATTTGCATGGATAGATTGTTTATAAGCGTTAAATTTCTGATTCTCACGTTTCAACGACTTGCCTTTTTGTGTTGGTAGAAGAGTAACGCTCGTTTCTGGAAATTTTAAACCAAGATATTCCAAAGATGGCATATTAATATCTAAACCTTTACCAGCTCTTTCACCTAATTTTCTAATATCTGAATTCACATTTGAGTTTGATGAATGTGTTAGAGTTTGAAAATCCCGACTACTCAAACCTTCAGGAATAATATTTTCTTGAACGTAGTATTTTCCTGTTTCATTGGTAGTTATTGACTTCATCATTGTTAAACCGAAGATCTAAAAATCAGTAATATTTGATTATGTATGTAAAGTAAACCTTATAGTTATTTACCTGAAACTAGTCAAAGCTTAAAACAAAATGAAAACATTTATTCATACTTCAGCGTGATAAATTATTTTTCTATTCAACCCTGTCGGGTGTAGGCAGTAACTACCGAAGACAAATGGGTGAAGTCGCGCAAAATCCCTAGATCAATCAGAGTTGGACATTAACACCGTTGGATGCCGGCCCAGTGGTCCGATGGTTAGGCGTTCGCGCACAATATAGAAGGTCCCAGGTTCGAATCCTGATAGGTGCAGGAGTCGTGGATGTGCACTGCTGATGAGTCCCATACCAGGACGAAACGGCCATCTAGTCGCTTCTAGGTTTCTAATGGTGGTCTAACAATGATTGACTGATGATTTCAAATGTGTAAAAACACAAATCTCCAAAACTCTAACTGAAAATATCATGTTTAACTCCATAAATTGCCTTCATGATCCGATTGGCTAAGCATCATAAAGACTTACCATAGATCTAGTTCCTAAATAAGTTATGATTAGTGTACAAATGTAAATGCAAACGATTTGTATATGCTACTACATGGTTGAAGACAGAAACACCAGAGTGAAAGTATGGACAATTTTATGGTCCAATTAACAGTCACAACTTATGAATATTCCTATTAGTTTAACCTTGATAATTGTTTTCGAGAATTAATTTTTTTAAGCCATCAAATTTAATCAAAATAGAAAGTATAATTAATATTTTTAGGAGTTTTATCATTCGCCAAACTAAATGGTCACAAATAGTTAGTTATAAAGAAAAATGTTATGAAATCCATACTGTTTAAATAGATAAGTGCAAATTTCCATTCATAATACCTTTGGATTATTTTGAATTGGTTCTCTTAAGTATAAACCTTCAATAAAAGCATTATCTAATGTTGAGCTGTTTTGATTTTTTGCATTCATATACACTAATTTTTCTTCCATTGTAAATTTCTTTACATGACGAGGTGGGGCTTGAATATTATGAGCTCTTTGAAGTAAACACTTAAATTCTTCATGATGTATGAGTTCAATTGCTGCCTTTTTATTTGGATCAAAATAAAATAGCCTTGGTATATGTTCATCATATAAACAATGAGCATCATTTACAACTTCTTTGTTATGCAATTCCTCCATTTCATCATCATTGTTCGCATACTCTTTGTTCTGTAAAGTATTGTGGAGTGAATTGTTCGTTTGTTGATTGTTTTCAGCTATTGTTTCATTCGAATTAGTTTGATCAGTTTGACAATTTAAACCATCATCATCACCATCATCATCATCATTAGGCTGCTTTTTATTACCTACTGAAAATATAAAAAAATAAAAAGAAGATATTTGATTAAATTTTCGTTGAAAAAATGAGCTGGCCTACTTCGCATCTCTTGATATTACTTATGTCATAAACTTGACTGACTGCCTTTGGACCAATTAAGGTTAGATAACGGGAATTTTCGATAAAATATATTTCGCCATTGATGCAACTTGATCTGTAGACAAAGTTCTCAAATATGCTGAATAGAAGGATCTTTGACCTGAAATACTGCATTACAGAGTATGTTTGTTATTGTTAGATCCAGTGTTTTTCTGATATTCATCATAATTATGCTGATTGTGTCTTAAAGATATCTATATATAACTTTAGAAGGTAATTATTTTTTTCTCTATTTAGTTCAAATATATATGATGGTGAGTGATTGTTTATAATGTGTCGTATTATATACTGTACGGAAAACTAATGGTTTAGATTTAGTGAACTTGTTTGAGTAGTTGGAACAATTCGCATCTAATTAACTGATCTCTTGGTTAACCCTCGTAGATTTATTACAGCTTAGAGATGAGGAGACCATCTTTAGCTTTCACATAGATTGTGTCAAGTATTTAAAGCCTTACTCGTCAATGAAATACATTATCGTTAATTATTAAGTGCAAAAAATTACTTCATTTAATCTCATGTTGTTTTACTGGATCGAACTACAGATCCTAAAAAAATATTAATGTTCAATAGAATTAATTCATGTGAATTTTAAGATTCTATGTCATATAATTCAGTAGAGAGTAAAATATGAGATCGATTGAGCAAGATTATTACTGAATATCGCTTCTCAAGAAACACAAATACTAGGTCTTAACTTTACCATAAACTTGATAAACTGCTACGGTTGTTTCTATTGAGTGTTGTTTAGGTTAACTTTATTATGAACACGCTACATCAGAACGTCAACTTATTATTAGGAGATGAATTGGTAAAGTTATATAGTACTAACCAGTTAAGAGCACATTACAATTTGCCCAGTTGTCAACTGTGTACACATTTTTGTGTGGATCAGTGCACTCCAACAAACTTTCCATATCTTTAGATCGCATTTCATAAACAGTTGGTTCATTGAGATTGATTATTTCAAGACATTGGGTGGTATAATATACTGAACTATCTGGATTTATGTTTAATTGACCACCATTAAAATGCTACAATGCAAAGTAAAACAGTAACAATCATCAGATAATGAGGAGATATTCACAATTTTACGTTGTTGTATTGGACTGTCTTCCATTTCTGATACTGATATACACACTCTATATTCAAGCATAACCTGAAGGAGAAGACAGGGAACGAATAAAGATTTTCATTGGCTAATCAATACAAAAAACTATCAAACCTGCTGAAGTTTCCTCCGGAAAATTGAATTCTGAAGACATGCTATTAGTACCTTTATTTTAAAAAGATCATTTTATGCGCAATGGATTAAATTGATATAATTATGGAACATCTGTTTTTTAATAGTTTGATCAGGACTTATTACCGATCTGATTACACGCAAATTACCTATATTGATTGATAACAGGTCTAACACTGGAATTATAGTAGCAGATTCGACTCTTCTAAATGGACTTTTAAATTTATATCATCTTCTTCTTTAGGAAATTAAATACCATTCAGTGTTCCTCAGACTATAATCAAGGAATACAAACAGCGGTCATGACAAAACATTGAAGTCTACATTACTTGATAACAATCGATAAAAGCGGATCATACATTTCAGTTACGCAACTAGTTTCGAAATGGAAGAAACAGAATTTACAAGTCTTACGACTAGACATCACCAGGTCATATAATAACAGGACAATTTACTATATAAAATAGATGCAATTTCAACATTTACAAATGTACATGTTTTTGCTGTGCTTAACTTTTATTTCTGAAGACGAAATGTCACTTGTTGAAAACATCTTTTTACCTGTAATACGTGATGACCTCTCGGAGTGAAATGAAATGTTGACGAAAACTGACTTTTACCAAATAGAGATATTTCAAACTCGCCAGTTGATTTATTTAGTACTACAGCAGGAAATCCATCACATTCTGTACGAATAAATATTTGTGGTTTGTTGAGATTTGAATTTAAATCTGCAGAATCGTTTTCGTCATTAGGTTTCTCAGTTGCCTATACAATAGTAAAATATAGAAATCTGTAAGTATTCATCTCATATCAATATTCTGTTACAATTTTAAGTTGGAAACAGTCAGTAAAAAACTAGAAGTATGTAAGATTTCTATAGGAAGCTCCGATTTCTAAGACTTTGTTTAATCCTAAAATCATTGTCATGGGTTTTATTTCTCAGATTAGTCATTTGTTGTGGATTCACCAATTACTCTGGCACCATATCACTGATAAGTATAATTTTCTAATTGTGCTGATGTATTAAGATACTTCAACTCCGCCTGGAGTCTCTCTGTGGCTGAATACACATAAGCAAACAAGCAAGTGAAGGGAAGATCAGAACCGACAAACGGAAATATGTGGAAGATCCAGCAATGACGGTCGAAGAGGCTGCAAGAGAAGAAGGACGATTGTATGATACAACTAAGAAACTCGCTCGAAACTATCGGAAACCAGAACGACCAGTGAAAAGCAAGGAAAGCAAATTAATCACCAACATTGAAGAACAGCGAAACAGGTAGGTAGAGCGCTTTAAGGAACTCTTGAATTGGTCAGCTTCACTGAATCCTCTCAACAACGAAACAGCATCCACGGACCTCCCAATCATTGTTGGCTCACCAACAATGGAAGGGATCAGCATGACCATCAGACAAATCAAGAGGCAACGCAGTGGGACCAGACAACATTCTAGCAGAGGCAATGACAGCAGACTTGGCAGCGACTGCACAAATACTCCACACTCTATTCAACAAGATTTGGGGTGAAGAACAAGCACCCACAGACTGGAAAGAAGGATTACTCATCAAAATACCAAAGACAGGAGATTTCAGCAAGCGTGAGAACTACAGAGGCATCACTCTTCTCTCAGGCAAATCATGCAGCTTATTACAGATACAACGCGTTCACCTGGAAAACCAAACACTAGTAACGTACATATACTTTCGACCTTTAATAGCTGCTTTTTGTCTGGGGAGTGATACAAACCGGTTGCTTAGAAACTCAAACCTCTGAACAATTAATCTTAAGATGGAAATTAATGATGACGTGTTACGTTCTTTGGTGCTAAAAATCTAGCTTTGGTTCTTCATACTGAGATAAATTCGCAAGTCATGTAAGAGAAGACGACCAGTGTAGCAGCAGGTCTCAACATAGACAAAGAGGAAAGCGAGATTCTCCGATACTACACAACATGCGCCATGCACATCACAATTGATGGAGATGACTCGGAGGACCTAACATGCTTTATATATCTGGGCAGAATTTCTACATTTGAACATTCATTGCAATAGAAAACTGGTATGTTCCCTATCTTCGTCTTCGGGAAGGTCATTAAGTTAAAAGAAGCTAGAAGAGTTAAGGTCTTGCTTACTGTTCACTAGTCAATTTGTAATTAAAAATTTACCAGTCTTACTATCAATTTAAGTAAACTAATTGATGATAGGATTAGAGAGAGAGATCATATAACTGCTTTCTTGACACATAGGACCTAATAAAATCCAAGTAATTTATTTTCCTTGACGGAACATAATGGAATTTATGATGAAAACAAATAAAGCCAATAGGTCTTGAGAAGTTCTTCTGGAAAAGTCCTATAATCCGAAATATCCCAAGACTATAAAGATGAGAGTTAATATTATCAGTATTCATATATTAAATTCTGTTTGATAAACTAAGTTGCATTTAAATATATAGAATACTATGTAGTCGCATCAAACTAACAATTAAGCTGTAATGTATACTAATTTATGAAGAAAACGTTTATCTTCCACTTGGTTAGTCTTTTGAAATTGAAAAAAACTGAATCTTTGTTATTTCAACAAAGACTAATCTATTGAAATAAACTGGAAATCATAAATATTTTTGTTGCAATATTCACTGTCATAAATCATGAACTAAAGAAATAATTATAGAAAAATAATTCTAGCATGAAAAGCATACCATATAAAAATTATGCATTTATTAAATTCGCCTAATTACAGATTAGGAAATTAATCATTTCGACTAGGCTAATTAGTTCTTCGTCTATATAGAGATAACTAAATACTGTACAACAGTCAGCGTATGCAAATAAGCAAAACAAAATTGACAAGATGAATCAGTACAGAATAATTTGGGGATTGAAAAAGGTTAGTTAAAAACTATCAACTCATGATACAAACCAGTTTAGGTTGAAATGAATAAACGAAAATAAAAACAATCAGATATCATCAAAATTTTTATCAATGCTCACTATTTATGGTGTGTTGTACAAAAGGTAGTAGACTAAAGCTTTTCAAATCATGACTACGTGAAAAAAAATATATTTTGTCATGGAATGAAAAAGTATCATTCTTCAAATCATCATACAACAATGAAATATTTACATACCAGTAAGATTTGTGTCAGTCGTGTACCGTCTGCATGTTGTACTATCAACTTGAATGGACTATCTGGATGAGGTTCAACAGCAATTAAATTATCTTCAGGACGCGTATGCAATGTTTCTCCAGTGGCTGGATCATAGGCTCGAAAAGATTCCATTGGTTTACTTGGATATATTTCATATTTTGCTGCATCATCTGAACGTTTTGTACTTGGTATGTCTAACGTCACTGATTCTTGGGATACACTGTCAGACACGTTTGCTGTTGAAGTCTCTTCGATTAAATTACCGATATTTGTGAATGGTTTTTCTGGTTTGAACCAAAACCGCTCACCAGACAAAAGAGTAATTAACCATGGTAAATTGTCATCTGGATCATTAGTTGTTGATCTTGGCGTACTGGATGGAGTCACGATGTTTGTGATGTCACTGGAAACTGGGCCTGCCCCGTTCCGAGCATCATCATCGGCTGAAAAGAATATAATCTTAGTTACATTTTTGCATTACTAACCATAGGTTAATTGTTTGTAACAGTTTTTTTTTCATTGAATTTATTCATTTGATCAGATTTCTAAGTCTCTTTTTTATGACTGCATAAAGCTTTGCATGAATTGTATAACAAATGATATGACTTCATTTCATATGACTGATAGATGATAAACTCAAATCAAAATCCCTAAAGTTTTGGGCTGCAAGATTAAGTTTGATTTAAAGTGATGAATTTCGCAAAAAATAATGCAAAGATCTTCAAAACAGAAAACTAAACCGGAGTGACATGCACCAGTTTTTTTTAAAAACAGATGGTATTTTGCATGTAATTTAGTTTCAGTAGTACAAACAAAACTAGCAATCTTAAACATGAACACAGTTTGTATCTTGGACTTGTTTCCTGTCATTATTGCTTTGTACACAGAATAATAAGAAAGCAATTGCTTGTCACGATTCGTTAGCACTCATCATAAAATTCTTGTTTACCAAAATAAATTAACAATGGCAAAATCACTTGTTATAAATAACCTTGTTCTAAAAGACCATTTTTATCTTAAGTGATTTATTCACCGTCATTCCACATACTTATATTACTTATACCTGCCTATGTGTGTGTGCCTCTAACAGTGGAATAGCAAAAAGTAATTATTAATATAACATCATTGGACGCTGAACGGAAGTGCATATAATCCTTTTAATATGACACACATTAATGAGGTTTGCGGTGATTATGTGTTCCGAATACTGCAGAAAGAAGATTACATAAATCTGAGCATGTTTCATGGCTAAAGACAGCAAGCCCTAGACCTGAGAATTGTGATTATCAGTCGTTGTTAGCAGAGCTATTGATTTTAGTCGGATTTCAGCCTCAAATACCTGGCTTTGAATATTCTTACTGATTGGCTGTCACGTAACAATAACAAACATATTGTATAATCATATAGAATACTGTTCACATTGTACCTTTATGAGTACAAATGGATCAGTACATATGGCTACAAACACTAATGAATCAGTTCACACCAAAATATGTATTATTCACAAACGCGTGTCGTTTCATCAGGAATTTCTGTTTTCTACAATGGTACAAAGAATTAACTGAGATTATTGTGGTGGACATGAAATTTTTTTAATACAGATGAATTATTCATCAAGTTATTTAACGTTCTACTGATTTACTGAGGTTTAACCTCTCAATTCACTTAGTTGGCGAGTAACAGTGACGTTAGACTTGAAAGTTAAGGCCGGTTACATCAAAAAGAGAAGTCTACTAACGAACAGTATGTAAGTTTGCGACAAATGAAAAGCTGTAAATTTGATGACAGATAAAATAAAATAAGTATAAACAACGGAAGAACAGTATTGAGATGGTGAAGAAAATCTGTAGCTCAGGTGGATGATTGTGGTGCAATATTTCCTTCATTGTTCTTTGAGGAAATCTCTTGTGTCTTCCTCATGCAGCTGAATCTGTCATGTTTAAACTACTTCCTAATCCATTTTTTGTTATTCGATATTCTAAATGTTAACTGAATAAAAAATATCTCCAAGATCTGCATTTAATAAGGGTTAAATGTTCCGTAAAACATATCGTCAGTAAACAGAAAATCATGTAAAAGAATTCTGTCTTTATTTCAAATGGTTAGTGTTTCATTTTTACAAAAATGTATTTTACTTGTAAACGTTCATTCAATGCGGTTTACAGTCGATAACAATTACTATGTTTACTTTCCTGCAAGTCATATTCAAAAGAAACTGCTATAGTATCTCAACTCAAAATCTTATCATCGTAGGCTAATCATAATAAAGATTCAACGCTAACAGTGAGATTATTGACAAACTCTTTCATTCACTTTTGCGTTTCAAATGTACTGTACTATTGACATTAGTATGTAAATTATTTTCCTCAATAGTATTACTTTACCGAGTGATCATATTTTAAGGTTTGTCATTGGTTGATTAAGTGATAGAATGCATTAAGACTAAAGTAACAATTAGCTTTCAAAATATTAACAGCTAATTATATAAGCAATTAAATATTTATAAAATGGATTAACATTGAATCGTGTACATTTTTTATCTTCATTTTTTTTCTTGGCACTTTTTTTCTTAGATGAAGATTTTGTTGATTGTAGTGGATTCGCTTGAAGTATATTTGGTATAACTAATTCTGAATGAGGGTTAATTTCGTGTTGTTGTTGTTCTTCTTCTTGTTCGTGTGAATTGATCAATGTAAATTGAGGATTTTCACTTTTTCTTAATTCTTCCGCAACCATTGTACCACGTTCCATGATTGCTCCGTCAGGGTAAAGAATCTACAATTTTAATTCACAGCTTAAAAATGATATTTGTTGGAAAATTACAAATACACTGAATATGTATTGAGAAATATATTAATTTTAAACAAAGTAGGAAAATAAATAATTTAGATACTTCATTACAACTATGATAGAAATAAATAATGTTGGAATAGCTAATATATTGCAATTTTTTCATATAGAAATAATTGATTGAGTGGTTGTAAGTAAGGTGATAAACTATGGTGCGAATTTTTTTTTCAAAATTTCAACATTTGATTATTGAAATCCATTTAAACCTGACAAAGTTGTACAAAAAGAAACTAACAACGCTACAATTGAAAATAAAATGTCTAACTTATTGTGGAGGCTGAATAGTTTGACAAAATGAGATTCACGGTAAACTTAATCTGTGTTACGCTCGTCTCTAGGTATGCTTAAACTATTACGAGTTCACATTAGTCGAATAACGAGAACAAAACAATGAACCAGCATCCAGGTAGGCCACTGTGGTCCCTTGACCAAATTGAATCAGTGAGAAGTCTACAAACACCCAGCCAGCAAACAATGAATCCAAGCACTCGAATTGCGTTTATTTATACTCTGTAGAGACGTCCTTGGGACGGTCACAAAAATAGCACACTAAAATGACGCAGTAACCGATCACAACCAAGGATTTTCCTGGTGGGAAACGTGATCTCAAGGTCAACTGATCAGTTTATGAAATAAATGCAAAATAAACATATTTATCAGGCGAGTTCTGAGGATCTAACATTCCCAACAATCTGTCATCATTTTTGATTGTGTTGTAAATCCAAACTCAATAAGCAAAATATTAATCTGTTTGTTAAAATGAACCACAATAATCACACCGATATTTTATCAAAAAAAAAAACAAAATTATGGAAGTCTTCTGTTTTTGTGACAGCTGTCGATAACAAGTAAAATACTTGACTGTACCATAATATTGATTTCCATGCGCATTAGTTTGACTAAATAACCACTGATTTAACATGTTAATATAAACGTACATTGGTGCAGTAAACCATTGCTACAGGTTTATACATACTTTCTTTTTTAAAAAAAAGCACTAGAATGAATAATATTAGGTTATGGTTGAGTTAGAACTACACGAAAATAAACAGTTAAGACAGAAAATAATGAAGTCAGCAAAATAAATCGATGTATTCACAGGTTTCTGGAAAATGCATATTTCTTCCAAATAATCTTGAATCTCTGGTGAGCATGTTAACGATAAAAGCAATGGCTTGAATTAGTTACTTATATGCACTACTAATGCTTAACTAACGTAACTAGACAAATAATGATACATATCAAAATTTACAGAATAAAAGTATTTACAGTTATGACATAAAAATTGTACAGTATAAATGTAAATAATGACTTTTGGAAAATCCAATTATTTTTAATTGACCTTTCAAATCAGTTTATGACTTGGTATATTTGATTAGTTTAATATACCAACTACAAACCTGGATAGCAGTTTTGAATTACTCTGAGATGCTTTCGGCCAGCTTTACCTGAACTTGATTTTTGATATGATGTATTGTCATGCATTTAGTTGTATCAGGATGACAATATTTGCATTTTCTTATGACTTAATACGATTTAATTTCAATGAAGGCATTAAATAATGAATTCGTAAAGCCTTTAATTCAGCTCAGTATGAACTTGATTTATATGCTCAAAGAAACACAGAGATATTGGATATTTTGAAATCTTATAAGGTGTTCATATTAACGTGTTAAACCTAATTAATGACTCAAAATTCACTCACATCCATGCAAATCATACGTAAAATGTGAAAGTAATGTTCTATGGTTATATGAAATTAAGTAATTAAAAAAGAATTTTCACCAACCTTGATAGCATATGAAGCAGATGAAGTGCAACCAGGCATTAAAACTTGTATCACTATACCGTCTGAGGTGATAAAACGTGTTACTTCATATTCTTTATCAAACGTTTTCTTCGGGTCATTAGTGTTGATATTATCATTGACAGATTTAGTGGCTGACGATAACTTCAACATTATACTATGATGTGAATTTGGAAATGCATTATTTTGGTTGTCGTTTGTATTACATTTACTTCCTCGATTAAATGCCTCTTTTGAAGGGATATTATCTTCGGTGACACAATTTGAAATTTCATCTGAAAGAATAACATGTCGCAATTAACGAAAAAATTTCGGAAATAATTGTGATTCTACAGTATTTGATAATTAAATTCGGTTGAGTATCCAGCCAAATTGAAAAGCACTGGACGTTTTGGAACTAGCTTTATGGTAAATCTTCACGTCGATCTTTCTAACTTTCATGTCACTTGACTTACTGCCTTAGTGTAATCTTACTTACTTTTTACACCTTCCAACTTCCTTTGAACTCAGATACACCCAAGGTATTCGATATATTTAAGCTCGATCTAATATCATGATTTCTTTATAATCATGAATCAATGCATGACAGTGAGACTACGTCATGCTGAAAAATTGAATATTTACTGGATAAAAAAACACTTCTGCAATTATTAATTTCTAAAAACCTTGAAACCGGAAACACAATTCAATATGCTAATGAGGACTGGGAATGTTATTTTTCTTGTCAAGAAACATCTTACTCACATTACATTTACTAGCTAAGCAAATTATAGTATAAAAAATTTGAGTAAATAGTCTATTTTTACTATACACTAATTATTTGTCTTTATTTGCAGTAAAATCGCAGAAATAAACTTTTCCGTTTAGTAAATAGACAAAGATTATTTGCTATAATTGTGTTTTATAATTCTGTGATCTAATAAGTTAACTACTTTATAGAATGTCTAGTTTATTTCTTAATGAATCAGGTCTGCTCAGAAGTTGGATACATTTTTGACTATATGGTTAAAGTTTTCAATTCACTGATTACTACTAAAAGCAGTAATAAAACCTAAGCTGCATTCCGAATACTTCAAATTAGCTAGTAACAATACACAATTCTATTTGATGTTCAGATTAGACATCAACTACAGAATTTATAAATTAGAGCAATTTTATAGAATTCTAATATGTGAAAATTTAATAATATTCCATAATTCATTTAAAGAAAGTTACCCATAGGAGACTAATAACAGAATGATGTTTATCCATTCACTAAACAAATATCCGCTGATGTGATGTTGTTTAAAATCGAAAATGCAAATATCTCTATAAGATTGTTTGGTTAACTAAAGCTGAGGGTTGAGGTTTAAATGCACTCAAGAAAACTTGTGTTATTGTACACAAGTGAAGCGAAATTGCTGGGAATTACATTAGTTAGAAGTAATTCAAAATTTGAATAAAGCTAAGAAACACAATTCGAAAAGTATAAACATTATGTGGAAGATCCGATCACGTTGAAAAGAACAAACAATCTTTCGGTCATCTGCTATCATTTAAACATCCACATTGAATAACTAAAATTTGTTATTTGATATGTCACTTGCATATATTTCATAAATTATCCAAATAATAAATTCAAGTAACTAACAAAAAATCACTGAAAATTCAACGTCTCAGTAAAATTTTGTTAAAACTATTTAGTCATGAATGTTTCAATTATTTCGTGGTTAATGCTAGAGACTGGATTCGATCACTCTCTTTTTGGCAATATGTACATCTTGACTTGTAGCTGGCGGTGCAATCCACCTGAAGAACCATACAACTTAGATCCTGTGGACAACCACTATTCATCTTTCCTCAAATATTCTTTTCAAAAAAAATACATAACTTATCAGTAATAAAATAGTGTAAATTCAAAATTTTATTTTTTTTTTGTTGGTGCTGAGTCATATGTTGTTGAATAGGGGATTGATATTAAAGCATTTTATCACAATATTTTCTTTATAAAACGATATTAATATCTTTATCATGCTTTCGTGTTTAGTGTCTTTTATTGACTTGAATTCTTCTTTTTATCGATAGTTTAACATTACACTTTATTGCACATTCAAGCAGTCTGTTGGCTGCGTGAAATAGTATTAAACCAGGAAAGCAACAAGTCCACTAACAATTTTATCATTAATTTTGAAAAAAAATCTTAATACCTCTTGTTTATTCCCATGTAAACAGTACACGTGATTGTATGAAAAGAATAATTGATGGTTTGACCTTTACATGTGTATAACATATTGTATTCTTTCACAAAGATCTGTATGACTTTCATGAAGCTGAAATAACTACTAGTAACGAAGTCATATGTGTAAAACAAATTTTGCTTTATGTGTTTCACGTTTGAGAAAATATTTGTCTTTGATTTATCACTATGAAGATTTAGTTAAGGTGTATACTTTCAAATGGAATTGAGTTATGCGTTTTCCAGTTAATGAACATTAGTTGACTAATTAAAATAAACATTGCAACTTTAGCTTTACAGTTAGTCCATTCTAAAACAACGATGCTTTAAAACTTGTAATTTTCTATAAAATCATCGGACGTGGAAGGAGTTAAACGATTTGTCCAGCGGATTTACTTTTAATGGTCAAGTGATCAGTTATAATTAATAACAGATAAGTTTAGTCTTTGGTTTTGACCGATTTCTAATGTGAATACTAGTCTAGGTGATTTGCGCGTACTATATTTTCATGTTCGTTAGAGACAGTCGGCAGGAGACTTTCGACTTAATTTTCTTGCTAGTTAACACTTACCAGCAAGGTGAAATTGCAGCAGGATTCTAATTATCATCCAGCTTCACTAATTAGGAATATTCTACCATCACTAGTGTCTAACCAAGGATGATATTGGTTACTAAGCTGTTTTGATTGTTAATATATCAGTTCGACTGCAGGTTTTTTACGGCCTCAAAACTTCATTGATAACATCCAAGTCCCAAAGTGAGAACCAGTTCTCTTACGAATGCTGGTTGATATTACCTGTCGGCTATCTGTAAACACTTAACGACATGATACAGTTTTTCGCTTTGTGTGTAGATCATGAGCGGCGGCCTGTTTGAATATTTGGGCTACCCGTGTCCATACATCAAAATACTCCAACAAGCTACCTCTTTTGATTTGTTCTAACACGTCAGTTGTGTTTATCGATCACATCATCCCTTCAGGCATGTGTATGAAAATTTTACAAGCTATGTCTTCATAGGGTACAAAAAAGGACAATCCAAGATATTGCAGCGTTGGAAATCTTCTGAGAAAAGAATGAATGTTAATAGGATGTCAATTCCTGAACTGCTTACCTCCTAATTCCAACCACCGATTGCTTTGTAAGAGAAATATGTTGAAATATTCCATGTTTCACTGGACGCATAATGTTGAATGAAGCCATTATTATTATTGTTTTTATTATTATTGAGTATTAGATTGTAGCTAAGAGTCATTTAAAGCTCGTCAGTTCATATAGTTCAAACATGTACAAAATATGTGTTCCTAAGTTTACAAACTTAACATTTTAGAAAATCCTTTATTTTTTTCTCTAGGACATGTTGATATCATACATACATTGTGAATATGACTGCTTGTTACATGAATGTATGTGATACACTAATAATAAATGACCTGGAGTTCATGCTAACCATTTCTGAAAGTATGTTTATCTTTTCGTAGATATTTTTAACCTTCTTTCTTTATTGGTAGTTTTCGATATTATGATTGGTAAATTATTTGAAACGTAACACACGATGAATCGAAGATAAAATCAACGTAGAACTGACTTACCAACACTATGATAAACAGCTACTTGTGCGCCATCAGGTGTGGAGAGATGTATGAAATGTTGATATGGATTATTCTGTCCAGTTCCATTGTAGTCATTCATACTGACAGAATTTATCCTAATTCGACTGTTAGTGTTATCATCATTATAGCTGTTTTTGCTTAATTTATTCAAAGGATTAGATTCTTTCTGATAATTTGGATAGGACTGCTGTAGAAGAAAACAAAGTGAATGATCATTAGCTTTGAGGCATTAAAAACGATTGAAACACATAACTTTCAGGTGTGTAATTCAAAGAATGCATAAATTGATTCATATGACCACATGTTACATAATATGGCGTGTTTAAAAATAGGGACCTTTCACACCTTTTAACAGTAGTATTAAAATCTTTCATTCTAAATGTGCTAGATATTGATATACGGCCGAAATATATATAGGTTTTCGGAATTCCTTCTCACGAGGAACAGACGTAGGTTTTATGAACATGGCAATTTTAATATTTAAATTCACTTATCTACCACTAAAAGATATCTAAGTTTAAATACGTGTTGTTTTGTGAAACAATAATGACTTTGGAAACATTTAAAATCAATTCAAAGATAGTTCATCAAATGATTTGTGTCTTTATTATAATGATGATAATCTAAAGCATTAATATTCTGTAACGCATTATCGATTTTTCTAAATCCCTATTTAAAAGATGCATATCCACTGCTAAAAGTTTAACATATCGGAGAAAATACACTACAATTCCTAAGGTAATTAAGCAGCTGGTAACGTTATTATTATGATCATATAGACTACTTTTTATTTGAAAAGAAAAGTGAATCGATTGTAAACATAACACTAAATTTATATTTCGCTACATAGAGAATACAGCTTCAAAAAATGAAACAAGATACTTGTCATTCAATTAATCTGGTTTTTTCATGCGATACTACTGTATTAGTATTTCAAATCTTCATTATAAGCTAACCCTAGACTACTCTATTAGATTGAAAAGTATCATCGATTTTCTCACTTTGAATGTCTGTGCAATTATCAGATACGAAAAAAATTGAATCGACTTTGAATGACACAAAAATCTTCAACTATCAGTTTTCTGATATACTATGTTAGACAAATAATTTCAGAATTTACATATCGAAACAATGATAATTGAAGGTGTAATAATCACAATAGTGTCACACTAACCGAGCAGAATATTTTAAAATTAAAAATATGTTTAACATCTATGGTGAAACTCATTTTCACTTTTTGAAAGCTAAGAAACGGTGAAAAGTTTAACATCATATTCAACTTCACAGCCTTCTAACCTTTATAATTTTATACCTGACTGAACACAAAAATTAGTTATTTCGGCCTAAAAAATATAGTAACTTTTTGAAACGTAGTGTCACTGACAATAATTTTTGAAAGATAAATGTCACTAACCAAGTAATGAAGTTGTAAGACACACTAGTGATCACCTTCGAAACTTCACCTTTTAAAGGAATGACTGAATCATCAAACAAACTAAACATAATGTGTAAAGTAGATAAGAAATTATTACTTACTGAAAAAATTTTATTGACTCTAGACACAGATAAACAAATGCCATCAGAAAAGCAAGCTGTAATGGAACTGAATAACTCGGGTGATAAAAAATTCTTCAATCCTTCATATTCCTCATGTACAACGTCACATGAATTTGCATTTACGTCAACATGCTACAAAGAAATTACACTATGATATAGATAAATACATAATACATGAAATGAAATCTTATTGAATTATTTATATTAGTGACTGTAAGGTTCTGGCTCATATTTTCATGTAGATACACTTTAAATTACAGATCGATTGAAATGGGTCTTTATATGATACGTCTTTTTTTAACATAGTGCACATCTTGGCCCTGGAAAACTATTAAAAGCAAATGTGTTTACTCGGCACTTATCTGATTATTGTTTCCTGTTACCTAGAGCTGTACTCGTCATATCTTGTAAGAAATTTACAATCTTTCAAGTTTACAACAAAAATGATATCATTTAATCATACATCTACAACCTTATCTTCATTTTAAAGTAAACCAATTTGTTATATTTCTTAATCATCTATCATGTACTTAATAGTCGTTCATTTCACTTTCCATTCGGCTCAGTCTGAAAATTGAAAATACCAATCCTAAAGTAAATTGCCGATTAGCACTTATTATTATTATTCGTTTGAAAATGTCAAACCGTAACGACATCTAAACATTGAAAGAATATTGGAATTTTTGATGCTTGTATGTGTTCACTTGTCAATAAATAGTAATGTTGATTTCATTAGCATTATGATATATTGAAAATAGGCATTTTTTAATTGTTCTAACTTATATTTGTAAATACTTTCAGATATTAATTTTAAATGAACTTTGCATGCTTCAATCTTATTTCTCTCAATGATCAAACATTTCATAGCTTGCTTCTATGTGGTCACTATGATGCATGCTGTTTACAGATATACTTTAAGCTGACGACTATATAAATTTAATTTTCAGGGAGTGATTATTTTTGCCTTATTTCCGAGAATGTCAAAAACAATGGAATTTCTACTTTGTGATTGAGTAACAATTGTAGAACACCATTTTACTTTGGCTTAAACTAAGTTTAACGTCACAAAACATAATTTTAAATCTTATAAACATTGTTATGTAATTATTTCAAAGATAATTAAATCTTACCTCACTTTCTTGATCATTAAATTTAATTTCATTAGAATTTTCATATGGAATGTTCGGCTCAGGTGGACCGTCAATTTTATGAATGGTAAAAACATGACCATCTTTGATAAGGCTAACTCGTAAATTGACTTCACCTAAATAGAGTTTGAAGTTAGTTAAGTGAACGTTTACAAGGAGCAAAGTGAAATCAATTGATTTTAGTGGAAAATATTTATTTATAAGGGATTAGAGACAGTGTGGTTTGAATGGTGTAGTTATAGAGAACAACAATACCATGATTCATTAATTTTTATAGTTAGATCGATAATGATGGTAGACTGAGATAAGATATTAGTATTATTATTATTACTAAAAATTACTAACTTTCAACCACAAAGTTAATATTATATAATCAGATAAATATCAAATCACAACCTCAAGACTAGTTCTCGAATTCGGATTATCACATGGTAAGAAAATGGATAAGAACATTAAACAACAATTAAATCTTACTTTTTAATTGATATTCTTAGTTTTAAATTTCCCTAACAACAATTCAAAGAATCAGAAGAGTGGAATTTGGCTTTATCACATACTTCTATGATGAATGTTAGTACCTTGACAACACTAGTAAAATATTACAACGAATATGAAAAACCATAAGCTAGAAATATACATACATAAATAATATGAAGGAATGCTTACAAATCTAATTATAGAACAGATTATCGTAAACTATTTGGGAATTGGTGCTAAATGTTTGTTACTCACAATTGGAAGTACTAATAAAGTTATGGAAAACTCAATGAAATCATCCTAATCAGTCATAATCAACATACAGTCTGAGAAACACGTGAATCGGCCAAAGATACTAAATTATATGAGCACAACAAGATAAGATTCTGAAGATTACAACTAAAGCAGAACTAGAAGTATCAGTGGTAATATAAAGGCTATCACAAATGCTTACAAACTAAATGTTGGGGATGTTAGATCCCTCTAGAACTCGCTTGAAAAATATCTTTGTTTTGGATTTATTTAATGGACCGATCAGTTGACCTTAAGATGACATTTCCCACCAGGGAAATCCTTGGCTGTGATTGGTTACTGTGTCGTTTTAGTGTGCTATTTTTGTGACTGTCCCAAGGACGGGGCTCTATAGAGTATAAATAAACAAAATTTGAGTGCTTGGATTCATTGTGTGCTGGCTGGGTGTTTGTAGAATGCAATTTCTACACTAAATCAAGACTTCTCGCTGATTCAATTTGGTCAAGGGACCACAGTGGCCTACCTGGACGCTAGTTCGTTGTTTTGTTCTCGTTATTCGACTAATGTGAACTCGTAATAGTTTTTAGCATACCTAGAGTCGAGCATAACACTAAATAGTTAAGATAACTAACCTAAACACATTTTTATCTAATATTTAGTTGACTTATAAATTCGAAGCGAATAAAAATAATGATTTACAATATGGTTAGATGTACTGAGTACACAGTACAGTACGCAGCCTTTTCAGTTCGTGCACCTGCAACATTTTAGTAATATTGATAAACTAAAGCTGTTTATAATAGTAGATTATAAAGTCTATCATGTTATATTTCGTTATCTTATGTTGTACAACATTAGAGTTGTCAGTCAACTTGAAAAAGACTATTCATGGTTCCACCGTACTGTTTTCATTTACAATGTCACAAGTTAAGCAATTTTATTTATTTAAGATAAGTCATTTTCAAGAACTCACTAGTTTCAAAGCCTGAATCTAATCACCAGTATAGTGGGAGGTACTCAAACAGTGGCTTATGAGTAGTTTGCAGAGGAGTATCGCCTATAAGTTGCTACTAGAGCGAAGTGTAGATAGATTTAAGTGCACATATGACCATAGAATTTTTAAGATCTTAAGAGGGAGAGAAAGTAGTCAATTATCTGCATGAATCGGTAGTGGATAATTGAAGACTATGTGAACATATTTCCTAAAGAAACTGTTTCTACTCAAAAATATTTTATCTGGTCTTGACTCTTTCTCGCTCCGCACCAATTCTATAACTTCCTATTTTTAAGGTTAGGTCAACAAACTCTCAGCAAATGTTGAAATCTGGACAATTCAATAAATGTTTCAGTTGTATTCATAGGGCTTTGAGTACCTCATTGCATGTTTTGGTGCCTCAGCTGATTAATAAGGGTTTGCTTTATAAAATAAATTCAGTTTCATTGTCCATTTCTCTCGAATGTTCTCATGGTACAATATAAATAAAGTTTTATTTACACTTTAAGTAATTTGTAACTCAGGAATAATCAATAAACATATAAAATCACTCATTTTTTTACCTGTCGGAATTTCATTTCGCTGCGTTTTAATTGTACCTCCATCAGTTGGGAACATATGAGTAACTTCTCCAGTCAAATGTGGTAGCAAGTTCGGAATATCGTAACCGGTGAACTATAACCGAAATATATAGTGATAGATAACAGAGATTTTACTGGTGATACAAAAAATGAACCGCATCTTTATCACTTATTACTGTTGTTCACTGACATGTTAGAATTTGTGCCATTTTATATTTTTTAACTAATAGTTACACTCGAGGAGAATTTTCGTTATTCAATGACTGAATTAATAAAATTCAGAAAAAAAGAGCCGTAAATATATCGGAAAACGCCTGTGTTGGCCAAATGTCCGTGGATTGATCTCTGCGCTCATCCCCCATTTGGCAAATCTCACTTACACTGAACAGTATGAAACGGTTAGGAGCACAGCCCTACTAACTAATCATGTTGGCTTATTGCATAATCAACAGTTCGCCGAATATTTGTATTTAATGTATGTCTAATGTCAGAAATGTTTTTAAAATAACCAAGTAATAATGCAAAACGATATGCGAAATCCTCACTTTTCAATGGGCATTATCATTGAAGCCGCTCAATAGAACTGGTCCAGTTCGCAGTTAGCTTCACTTCCGCTGAATGTTATAGTTCTCGGCAAGTAATCAGTTACTTCAGGCAGATATGTTGTTATGGGGTCTGTTAACCTAAGGATTTGGAGTGCCGTACGTACTTTTATCAGTACAAGTTGCCATACCACATTATCACAGTACATTTATCGCAGTACATTTGTCCTTCGATAAGCAGATGGACATCTCGCCTATGTCATAAGTGACGCAAGTTGGCAAAAGCCATCCGAGCTTTTTGTATCCACGCTGCGATTTCACCAGTCACTAGACTGTCAGCATTGGTGAGAATCCTCAGATAAATGAAGCGGTCGGCACGCTCAACTACTTCACTACCTATCATTAGTTCAGATGCCGATACAAGCCATTCCTGGAGCAAAATTTTGCATTTTGAGGGTGAGAACCGTATCCCGAATATGCTTGCATTGTTGCTTACGGTAGTCATAAGACTGCGCATTTTGTCAGAGTCTTCACCAAGTAGAACAATGTCATCGACATATCCTAGGTCAATAAGCGAGTCTACTGGTAGAAGGTCCACCCCTGAAAAGTCGGAAGAAGATAATGTTATCTCTAAAAGTATGTCTATGAGGAAGTTGAGTAATGATGGAGAGAGTGGACAACCCTTATGAACACCACTTGAGGTAGTCAGTTTCGATGACATTTCACCGTAAGCTCTCACTCGACCTGTAGTGTCCGAGTAGGGATCCTTTGTAAGGTTGATGTACTTCTTCGGTACTCTCTTCAGTGACAGAAACTGCCATTGAACCTCACGATCCATAGAGTCAGAAGCCGTCTTAAGGTCATGAAGTGCCACTACTGCAGGACGTCTGAACGTGTCTTTATTCTGGGACCTATCGTAGTGTGAATATAGTCTATGAAGCCACGTTCAAGTCGAAAAGCAGCCTGGTTTTCTCGAGTCCGCTCGTTATGAGCTCAAATGAGGCGTCTAAGTATTATCGAGACTAACATTTTAGACACTATATTAGTTAGACTGATTCCTCTGTGATTTTTACCGGAGGAAGTTTGTCCTTTCCTATAGACTGGTACAGTTAGTGTTTGAGTCCATTTGGATGGGATTACTTCTAGTTCCAAAATTCTACCTGAGATCTCACTCAATCTAACTGCCAAACCTGGAACACCATCTTAAAAATCTCAAGGGTAAGCCTATCATGCCTTCGTACCTATCATCGATGCCTTTTCCATCTCCCTTACTTTCGCTACGCACCACCGTTTGCAATCATTGTGTAAAATTCCTATCGGTGGGCGCCTAAGCTGAATCCGTTCCTCATCGAACTCAAAGCCATACGGGATGATTTTCCGAGTATCCATGAGTTCGATAGATGCTACTGAAATCCACTGTTTCTTCCTAATCTTATGGCTTACCTTACTAGCTAATATCACTGCTGTTCCCATAGCTTGGCGCACATCGTTCCTAGCCGCCTAGGAATGAGAATCACTTACACCGTCGCTCAACTGTTTTTCTAGTTTTTCATGAAATATATTCTTAGTTTTGCTATCTTTAGGTAGAATCTGAAGAGGATTATTTCTTTACTACGTCCCGTAAGATGCAGCCAAATACACGCTCTGATTAGAGCATGGTTTGATTCTAAACAGGTGCCCCGGAACGAGTGACAGTTCTCTATCGAACCCTTCCATTGGTGGGTGACAGCGATGTGGTCTAATTGGGTCCATCGTTTGGTCGACGTTGGGAGGTCGTCACGTCAAAAGATATTTTTCATTATGCTTAAAGTTAGTACTTCCCAGAACTAGGCGATTGTCTGAGCATAGCTGAAGCAGACAGTCGCCATTATCTGCTCTGTAAGTCACATCACCATATGATTCACCCGTACCTTTCAGTTCTGCTTGGTCTACCTACATGAGCATTGAAGTCACCAGCCACTATTACTACATCAGAGCGCTTAACTTCTTGAAGAAGGTTAGAAAGGTTTCTGCAAAACTCCTCTTTTATCTCTTCCGAGCTGTATTTAGTGGGAGTGTAGGCAGAAACAGCAAAGATGCAACGGCCAGTTTCCCTATCTTTATGAGTCCTTACTGTCCCATTTAGTCGGACAGCACATTAGCGAATATCTGCTGGGATCCAGTCTTAGAGAGCTAGTTCTGATTTAGAACTTAATACTATATCTACACCAGTAAGGCTACGGGAAGCACCAGTAGGGCTTCCAGATACACAGAGCGTAAACTGAAACGGTATTTGTTTGGAAAAGGCGAAGTTAAATTAATGATTGTATTCGGATACTGTATGCGCGTTTCGGAGACGCAGCATACACTGATGGCACGAGATTCCAGAGTCCTAGTTAAAGAAGCCTGTTGTCCTATTCGACACAGGGTTAGAACATTGAAAGCTTTAACATGTAGTTTAGAGCGGGATTTCAGGAGACCAGGAATGACGTTTCGCCAACTCGAATCGTTTGCAATAGTGGTGTGGAGTGATAAAGGAATGTGGGAATTTTCGGTCATAGAGGTAAAATGTTTGATAACTGGTTTGTTTTAATGTGCAGTTACGGGTATGAGGTCCGAAATCACCTCCCGGCTACTCACACTATGGAAGGCATTGCTTGAGAAACCTGAAAAATAAGTTGGATGAGTGTTGGTCTTAGAGACATGGGAGCCTGATCTCAGAGTTCAAGGGACAACTGCTTGAGGCCGTTCACACATGGCCTTTTTGTCGTAAGTTAACGTGTCAGTTCCGCTTTTAAATAGCCTTTAGCCAGAGGCGGAAATCAGTGAGCTAAGGTGAGGTGTGACCTTTTGTTGGGTAGGCCTTTTCCAATCATTTCCTTCCTTGTGAGAAGGCGGCGTCGCTGTAGATGCTCTTTGTTCGATAGGAACACATTACTGCTGTCACACCTCTCTACAGTCAGCAATAAGACTTCGCCCTCAGACCCTGAGTAGCTACTTTCAGTCCAATCAACCTGCCTTGCATGGTATGACCTTCAGCAACATATATTCCATCCAATATGGTTTGGTTGAGTCATCACAACAGGCAAGTTCGACCACCACCCGACCAGCTAGGGCTGGGTTAGAGAATTATATTTACTTCAAAGGCTGAGGCTACAGCAAAACGTCAGTGCGTACGATTGCATTGAAGAAGTACCATCTAATGACAATTCAGTTTATTTATTGGTTATCGAGCAAATAATGTACCTGGTTTCGAGAAGTTGAATTTTAGAAAGTTTTAGATGGATGTTAGATGCTTGCTAGGATCCTAAGAACAGCTTTGGTGAAACAAGTTGTCCTGTTTTTACCACTTGTACAGTTTCAAAATTTTTAGAAACTGGAACTGTTAGTGTGAGATTTTTCATGAGGAATTTCGTTTGACTTTTTAGCCAGAGTTATAAGCTTCGGAGGTCGCTGACTTCTGCCCCGGAGAAGCGCCGAAATGATCCTACTGAAGACTGTTGATGTCCCTTTTATTAGGAGAGTGGGATAATTATCAACTTCTGTAAGAAACCTCAAAGACGCTTTGTAGCCATATAGACTGTAAAACCTGTCTGCTGATAAACCGATAAATGTGAATTGTAAAATTCCACCTAATCTTGCCTGAAAAGAAGCTTCCGAAAACCATAACTACAGCTATGTAGGTATAAAACTGTAGAATATTTTGTGAGTAGTTAAATATTTTTAATGGGAACATTAGAAAACAATAAATCGCTAAGAGGCAGAGGATATGTTGTGGATAAAATGAAGTAAAGTGCTTACAAATTTTTACTGATGGCTACTGTAGTTAGTACGGTGTGTATAGGGCAGCAGTTGAGGTGTAAATGTGTCAAAGAATATTAACATAGTATGAACGACTGTGATAACTTTAAAACTATGAAAACAGCCACAGGACTTTGAGTTTTAACAAATGGTCGATGAATCTAACACATTATACCTGTTCTTGTATTTCGTCTCCACATTATATTTGGTTATAATGCTAACTGAATACATGATAATATTTAGAGTTCTATATTTGTTTAACGTATCATCTGAAACTTAAATAAAATATGTGACCGTTTTAGCTTTGATCAAATGATGAAATACCTGTCATTCAAAACAGTTAAAACGAAGTATCAGTTCTGAGAAAGTTAGGCAACTGATAAATGTTCTTGTTCTACTGTTGCTTTGTTTGTATGATTATTATACATTACTCGCAGACATGTAGACAAACTGTTACTGATTTTCTGAATTAAGAACTATTATTCTTCAAGGTCAATTTGATGGCGTATATTTTTACGTTACAGTACTGAATGAAAATTTTCGGAAAATTAACTAACCGGCCAAAATTCGCTATTTGTTCTATTAGTTTTAATCTGTTGTGCTTGCATCAACTCATCATTCTGGTTGTTGTTCTGAACAGGTGACTTGGAATGCGGTGATTTATGACGCTTACCAGAAGATGGCCTCTTTTCAGTAGGAGAAATTTCCTTTTCTGTACGTTTTTTGGCTGACCTGGCACGTTTTGTTTCTTTTTGACGTTCTTCTGCATCTTTCTTCAGTTTAGTCAGTTCCTTAACAGAAAAGATAACGACTTTTGTGTACGACTTGAGCTTGATTTTTAATTATTAGAAAATATACATAACCAGAGAAAAACACTCAAATGATAAGACTTCGAGCAAACTGAGATTTGGTCTCAAAATGTTAATAATTAAGTTTTCCAGCTATCCGTTTGTTTCATTTTTGTAAGTTACCAAGATAAAGGCTTTTATTATTAACCAGAACAATAACCAAGAAATTTATACATCTATGTTAATACTTGGCACAACCGTTTCTACAGTCCTCATTATCATCTTTCATTGAAACTAATCTGTTACGTTGGTTAGTGCAGTACAGTCTCTCCCTCTCTCCATATACTAATACAGTTTATTGATAATTCTTTACAAAAATATCCTTTGTAGTGGCTAAGTCAGTATGTATTTCAGAAGAAGTTGAATAATAAACTTCAATCAAACACGAACACGATCGAATGTTTCTTCAGGCTATGTACACATACTTATGCATATTCTTCTTTTTGATATTTTATTCAACATAATTCAACCCCTTTTTGAAAACATAACTTCTCGAATATTTTAGTTGATTTTCAGTGTAATATAATACACTGCATTTTGACTTTTGAAAAATTTAATTAAGCCTTGTTTTAAAGTGGCTGGTAGGTGATGATATTCTTACCACTCTTTAAATAAACTTTAAATAAACAGTTTCCATTTTCGTATATGTATTTCGCTACCATTAACAATGACACCATATACATGCCTCTAAAATCATAGTGTATATTTACTCATGAAATGTTAAATCAACAGAAATCAGCATAGTTCACAAGAATACATATGAGACGAAGTTATAAACAAGAGTGATACTTTCGAATCGTAATCAAATTCATCTAATCATTGTGAATAAAAGTAATGGGATTAAAATAGTAAATGAAACAAAAACTAGATAAGATAATCTGTCTGCAGTTTAAATGAGTGTGTATATACCTGCTCTCTTTGTATAGCTTTCAGTGATCCAGGTAAAATGAAATCATCTGGGTCTCCCAGTAATGATTTTATGTCACTTTGTGCAGCAGTTGCAACATCTGACTCTGATCCACTAGTTGAACGATTACGTTTAGCTTTTGAACCTTTTTGAGATTTGGGAGAATTTTTCCTAACTTGTTTTGTATGAGGCTGTTGATCAGATAATCTGTCCTGTATAGATTTATAATTCATTTTAAAGAAAAAAACACCACTGTCATAAGTTAAGTCAATTCATTATTTATGAACAAGAATATAAAATATGTTCAAATTCTGTCATTTACCATTAATCAGTTTCTCTTCGCTACTTGACAATATATATACTAATGAGCCTGTAGTAAATTTAAAGATATTATATTGTTCATACTTAATTATTCATGGAATCGTTCATAATAAACTACAACCAGTAACATATATACAAATCGATTTTAAACTAGATAATGTATAGACTTACAATCTCATCAGTTTGTAGTATTTCAGCGCTTAGTTTAGCTGCTTCATAAATTGCTTCCTGCTCTCTTGTCCAATTTCGAATATGCGCTTCAATCAATTGTAAATATGGTCTAAATCCAATTTTATTCACATGAAACCAGCTACACCATGAATAATGATTTGAACGGATTGTTCGATCGAATGGATGATGTGATACAATAAACAAACTCTCATCATACAAACGTTTATAGACATCTAAATAAGGTTTTTCATAATTTAAAGAGTGTAGTCTCTAAAATAAAAATCCATGAGAAAAATGGACGGGCAATCATGTTTATTAATTAAATATGAAACAAGAGGGTAACTCAATAAAAATTAACTTTTGAATTTATGCATTTCATTTGTAAAATAGTACAAACGGAAATCGTAAACATTTATGAATGTAAACAAACTTTTCACAAACGAAATTTCTAGAAGATATTATATTACAGGAATAGCGGACTTATATAAATATTATTTAGGCGTTCAGAATAATTGGAAAACATCAAACAGAACTTCGCTCAGTTCTACTGAGTCCACTGTCGTCAAGCCCTTTCAACTTGAACTTTATACAAAAAAAAGCCGTGGTTTGACCTCTGTCGTTACGGTAAATTGGTTAACATGATACAGGGTTAAGTAAAGCATGTTTTTTCATCAGAGTTATGGAGATTATTTTTTTAAATTGGAATCGTGAACCTGGAGGCACTGAAAGGCCGTTTCGTCCTGGTATGGTAACCTTCAGTAGTGAGCATCCATGACCTCTGTTCACGAGAATCGAACGCGGGACCCTGGGGCTCGTGCGCGAACGCGGAAAGTCGAGACCCATCAATGCTAATGAATATGCTGAATGTGTGTCCATTTGTTTATTTTATCATTTTCTGTACCGTTTCAAATTTAACTTCATTGATTAGGGTACCTAAAACTTTATTTACAGTAACAATACTAATTGTAACTTCACCTGATAACATACCCTGAAATAAAATGAATTCGCTTTGTTCTGCAAATCTTATTACTGTCACTTTGTTTAAATAGGTTGGTCAGTAACAATTTCCTTTACGTGAACTGAGTCATAAAATTAAAACGCTTATATAACAAGTATAAGATTAGAAAGACTCTAAATAATGCGTAAATCTTGATCACTTAGACATTTAGTTAAGTTGTAATAACAATGATAATAATCCATTTGGATAAATCATGTTTCGACTTCCTGTAATCGATATAAACATGTTAATCAACTAAACAACTGATCAAAACGGAATACTCGATTCAGTTACCTATTCGACAATACAAGAACTGATCAAGATACACTTGATTGCAAACACGGATTGAAATCTTGAGGCTAACTAAGCCAGAAAATGCTGTTACTTAGTTATTCAGCAATTAACTTATGGAATTACCTTATAACTACAAAAAGAAATGTAAACCATTCTATGTTAATTCAGTGATCCCCAGGTTAGGTGTTGGTAGTGTAGGCAAACGTAAGTTCATGGATTAGACCCCTGTGGAATCGTTTACGAACACCGTTAAGTCATTCAAAAGTATGACGAAACAACTGTGCTGAGCTTCTTGATTTTAAATCTCTTCCGTGAAGTAGGAATACAAAAACTGAGTTATTACCAGTATGAACAAATCAGTCATGTTGTAGTAGAATCAACCCAAGTGATCAAATACATTTTAAAGCGCTTTGTTCTTGTCAGGTTAATCCTCGTGTAATGTTGTAATGCTCAAAATGATTCTGTATACATCTCAATGATTACTTAAAAGAGTAACAGAATACTGTAATCTTCATAATCACTACAAGTATAAACAAAGAGCACATTCTCTTAGTTATTTAGAAATGGTTTTCGAAATGAATGCTTGATTAATATAACAATGTAACATTTTACCTGTAATAATACATTCGGTTCTAATTTTTCTTCCACTGACCATTCATTTAAATGGATATTTCTAAATTTATCTAAAAGTGTACTAGAACTTTTCAGTGGTACTTTATACATTTCAAATGGATGTTCCGAAGTGTTTTTATTCTTTTCTCTATCCGATGTAGCCATTATCTGGTTGGTTATATGAAGTTCTTTTAAGATTTCTTGCAATTCTTGAGCAAATAAAGTTAATCGGCTAAATTTGTTTTTTTGATTTTTATTTTCGAAATTCATGGTTTTATTCGATCTATTAGGTACATCAAAATGAACTGCTGATAAACTCCGTCTACTACTGACTGATTTAGATCTAGATCCAGCTTCTATTGAAGTGGGAGTAGTATGAGATTCAGTTCCTAGAAAAAAATAAGTCAAATTAGTTGATTCAAATTTATTTGCATTACGGGGTTGTGAAGATTGTCAAGTTACACATTTTTTGAAACCGCGAATAGATCAATGTTAGACCACCATTAGAAACCTGGAAGCACCGGACGGCCGTTTCGTCCTAGTATGGTACTCCTCAGCAGTGCGCATCCACGACTCCTGCACCCCGCAGGATTCGAACCCAGGACCTTCGATATTGTGCGCGAACGCCTAACCATCAAATTTATTTGTTTTTTTAGTTGAACTTTATGATATGACTTTACGCTATGAATCAGACATAATATTTGAGAGCAAAAATAAGTGATTCAACAAAATAAAGCTTTATGAACATGAATCCAATTATCTGAAATTACATAATTGGGACTAAACAGCTTTAATTTTTCTGATTATCAACGCTTATTTAGAATACCACAATCGCTTTAATAGTTAAAAATAGTCCACTTTGAAATAAAATGACTAATGTTCAAATTCACAAATAAATTTGTTTTATCCCAAGAAACTTCGAGGGCATCATTTGAAAAAAATAGTTATACTCCAGGTATTAGTGAAGTAGTTTAGCTGATCATCGGATTTATCTCTGAATGTGCAGTTATAAAAAGAACGGAAGTTTGATTCACTTTATGTCACTATAATACAGTTTGATGTGAAGCTATAAAAATCAGTTATCTATCTGATCTTCAGTAATTTCATGTAAACTTCATATTTTTCGTAATCAAACCATGTGCATCTCATTAGTTATCTAAACAACTGACGAAAATTCATGAAACCTAATCAGTTCTGTTGTCCTACTTCAATCATTGTTATTTAGATTTACTTCATTTTGCTAATGCTTTTAGTCTTAACCAACTTTGCTAACTTTTTTAAATAAACAACCTAGAAAATCTTTAGAATTCGATCTTATAAACTAAGTTAATGAATTGTATATTGAATCATATATCAAACCAACTAGTGTAAAAGATATAATAATTTAGAATATTTCAAACAGTGAGGAAAGGACGCATGCCACTGTTCTGAATGGGTTTCGAAAATGAATAGGATAGCTGTTTGAAAACTTAGGATATATTTCTAGCACAAATCGATGGTGGTTGGCAGCGGGATCCAAAACGTACGTTGTGTCCTGTTTGGAACTCGTCAGCCGGATGCGCCTGAACCTCAGGTTTGATGTTCACTTGAGGACTTGTACCGATTACCGTTCGCTTCAAACGTCATCGCGTTATCCATTTAGCTGGTGAGTCCAGATAACCACTGGCTTGTGCAATTAGGTGAAGTTTGAAGCGAACGGTACTTGATTCGAGTCCCGGGGTGAGCATCAGCACTGACATCCAGGTACATCTAACTGACGTTTCCGAAATAGAAAGAGACATTTCTTGGATCCCACTTCCAGCCACCATTATTTATTCTAAATAAACGTTTGTCATAATGGCTATGTCACGACCTCCCGCACAGGATGCACGTATAACGAATGAGAATGATCAATAACATTCCTGACCATCAATGGGAAGATTCAAATAACCAAAGCAAATGAAGTAGAAAACATTTGTTTTTACTACACATTTCTTATTACCGTTTCTTTTCAAATCAGTAAACCAATCAAGGTAATTTATGTGTCCGTGATCACCTTCTTATGTAAACAATCGATTTAGCTTTAGTAGTTTCCTTATCTTGAAATGAATTATCGTTCGTAAAACTAATTGAAACGTTTTAATAATCTAATTTTATACAACTAAAAAGGATTTATTATTCTATTATAGTTCCCTGTCTACAGAGTTATCGCCCCTGTGACATTCCTTAATTGATATGCAGTGATCAATATTTAAGACTGACATAGGAGTTTGTACTCTTAAACAGGATATTCATTTTGTTTTAAGTTTGTACACTAAAAGTACACGATCCTCAATGACCTATCAATCAATCAGGAAACGCTGCCTATTTTCGAAACAATTCACAGTCAGAGGCAATTAAATAAAAATCTTATCATTACTTTGATCTGAATAATTAACCCTCAGAAGTCGATTTATTTCTCGTAGTAAAAGAAAAAAGTTAAGTTTGCGCATTAGAAGGCGGACTAGAGTTAAGACTCATAATTAAGAGTAACGGCTACCAATTGATAGAATTTTCACCATCAGCTGACACCAGCTATAGTAGTAGAAGGTCAGGTTTCAGTATGAACATCTGAGCTGTAGTTCTGAGTTGGGTTTGAAAGTTGAGGTGGAAATTTTCATCAGGAAACAATATCACGTATTACGCGATGCCTTTTCGCCATTCTGTTTGCAAATTTAATAAAATTACTGTTTTGATTTATTAGGCACTCTTGAATATTTATTAAATCACATTACTTTAGCGTACAATCTCCCTTAGAAGTAGGGATGCCTTGTAATTTAGCCTGAGCACTATATTGAGCTCATTTTATGTGATAGATTTCAAAGACTGAATATTGCCAACATCTGCTTCATTAACAACAGCATACAATTTATCTACCAATGAACTTTAGTGTGCGTGCAAAACACATGGGGCTTATCTTTGTTCTGACTGGCTAACTCAAGGCCATCAGTATATTATTACTTTACTATTTATTCTATATTTTCTAAAAACACCTACCACCTCACGGATATCAAATAATAATCGATTACTCTGTAAGTAAAATTTACCTTTATAACTTGTTCGTATACTCTGTCTAGATGATAATGATGACTTTCTATTGGCAGATGACTCTGATGATAATGATCGGCTACGTTGTTTCGCAGACATCAATGATGATGAAGAATGAGCTGACAAAGAATTAGGCATTGAATTATGTTGAGGCCTTTCACATGTTGTTTCATCTTCATGGGAACATTTCAGCATTTTATTTATTTCACATTCAATTTTGGAAAATAAAACTGATAAACTTTCATATAACAAGTATGGATCATCGAATGATATTGCTGTATTTTTAGGTTGGTCATTACTTTTGTTCATTGGAAGACTGATCTGATTTTCTGTTAATGTCTCCAGAGCAGATTCTAGCGGTTGAATTGTATTCAAAGATTGTTTGAACTGTTTCCTTGTTGAATATGCTTTCCATATCTGTAAACTTTCTAGTTGAAGTTTGCTAAAGTAATGCTTAAACTCTGTAATGTAGCGAAATCAAAAAAAATGTGAAACAATTAGTCATTTTGATAAGTTTTGATAGAACTAAGAGAAGATCAATTACGCATTCGCACTGTTCCATCAAAAGAAAAAACATAAGTTCGATTCGATACATTAGTCCTGATCATAGTGAAAATTTATATTATAATGAGGAATTAGAGCTAAAGAATAGTTATAGATTTATTTCATCGTACATATTAGGCTGGCACGTACATTATTGAAAAAAAAATGTAAAATTGAACGGTAAAAATTATTATTAACGATTGTATCTGTAAAATGAAAAAAATTTCTTGATTTATCTTACCTGATAAGTTAATTTTGCCAAATAATTAATTCATAAATATCTGAAACTTGAATCTTCGTTATTAAATAAAATATTGAATAAGACAAAAAGTTTTATAAATTCAGTTAGTTCTCTTTAACCTGTAACTATTAATATTTTAAAATAAAATGTTAACTATTCAAAAATTTTTATCCTCTACCAGTTTGCAACAAATCAGCTGAAATGATAATGAAAGCTTACATGTTACTATTATCTTCGATTTTTCAGTCAGTCGTGTTATACATCTAGACAATCTTTCAAGTAACTTCAAGTATTCACTAGTCTCAATGCAATGTACTACACGTAATGACTTGGAACAAGGAAATAATTAGTGAAGATTATCGATTGGGCTGAAAACGAATTCCTGTTATCCATAAGACCGATCGCTAATGACTGAACAAATCTCCTACCCGCTACTTTAATAAAACAAAATGAGAACTCTTTGTCGACGTGAGAGGAACTAAACAAGAATTTAGAAGCAGACTGTTTTATTCACCGATAATTAATAGAATGACATTTTGAATAATAATTATACTAACATTTTCAGAATCTGTAAATGTTTCCACAATTAGGATTTGTGAATTATTTTCACTCACCAAAAATGACAAGATAGCACTTTTTTGGTTATCTATTTTTTTAACCAGCTTTATATAAAGAATATATGTTTATTATTTCCAAGTGAAATAACTTCCAATTTATTAGTTAATAGTTCTTAGTTCAGCCCCATGGTAAAGTACATCTTTCGATCTGTGATTATTCGTAAACAATAAGCTAAAATTTAGCATTGCGTTTTTGTACTCACATAACATGTTGATAATGTAAAATAATTGAGCTGTGTTGTTGACTTTGAGAATTAGAGGAAGAAAAAACATTATAAACTTACCTTCTGGCGTGAATCCAAACTTCTCAGCAAACTGCATAAGTTGATCGAATCTCACTTCTTTCATTTGTTTTAAACTTTTATCGATCACTTCGTTTTCAGATTTCTCTTCATTCTCTTTATCAACTTGTAATTCTGGTTTCCATTCAAAATTTAAGTCTTCTTTACATATGTTGTTAGATAGGCTTGGAAATAACTGACTGTATAAATTCAACTCAGTGTTCAATAACTCTTCACTATTTTGAACATTATGTGCTGTGAACAATGTTTTGTATCGATTTTCATCATATGGATGGAATATAACAAATGGTGAAGTACTCAATGGGGATTTTTTGAATTTTACGTGTAACGGCATTTCTTCATTTAATTTCTAAGTTAATGTCAAAATGATTACATTTAAGTATGAAGGTCAATAAAATAAGGCTTTTTAAAGTTTAAAATATAAACCCAGCTTAATTACACATCTGAAATAACATTTGAAGTTATCTGTCTACAATTACTACAGTTTCTTTAATTTGCAAAGTACTTTTTTCACCCTAATACAACAAATGACAAGTTGTGACAAAGTACATTACAAATATGCAATACATTGATTCAGCATTAAGTATTACTGAAGTAGTAATCATCAATGACGGAATTCCTAAGTGTGTTGTCAACACAGACTCATTGTGGGATAAATTTTTGTGCCGACAACTTCTAGTAAAACGTGAAATGTGGTAATTTATCTGCAGGTATACTCATTTTTAATGATAAACACAAGTTCACGAACATTAATAAAATATTTCTTAAAAATAAATGACAACTGTTAGTTATTCGATGAGTAATAAAACTATTCTATGCACTGGCTATGAAGATACCGCTACTTTAACATGCTAAGTTCATGTAAACAATTTTTTTACAACAGGCAATAACTAATTTTTGATGAAAGAAGTTAACTTGATTTTATAGTGTAATTGAAAACCTAGATGACTCTGTAATTATGAACAAACTATGGCAGATATGACATCAGATTCAAAGTATCATAAAATTTAGATTGTAGGCGTACATATCATAAATTTTCTTGAAATATTTATGTTACACTATTTAGCAGTTGACCAAAATGAAGTAGAATTTAACATAAATGAGAAGTCTTTTTATATCACATATAGCTGTTTAAGTATTACTACTTTTCCACATGAATCTTTCTTTAAAAGACTGACAAAAATAAAATCAGTAATTGATGATTAATATAGAAAAATAGAGAAATTTTCATTATGTCGTAATGGTTTAAAAGGCTACAATCAAAAATGAAGCACTGAAACATACTACTACTACTTTCGCCTGTTACCCCAAATGGAGCATAGGCCGCCCACCAGTTTTCTCCAACCAACTCTGTCCTGGGCTTCTTCCTCCAGTTCTGTCCAATGTTTGTTCATTCCTCTCATATCTTTCTCTATTTCACGGCGTAATGTATTCTTTGGCCTTCCTCTTTTCCTTTTGCCTTGAGGGTTCCATGTGAGGGCTTGTCTCGTGACGCAGTTAGGTGTTTTTCGTAGAGTGTGTCCTATCCACTTCCACCGCTTCTTCCTGATTTCCTCTTCCACTGGAACCTGACTTGTTCTCTCCCACAGTTCGTTGTTGCTGATGGTGTCTGGCCAACGAATACGAAGTATTTTACGTAGACAGCTGTTAATAAACACTTGTATCCTCTGGATGATGGCTTTGGTAGTTCTCCATGTTTCCGCTCCATACATTAGAACTGTCTTGACATTTGTATTGAAAATCCTTATTTTGGTGTTGATTGATATCTGTTTGGAGTTCCAGATATTTTTCAACTGTAGAAATGCAGCCCTTGCTTTGCCAATCCGTGCCCTCACATCTGCATCCGATCCACCTTGATTGTCGATGATGCTGCCCAGATATGTAAAGGTGTTAACGTCCTCCAAGGCATCTCCATCAAGAGTGATTTGGTTGGTGCATGTTGTGTTGCATCGGAGAATTTTGCTCTTTCCTTTATGTATGTTGAGACCTACTGCTGCAGAGGCTGCTGCTACACTCGTCGTCTTCTCTTGCATTTGTTGTTGAGTGTGCGATAGAAGAGCCAGATCATCTGCGAAGTCCAGATCGTCCAGCTGCGTCCTAACTGTCCAGTTGATACCGTGCTTCCCTCCAGCTGTTGACGTTTTCATAATCCAGTCGATCACCAGGAGAAAGAGAAAGGGTGAAAGTAAGCAACCTTGCCTGACACCGGTCTTTACCTCGAAAGAGTCGGTTAGCTGTCCTCCGTGCACGATTTTGCAGTTGAATGCATCATAAGAGTTCCGTATGATGTTAACTATTTTCTCAGGCACCCCGTAGTGTCGAAGAAGAGTCCACAGTGTTTTCCTATCCACGCTATCGAATGCTTTCTCGTAGTCGATGAAGTTGATGTAGAGTGGTGAGTTCCATTCAATTGATTGTTCCACAATGATCCGTAATGTAGCAATTTGGTCAGTACACGATCGATCCTTCCGAAATCCGGCCTGTTGATCTCGAAGTTGGGCGTCAACGAAGTCCTTCATTCTGTTTAACAATACCCTGTTGAAGACTTTGCCTGGTATTGAAAGAAGAGTGATGCCTCTGTAGTTCTCACACTTGCTGAGGTCGCCTTTCTTTGGTATTTTGATCAGGTATCCTTCCTTCCAGTCTGATGGTACTTGTTCCTCATCCCAAATCTTCTTGAAGAGGATGTGAAATATTTTCGCGGTTGCTTCTACATCTGCTTTCATTGCCTCTGCTGGAATGTTGTCTGGTCCTGCTGCTTTGCCGTTCTTGATTTGTCTGATGGCCATACTGATCTCCTCAATCGTAGGTGCGCCAATATTAATTGGGAGGTCCGTGGATGCTGCTTCGATGTTGGGTGTCTTCAGAGGAGCTGGTCGATTTAGGAGTTCCTTAAAGTGCTCTACCCACCTATTTCGCTGTTCTTCAGTGTTGCTGATTACTTTGCCTTCCTTGTTTTTCACTGGTCGTTCTGGTTTACGATAGTTCCCGGCGAGCTTCTTTGTAGTTTCATACAATTGTCTCAAGTTTCCGTCTCTCCTGGTTCTCACATCCTCCATAGTCCTTCTGAACGTTTTGTTGATACAGATATGATCAATCTGGTTTTGAGTAGTGTGATCCGGTGAAATCCATGTGGCTTTGTGAATGCGTTTGTGCGGGAATATTGTGCCACCGATGACCAGTTTGTTGAAGGCACATAGGTTTGCAAATCTCTCACCGTTTTCGTTTCTTTCTCCCAGTCCATGTCGTCCCATGATGTCTTCATATCCAGTGTTGTCCATGCCAACCTTGGCATTCAGGTCTCCCATAAGAATCGTCAAATCCTTTGGTGAACATTTATCGACGATTGACTGCAGCCTTTCGTAGAATTGATCTTTGTCGTCGTCATTGTAGTCATTGGTAGGTGCATAACATTGGATGACGTTCATTGTAATGTCCTCTTTCTTTGTTTTGAAGGATGCTTTAATGATCCTGGGTCCATGAGATTCCCATCCTATTAGTGCCTTTTGTGCATGTTTGGACAGCATCAATGCAACTCCTTGTGTATGTGAAGCATTTTCCTCTTCATGACCAGAGTATAACAGCAGTTCCCCTGAAGCTAGTCTCAGTTGTCCTACTTGTGTCCAATGTGTTTCACTGATTCCAAGCACCTCGAGGTTGTATCTTCTCATTTCTGCCGCAACTTGAAATAGTCTTCCAGTCTCCCACAATGTACGAACGTTCCATGTACCTAAAAAAATGGTTGCTCTGGTTGTCAGAAGAGGCATCAGCCCCGTGACTTCCGAGGGAACTCGGCTTTCATCACGCGACGTCATAATTCTTCCTCCAACTCCCAGGGAAGAGTTAAAATGGTTAGAATTATTTTTTCTGGTTAGCGTTTTTTTGGCAAGTTAGTTTTTGACGGAATGGGGTCGCCAACCCCATGTCCAACCCTCCTCCTTTACCCGGGCTTGGGACCGGCAGTAGCCCCGAAGGTTCTACTGGTGGAGTTCACTGAAACATAAGTTCAGAGAAATTCTTAAGTAAAACAAGATTAATAATATGATAATTTATAAATGAAAAGTTTATTTATTTAACTCAAAATAATACATTCTGAGCTACATTTTCTTAGTACTGTATTTTAATAAATTGGATACTTTTATCCATTAGTAAATACTTTCCAGGGACTTCAATTAAAATACATTAACTTTCTAGTTTACAGGGAATTTTCGATTAGACTTAAATGAACAGGTTTTAGCCCTTCTAGTAAGCTTTTTAACTGGTTTAGTTGATCTCTAGCTTGACTAGCCGTTTTGATGGAAGTAGAATAACGTCAGAAATGTCAGGCCAGTTAGATGGAATAAAACATGAGCTCGATGAGTGATACACCAATTTCAACTGATTTCGAACTCACTGAAACATTTGGGAGGGTTGACTGCGTTCTAGAAATACAAAACACCATTGACTCTGAAAAAGTGCAAATCAGCACCCAAGTACTTTTTAAGTGAACATGGTCATCCAAAAAAGTTTTCTGATTGTGTCAGAGAATGTAGTAACATAGATTGATTGGGGATTCTTTTAGGCTCCATGTTGTCTAAGTTAATACACCAAATATTTCGATTCGCTACTATTATATCATTTTAAAACATTATACCAATTGTGTTACAATGTTTGTTTATGTTTTTCGCATACTTTTTAAATTTTTATTCATGTAAAACTTTTACAAAAAATGATTATGTGGATGAGTGTGCTGAAAACAATTATTCTCAATTCAGAATAGTAGTAGAAACTAGCAGCTGAAGTTACCTGCATCCTAGTGTTAGCGTTCACATTGATACATGAAGCCAATACTTATTGCTTCGAACATCAACGCATCATCTCCCAAGCTACTCAGTTCAGACAGCCAAAACATGTTTAATGGATTTACTATTTATTATTCAGGTACTTATTATGCAAATAAATTCAGTTGATGTATAACAATTTGTTGGGGACGTTATATTTCCATAACTCACTTGGAAAGGTCCTAATTTTGTAATTTTATTCTGAAATTTTGAACTTTCATGTTTTCGCACCAGTTAACTTTCAGCTTACATTTCCCCTCGGAAAATCCTTGACTGTTATAGGCCGATGGATTGATTTCGTACGCTATTTTGTGGCTCCCCCAAGGCAGTTTCTATAATTGTATAAATAAGCCTGATACGTGTGCTTAGACACCACGTATTTTCTTGGTACTGGTAGAATACATTCTCTACGCCTTATCAAGACTTCCTAATCTAGTTAACAGGATCTGGAACAACGGATTAAAATAGCCTATCGCCTCACTGAATCGTTGAGGTTCGTTCCCTTTACCGAATAAGGTGAACTTGTAATAACATCCAAGTTTATCAGTTGATGAACATATCAAGTGATCCCATTCCCGTCACCAACTGATATGCTTGAATTCTATTACGAGTTCACTTTACTCGGTAAATGGAACGAAAGTCAACGATAGTGATACAAATACAATAAAACACACTTCCCAAATTTCACATTTAACCAAGATTTATCTATTCCTAATAATATGTGATCCAACGGCTACATCAAGGCAACCTGAAAGGGATCCACCTTTGCCGACAGAGGCTGGTCAAAACTCAATCTAAATATTAACATTCGGACAACAGAAGCCTTTACTAATAATGATATCATTTATTCAACAGTACTTAAAATAATACTCAGTGTTTAAATATACTAGTAAAAAAGATTGAAGTATATATTTAGTTGAATAGAAAACATTTGAATAGTCTGGAAAGTATTACAAGTATATATCATAACATTTCCGCCATATCATTTTTGATTTTTTTTTTCACCTTTTTTCGAATTAATAAACAAAATTTCGTTCGATAAATATAAGTTGTTTTTATTTATGTTATTAAAATAGAAAGCATCATGCCGCCCGTTCTGCCTATTGAGTCTGTTATACAAATTATTGTTAGTAAAGAAAACATATTTTTTTCAACAGCTGTTAACGATTAATTTGTTCACTAATATGAATTCGCTAAAAATATCCATCTTTATTACAAGTACTTTATAAAAATAGTTTCTACAGACCATCTATATCAATGAGAATGAACTAGTAAAAAGGACATCTAGTAATAATTAAACATTCCATTGGATTTCAAACGGCAAGGTGCTAAAGAGTATAGACCTTTATCAAAATGAATTCAGCACGTTCAATGATAAGTTAGTATGGTATAACATTGTGAACGTAAGAGTGAAACGATTCCGTCGACGAAATTTTCGTAAAAATTCATTGTTCAGTTTAAGAATAATACACAACTTGAAGACCAGGTTTGTGTAGTTCTAATAATTTGATTTCTTCTAGGAGTGGTTTATTGCACTCACGTAACATAGGACACTGATGAAAAAGCATCTAATTAGTTCATATAATGGTTGGAGGTAATCGGTAGGGAACGCTGGTTCCGTGCTATTTGGCCTTCGACATAAAAGTGTACCTGCATTATTCAGGGAACTCGCACTCCCTGACGGATCCAATCTCGTATCACTTAGACTACTGGCCACATTGAAATTGACTCACAGAATTCGATTAGTCCAACTGAATAACATTTGTTCCTAGAACTAGTATTGTCTTATCCTATTGTGAAATTAGTATTTGTGATGCTTAAAACAATGCCATCTCGCTGATCAATGAATTATCAGTTTAATTTCATTAAAAGTGAATATTCACTAAGCTAGTGCCGGAAAAATGTACACTGTTATGAAATGAGATTCTAATCATCGATAAATTAACAATGGAAGATGAGATAACGATAATTTAAGACATTAGTACCCTAATTAACTTGCCATAAAACTCGAAACATTGTTACACCTATTAACATCATGATAAATTGTAGGTATCAGCTATTTAAACATTAGTAAAGTACATTTCGACCGGTAAATGTATATACATATCGATTTAGTGTAAGACCATACGTCTTATCACAAATCCCCTGGACCAATTTGCAGTAAGACACTGATGCCTATAGTTTCATAATCAGTGGTCTGAAAAACGGGTAACATGAAAAAAGTCAGTCACATTGATGTAAATTTATTCATTTTCTATTTTTCTTTGAATCGACACCTTTCATTTTCCATATTTCCGCTTCATTTGCTCCTTTTAAAATGTAAATTTCATTTTTAAATCTTCCTTGCTTTTAATATCATGTTTCTCAGATTGTGGATTCCCTCGCACCATAGTAATGTGAGATTTAGCAAATATGGCTGATGAACATATGTCTGGATGTTTGTTCAAAATGATAGACTGACTTTGTCACGATGAGAACATATTGAACATTAAAAGACTCAGTTAAACTATAGATAAAAGTGACATTTCAAAATGTTTGGACGATTGTTCAACGTATCATTCAATAATATCATTGATAATTTTTATTCTCAACATTTTTCGAATCAACTAATACAAAGATGATGAACGAAATTTAGGAACTAACTAATTTTAATCACAATGTTTTTAGCAAGTAGAATCTAAATTTCATCTCTGTTAATAATGACTAAATTCGGTAACCAAGATCATTTTACTGTGAAAGTTGGCTTCATTTCGAAAGCTTAAAATGGATCACTTAACTTGCCTAATTTTGAATTTTAGTTGGAAAGTGAAGTTTCAACTATAAGACAATTCGGTTTAAGCAGAAACTAAAACAATCATATTTGGCAACAAATATTTAGTATAATAACTTACAGTTCTCTCTTCTTCAGTTAAGAACAGTTTGTCTACTTCGTTCGCAATATTCCTAGCGATATGTGGATCGAATCCTTCATTTTTAGCTTTCTCGTCAATTAATACTGTCTTTGGTAAAACTCCATTTACATTAGCAGAAACCTATTTGGAATCCATAAAAAGTATGATAAAATTTGTTGATCACTGTTATAATGCAGTAACAATAATTACAGTGTGAAAACATATTTGCAATATCCCAATGAGTAGAAAAATGGATTTTTTTTGACACTTTGTAACTCAGCCTACGCCGAGTCTTGTGAAGTCGTAATTCCTGTCAAAGAAAATCAAACCTACACAATAGGCCCCAAAATGATCCTTCAGATCTAGGAAATCTACAAACCAAGTTAGCAATATTAGTATGTACAACTTTTAAAAGGAATCAAATCGATATTAACAATATGAAAATATTTCAACTATGAAAATAAGTCTTCCCATTAATAATATCAAAACGATTCAAAATGAACCAAACGAGAGTCTGAAGCGTTCTATACATTACTAAATGTTACTGCACTCAATAAAAATGAAGACCTTATCGTCCATCGTACTTGGTCAATCTTTCTAAGCTACCTTGATGAAGATAAGTGGTAATTACAAGATATTATTGTTATTTGATATAGATTTGGTCACTGAAAAATTGTAGATTAAGTAAGTGACTGAGAAAATAAAGAATCTATCTATTTTATGACAACCCTGTTGATTAGTTCATTGTCTAGTTCATTAGCGCCTACCTAGTTGGTAAAGCTGACCAAAATGCAAAAGCCTTAGAATTCTGCGAACTGGGATGTTCGTTATTGCACTCATTTTTCATCTACCTAATTAAGAGTCAACCAGAATCGTTTCAGACTGAGACAAATGACGTTGTGCATATCCATCAACAGAAGTTACTGTCATGTATTTTGCATAAAGGTTCACCGACAATCCTGCTGATAATCGTAGTCGATGTGAATTAAAGAGTAAGAAATAGAATGATCAGAACGAAAAGCTGAATCAGTTCATGAAGATGTGCACTGTTCGGAATCTTGTAGAAGTATGTAAACTTCTTACGTCAGTTCTCCAGGATCAATGGTTAGATATTCAAACTCGGCCTGTAGATATGTAAGCAAGATTAGTGATAATAAATCCAAATAAAATAAATATATTTACTTTTTATATTTCTAAATAATGAACGTCTGATTTATTCCACTATGTCATGTAACTTCGCAGCCGGAACTTATGTATTTCTGCTCTAGGTTCTATGTTTATGAGCCTGTTTGTTAGAAGGTTTTGTTGATTAGGGTCAATTTATGTAATCGAATACTTATTTATTTAATGTTCTGGAGAGAAAATGAATATATTTAAAATCATGCTCTGGAGTTTAACAGTACAAAAATATGATCCAATATCGAAATTAACTAACCCTCTTGGTCTTATGCAGACGACTATGCATTGTCAGAGAATTTTATTTTTATTAGACTTACCTGTTCTAATAAAGCATGAAGTATAAGCTCAACACTTGTACTTTCAGTTGGCAAACCTTGAAGAATTTCTTGATAAAATCTTGTGTCAACAAAGTTTTCTGCTAAATTATCACCACTGTCTTCGGATCTCGGTACAGATTTATCAGTATTGTCCGGATGCAGTCCGATTGCTAATTTAGACATTTTCAACAGTTGACTACCACTTGAGGAATTATTTTCATCCAATAAGGGAGGGCATATAGGTAAGTGAATAACCTTTATATGTTCTAAGTAATTTTTCCACTGGCGTCTAAAGTCTATCAGATCATATAGAATGCTAGATATTTCATTAAACATTGTGGCTCCAAAAGATGCCTAAAAATTGGAAATAAATAAAGCAATGCGTCAAGAATTAAATGAAATATTCCAAAAGTAAGTGATAGGATGTTAAAAAATTTCATTGACAATCTCGGTATAACAGATAATACTATCAAAAGTTATTTTCTGACATTCTCTGTTTATTGTGTGTAGCAAACTAAAACCTGAGGAATTTAAGCTCACGAAATCTGTCTTATATGAAGTAGGTATACTAGTACCTTTATTGTCATATAAGGTAAATTTTTAAGATCCGTTTCTTTACAGTTCAGGAAGTAAAATTAAAACGATGCAGATTAATACAAAACTTCAGTTTGTACGTGACAGCAGTTTCAAAGCTGGACTATACTGATTGGTTCCATCTATTTTTGTCTCAGATTTCTAAATGATTATTTCATCCAACTTCATAAGTCACGATGAAAACAAATAACTAAATCAGTCAACCTACTTATGAGTAGTAACTATTTTAAAGTATAAATGTTGGCTTGAAATATACGTCCCTTTTTATTCTGCTTGTTAATTATTGAATAGGGATGCAACGAAATAAGTTGTTAGTTTTAATTTTCGGTTAACATCAAATTTTCGTGGTCACCTTTATCTTCAAACTTCTTTTACCTTGTGAAAATTATTTTTATGGATCTTGTCTGCAGAGTAGCAATAAAAATGTGAAAGACAAGCTTTGTGATCATGAATAGGCTTAACTTCATCCACACTAAATGATAAGAAGTGACTAGCTAGTTCTCTTCATATCCTTGGTTTACTTATTCTTTGGATGTTTTACACTTATTACATCTATGCTGAGTAGTTTTAACTTGATTAACGTATTTAATTGATCGTTGCATGGTTGACTGTGATTATTTGTAGTCGTATTAATAAGATATTTATTAAACGCAGGTCACAGTGAAGCTACATCAAAGATGAACCGTGAATTCTAACAAACAACTCTGAAAATTCCATACCAGTGAGGAAAAGTAAAACATAGATCTACAACTCAAGTATTAAATATCTGTTATCCTAGTGAATAGTTTGCCATGATAATTGCCTCTATTTTATACAAGTTGGTGTAAGTTTTCAAATACGTTTCATATTTTCTGGATTGATCAGCCATATTTATAGTTTTTCCTTCGAGAAAATCACCTACGGTTATCTATTCAAGTTAATTTGTCTAGTTCAAAGATTTTTAGTGAAAACGTTTATTCCATGGTTGCAGCAATGCATCAAAACTAAGAGACGCTTGAATTTAACATCTCAACGACGAAGAAAAGAATGAATATTTGCATATTATAACTGTTCTGCCAAAAATGACTTTAAGTTCGCCTCAGGAGTTCCGTTCTACAACTGAGTGGGTGTTTTTACTAACTACTGAAAGCTTTTTCTTGGGCTAAAAATTTCCAAACAGAAACGGATGTAACTTTTTTTACCGAATAAATTATGTTTATGATAAGTACCGAATATTAAAATAAGTTGGATGCATTCAATAACTAACCCTATTCTCCGCTCCATTTAGGTCATCAGGAAGTAATTCTGTTTTGACATTATAATCTAACGTGGCAATATTCCCTAAACGATCATAAACATGATCTCGCATCAAAATACTGGTTGTACGCCAATACTGTTTTAATTGTTCTTCTGCCAATAATAATGCTTCTTCTTCAGATCTCACTTGTTCCAAATCTTGTTCAGCTAAAAATTAAAATTACAGTGTTTACATAAGATAAAACAGAAATGTTGGAGGAATGGGGTTTATAACATTTGACTTCATTTAGAATTTTATTATAGGAGGAAAACTGGTACTCTAGCTAACAGGAATAATGGTGATACTGTTAGCTTTGTACTTCCGGTATATAGGATTTAATTGTGATTATAAGTAGTGTTATAAAACATCCTGTTGCAAATTTATTTACTGCCATCAAAAACACGACAACTAACAAACGAACGGCAGTTTAATTACATCAGTCGGTCAGTCAGCTACAACGTAGAACAGTGAAAATTGCCACACCACATTAGCACAGAGATGCGATTGTCGATCCAAATCCCATAGCAGCAGAGGTAGCAGAAGTATGAGCGGTACTTAGAAAATTTAGGGTTCGAGGATATTATTCAAGAAGTATAATCCAGTGAAATGAAGTTGAGAAGAGAAAGATAAAGGTGATGAGGAATTCAGAAGATCAGAACTTCAGAGAAGATAAAAAATTAAGGCATCCGAGCCACTGCAAATGATTAATGATATTAAGTAGTCATTTCACCCAATTCTTCGGTTTGAAAGCAGCTTTAAATGTTTTCTTTTCAATAAATACTCAAAATTGACTATTTAAACTAAATATTTAAATAAATCATCAAACGAGTGATATACGTTTTAGTAAGTTTCTCCGAAGAATCTATAAACATAAATCAATAATTAGGTAGATTTCAAGTTAAATAAAAGCAAAATATTTAATTTTCATCATGGACTAGCATTATCCTGAATAACGACTGAAAATCAAGCATCAAACAACTGTTTTGTGGATGGAACTGAATAGCATCGGTCCTACATTTACTGGTATTGAGCCATGATAACTATTCTCTAATTGAACTAATCTTCTCAAACTACCAAGATAGACGATAATTATCCGCCCACCAGATATTAATTTTAAGATGTTTTCTGGTAGTTTAAATTAAAAACCTGAATCCATCGATTTCCAAAACGTTATAAATAAAGAAAGAACCTGTGACATTGAATCATGATAACTGGATTTCACGAAAAATTAACTGCATTCGCATAAGGTAACCGTCTGATTTCAACTCAGTGACGTTAGATTATCGCTAAAGCTATTAAGCTTGAATGTTTTGTGTTAGATTTATTATTAAATTATAATAAGTTATTACTAAAGTTCCGATTTCGATCAAAACAGCTGTAAAATGTTATTTAGTTTTCAACGGTTTATTATCTAATATGAACTCATCAACTTAACAGCCCACACACCTCTGGTGAGTTAAATGATTGTAACTAATTTTAAACTATGAATTTCCTTGTAATCTTGTTGGTACTGTGATGACTAAAATAGAAGAGTTGGCTGAATCCCTAAAAATCCTGTTTCCATCATTCTAAAGAATACCTCGATAAGCAATCTGTATTAATGGGAGAAATCAACTTTGAACTCCATCAATATTAGGTGTGCATACAATAATAAGTACGTGAAGGAGAAATGAAATATTTGTCACGTGTTTCTTAATTCAAAACTACAGCAATCTTCAAAAAAGTTCATAAAAATGCATGGATTTAGTTCAGATTATTGTGCATTACTTTTAACTGAAATCACCGCATATTATGATAATGAACCTTTGTTATAACGGAGAGAATATTGATAAAGTCGCAGCTTCAAGACTATATTAAGGTGAATTATTGATATATTTATTGTATAAATATGAAACATATAAATTATTGAATTTTCGGATTCCCTTAACAGCAAGTTCTCATCATCATCATATTATTATTATATTATATATTTTATTATTCCACAATTATAATCAATCAACTGTTCTTCTATTTCCCTGATTTCTTGTCATTTATGACTAGTTGATAAATGTAATGTAATTAATTAAATGAACTGGTATTTAGTGTTTTGTATCATAAAAGTCTCGAATTACGGATGCCACTGAAACTATGAAAATATGTCGTGGTGGAGTTTCGTTCTCTGAGCTGGATATTTTGGTTGTGAAGCTTTCATTGTTCTTCTGAACAACATCATCAGCACAAAATTCAGATTGAAGTGAAGTATTCGAATTTCTCCACGTTTGACCCGTAGCTTGTTCTGTCAGCCTCAATCTAGATTAGTTGTTATTACCCATCAAACTGTCATTATCCGCCCTATTAAGATAAATTTCAAGCATGTTGAAATGCTCCGGTAAGTCTCTCACACAGTCCTTGAATAAACTCAAGGGGGTTCAAATCGACAACGACGAAACGATAATATTCTTCGACGCTACAGCCTTATTCACCTCGAAAGAGCCAAGCTCAGCTAAAGAAACTCTTTCCCTGCTCCTCGCTAACGACATAAATCTTCAAAATGTATGAAACTCCAGAGTCAAAGTCTCCTAGAACTCGTCGATCGATGCGTAACAATGTATTTTCAATTTAACAATACATTCTACGAACAAACGAAAATAAGATCGATCTGATCATCGATTTCGGGACTCATCGTGGAACCTGTGGTCCAGCCAAAAATGTGGGTTCGCTATTTAGACGATACATTCGTCATCATCAAAAGGAACGAGCTGGAGAACATCTACATTCGGATCAAAAACGTCTTTGATGACATAAAACTCCTCATGGAAAAAGAGTCAGACAACATTCCTGGATGTACTAATCATCAGAACTGACGCAGAGTAACTGGAGACCCAAGTTTTCCTGAAGCCAACGCAGACCGAATTCCCAAACGTAGCAGCGATAACCCAATAATTCACGAGATCAACTGCGTACAAACGTTGTTCAAGAGAGCGTAGACACACTGCAGCATACATGAATCACAAAAAAAAAATAAGAAAAATATCTAATGACTATCTTCCAAAAGAACAGGTACCCATGCAACTTCGTCAAAAAACATCAACTGAAATCGTCAACAGAACCGAAACCAAGTGCAGGATCCAACAAGCGGATCATCCTACCATACATAGAAAACATCGGTACTTACAGCACGACTACTGAAACTATTTGGAATAGGTTCAGGATACAGACCAACAGATCCAATCAATCGGATATAGACCAAAGGACAAAATGACAAAGGAAGAAAAACCAAATATCATCTACTAAATAAACTAATCAGACTGAAAAACACTGCACAGGACAAAGTGGACGGCATTTTTAGCTTCGTTTACGTAAACACCAATCAGCAGTCAAACGCCACGACAATTCTTCGATTATATCAATACACACCGACAATCATGGACATACGTTCGATTGAGATAATGTTAAAACACTGGATAGGGGGATCACAAATAACAATAGAAAATTTTTAGAACCTTGAAACTCAGGTTAATCAGCAATCAACAAACATATCGACATTGATCCAATTTGTCAACAAATCAGAAAAATCATAGACAACCATAGGATCAAGAGCCAAATCAAAGGGAGATACAATCAAAATAGAGAGGCAGATTATGACAGGTTGAAGGTCAATACCAGCTAATCAAGATTGAGGCTGACAGAACAAGCTACGGGTCAAACGTGGAGAAATTCGAATACTTCACTTCAATCTGAATTTTGTGCTGATGATGTTGTTCAGAAGAACAATGAAAGCTTCACAACCAAAATATCCAGCTCAGAGAACAGAACTCCACCACAATCACCCAGATGAGCTACTAGTTTTCGCCATCTCAGTGAAAACATATGTTCACTAACTTTGCCTTTTGAACAGACACTTAGTAAGGACGAGTATGTTGGCTAATCAGCATTATGATTCCTTAGTCGCCATTCTTCTCTATTGAGTCATTGGTCAAGAGATCTTTACCTCCCTGGTAAGACAGAAAGTCGTGTTGCGATAGGTGGTTAGATGAACAGTTCAGTAAGCGAACTCAAGAACTCAACTACTCCTATAATTAATAAGCTGATAAGGCGAGCAGGAATAAAAGGTAGAAACGTGTTTTGAAGATACAAAAAACTTCATTACTTACATCCTTTGGAACCCCACATTTTTTCAGCCTTCTGCTTGGTGATTAATACTTCAAGTTGTTCTTGATCAAGTACATGTAAACGTATAATACTGTGGATGTCTATTTGAAGACGACATAACTCCTCTAAAAGTCCACATTTTTCAAAATTAACAAGAATAATATATCGACAAATTCCATTATCCGGTTCATCACCTGTTAAATTTATTGTTAAACAAAATAGGAGGTTTAAAGTAAGAGGAAATTATTAAGATAACTATAAGAAAGATAAACTATGAAATAGTTTCGATCATTTTTCTTCATTTCTATAAATTTTAGCTGACTTAATTTAATCGAGGGTGGACACGATAGTCGATTATTCATCGAAGATTGAACTGCTGACATGTCTAGCAATTCATAATTATCCTAAAGTTTTCTTTATTACTCTAAAGGGTCTATAATCCTTCGCGTTGTTCAGATTCTGAGTTAATTTGATTAGTTTGCACTGAGACGTAGAGACTCAATCAAAGTAAGTAAAGGGTAATAACCGATTTGACACCTGGTAGTCTAAAGCCATCAACTGAATGAATAAGAAAGGTAAGATTAATCTTCATTAAAGTTTCATTTAACTACTGAAATTCTAACTTTTATTTGAAATTAGTTGAGCAAAATAAATGAAACTATGATGCATTATTCATGTAACAGGGATAAGACCAATGTTTATCAAAGTTTATAAACAGACTTAATAATCAGAGCGTTAAATATTATACTATTCGCGTAATTTCATCGCCAAGTTGGTGAAATCAAGGTAAGAAGGGAATCAAAATGTTTTGTTTGACAACTGTAATGTCTTAACAACAATAACTTAGTTTTGCAAAAACTACAAACTGAAATTCATTACATGTACACTATAAAGATTACTTGTCATTGAATAAATTGAAACAGGGTTAGCAAGAAAACACTGAATTACATGAACGTTTATGCTGAAAGGTAACTTTATTTTTCTTTAGATTTCGAAGGAACACTACTTAATAAATTAGCCTTAGGGAAAAACGATTTGTTTTCACTTTAATATTAAATGCAGAAGGCCTAAGAGCCACTAATGAAAATACCACGTTACGTTTTTATAGTCTCAAGTTGTAATTACTTTACGATCAAAATCTAAATCTTCATGTCCAAAGATGAACCCTAAAAATGATCTGTTAATCAGGTGATACTGAAAATACTGGTAACGTAGTTTATGCTCATAAATTCATTGTTCTTCTGAACAACATCATCAGCACAAAATTCAGATTGAAGTGGAGTATTCGAATTTCTCCACGTTTGACCCGTAGCTTGTTCTGTCAGCCTCAATCTTGATTAGCTGGTATTGACCTTCAACCTGTCATAATCTGCCTCTCTATTTTGATTGTATCTCCCTTTGATTTGGCTCTTGATCCTATGGTTGTCTATGATTTTTCTGATTTGTTGACAAATTGGATCAATGTCGATATGTTTGTTGATTGCTGATTAACCTGAGTTCCAAGCTTCGAAAAGTTCTCTAGTGTTCTTTGTATTCTCTCTACCAGGTTTCTAAACTTTATTTCCAATCAACTACTCCATTTCTATCTGAGGTTTGTACTGATAATACTGTTCAGAAGAACAATCAAAGCACTACAACCAAAACACCCAGCTCAGAGAACAGAACTCCATCAAAGTCATCCATTTTCTCCACTTCTTAAGCTTGTGGATACAAAAGTCAACTAATTTCCAATATTATGTGCGTGAAAAATGTGTTCCTAAAATTATTTTGTTGATCACAGTGAAAGAATATCACCTCTTAACTCAAAACAGTTATTACAGTTGGACAAATAAGATGAGTTTAGTAAAAATTCAATGCTTAAGTCTAACCTTGATTCAAGTGAAATATCATGCAAACTAGGATTAAAAAGATGATGCAAAAAAGTCTACTATAGGCTTCCAGTCTTTGAGAACACAATAGACATCATATGTATGACACGTTTTGACACAAGTGTTTGAGATTTATATACCTACCCAGGTATTTGTCCTCCAATACTTCTTCTCCCCGTTTATAAAGTTTACTTTTTTCTTTGTTAACCGGTGGCTCTTGTGCTTTCGTGGTTTTAGCACCAGATTTTTTATCTTTGGGATTTTCTTTCTTTTTGGTTTCTTCCGCCCGATTAGTCCTTGGAATTGACTGTAAGATGAATATGAAAGAGTTAAATTATTCACACCATACTTCATATTTTCTAAAGCTCAAAATTTACTTCATTTAAACAGAAGTTCGGGTTTCTATTTGTATTTTATGAAACATTTCCATTCGAACAAATTCAAAATTTCCCAGAATCACAAAAAGTGATGTTAACTGGACTGATTCACATAGAAAGAATAGTAATATCATAGAATTATATGTTATGCTAATCAAAGACCATTAACAAATTGCTGTTTAAATAATTTACTTTTCTTGAATACTGGTTGACATTTTCAAATCAACGGAAATCAATAAGAATTAGGATTTGATTCAAGATAGGTAAGGTGGATTTGACCTGATCAGCGAAACATGATACAAACTTGGGGAAATTCATTTATATATTGGAGATCCAAAAACTGTGCTATAATATCCATTTGACCGGATAAAGACATTATTCAACAAAATGTTGACTTTATACCTATCCTTCACTGTTTATAATTTGAGCACTTAACTTCTGTTCATATTTCATATCTCCTTCAAAAGTATTGCTACTGTTTATTTTGAACTTAGTCAAATGTAATGTCTTATTGTAGTCTTTAAGTTCTTCATATGTAGATCTATTTGTCCGTCTTTCATCTTAATTATAAAGCAATTTTTACTCAGCAACAGCGTACACTCAGATATCGATTTTGTTAATAGTAACGCTAGCCAATTCATTCATCCGTTACTTATTAAATACAATGGGTCAGCCATACTCAGTTTGGACAAACAAATACATCAAGCCGATGGTTTAGTCTTCAAGATCATGTTTCAGAAAGATCCAAGCTTCATTAAAAGCGTACATAATACCATCGCACTAGCTAAAATACAGGAACGGGTCGGAAAAACTTAATAAGCACGCACTCAAATAAATCTTTATGTGGAAATATCTTTAATTAAATTAATCACATTGTGGATAACACAGAAAACTATTAAATTATCTTGTCATGAAATTTAGCAGTTTAAAAAGACTCCATTCAGATGAGAGCTAACAAACTTTCTTGACAAAAATCTGTAGTGCATTCATGAAAAGCGGAGTGATCTGTTGTACTGAATGCTAATAAGTATGGGTCGAAAAGGTCGTGCTGTCCCATCAGCTGTTAGTGTTTACCGAAAGTCGCAAGTTACAAGCTTAAAAAAATTGATAAGATGTAATTTTCAACAAAGCTTTATACTTCAGTCGAGTAAACCGCTCCTAACATATTAAAGATTAAACCAAAATAATTCGAGGATGTTCTGTGCACTTAGTATACAATTCAGCACAGTACATTTAATTTTGGTATTTATTCAAGATAAGAGTTCACTGCAACTACCTCTGATCACTGACTTCATAAATAGATTATCTAGAAAGTGAAAAACGAAACCATAGGATATCCATTCATTCTAAGATGGCTAATGTGCGAAAAATAAAAATGCAAATAAAATATCGATATGGATTAGAAACAGACATAACAAATAAATAACAGACGAGTACTAAATAGTGAAATATAATTCCAGAACTCTTTTGTAGGATTTTTGTATTTAGTCGTATTCAGGTGAATCAATAACATATGGGCGTCCGATATCTATCAAGATTACCCGCATAGATTACAGCTGATAATTTCGGACATGTAGCCCCGTACACTTAAATACGCCTTGAAATAAGCTGAGTATCTCACGAATGACTGACTAACATATTTAATCACTAAACATAGGATCAAAATGTTTATATCTCTAACTAATTATCTGAATAAAATCCCATAAAACCTACTGATAATATCTAGTAATAAGTAGCTGAGAGAAATCTTTGAAATGCTTACTATTCAACAGATTAGGTAAAAAAAAGAGCACAGAAATTTTATAAATATACGTCCTTGATGTGTGACTCAAAATTAAGCAATCCACTTCAAATATATCTCGACAAAATATATGCACTGATTGCATATTCTAGTTCAAAGCAGGGTTTTGTAGATGAAAACTCAAGGCAAACACCTAAGAAAACCTATAGTTGTCGAATGAATCTCAGTGATAACGAACACGATTTATTTGTCTGCATAACTGGACTCGCAGACATGTTATATTTCAGAACGCTTTATGTTTAAATGTTTTTTATTGGATATTTTATTACATTAGGTTACAAAATAACAGTAGTCAAGTCACATTTTAGTCAACTGATAGTACTTACTGACAGGTTAAGTGTAATAAGCATAAGGTTTTATCTTCCTGCACTTTTTTATCAGTAGTTTAAAACATCTTGTGGGCATACAACAAATAAAACTTTGTTCCACCCCACATTCATAAAAACATAACGCCATTCAGGTGAGTCCTTTTTGTTGTCATAACATTCCGTTATTCGTAGGCCCAAGCTTATTTACAGTTAACTTTTATTCTTAGCCTGATAATAGGAAACTTGGAGAAGAACAGATGGGTTTCAGCCAATAAGATGCAAAACTTCATCAGACGTCGCCACTAAAGCATCTCTCAGTGATAGAAGCTCGATGGAATTGTGATAGGAATAATGAAGGAAAGAGATAATACTGTTAGGAAGGCCAATAAAATTCTGTGTATTTTTAGAACGGTCTAACCTGGAATTCCTATATTTGTCAGAAGTGTACTTCGACGCTGCCATAAGATTAAACCCGACTATCTTAACACAGGAGTCCATTTCCATATTTTAGAAGTCTGGCTGTATATCTATAGCGAACTGAAATTGCAGCTGCACTACAATGGCTTGTCGGTATCTAAAAGTTCTAGACAACAGCTGATACCTATCTCGAATCCTCTCAGCTCCATTTATCAGTAAAGCATTCACGATGGACATCTATTGTAGTGAAATAAAACTATCTTATTTCAACGCAATGTCTGCAACCGGTTTAACTGAATCGAAAGATTTGTTGGCAGAAAGCTTTATTGTTCCTAAGTGTAATGTTGATTTAGCTGTTCAGTTAGTGGCAGTTATATGAAACGCGCTTGCTGGTAATAGTATCTGGCATATTGTAGTACATAATACGACAGCAGGTTGTGACCAATGTGAATTCACACACTCGCCTCAGTAGGCGAATGAGTTCCCTGAATGGTGAATATAACTTGAGAAGTGATATCACATTTCGGAGTTAGTCCCAAACAATCCATTATTATGGTAGAAGCTCTTTCGAAAATTTACCCATAGATATGTGAAATGTATTTCTGTCAGAGCCAATTAACTACACTGACATAGATGTGGTGAAGAACCTCATATCTTTATGGGTTGAACTATCTAACAAGTATCTTGACTAAGTGAATCCATCAGGTTTGCAATCCGTAAATGTGGCTATAATATTGTGCAGGCAATACATCATGACTTTCAAAAGAATTTCGTCCTATTGCTGATGTTTCCGTTTAAAAAGCAACTGAAGGTGAATTGTTTTCATTATAATTAGGTGCGGTATTACTTTGAATTGATTACCGTCTGGACTTCATGTACGTTTTTTCACTTATCATTATCTGTCTATTTAATTTCATATCATTCATATTACTTCACTGACTCGTTTGCACCTAGAACTATAGGTCTATTTAAATGTTTAGTAGTAAGCCATGACTGTAAGGGGTTACTACGACAGATACACTTCATGTCAGCCCCAACACAACACTATTAAGTAGCATTTCTCAAGCCATGGATCATATGGAAAGACACAGTACAGTAGGTCTACACGTTGGTTAGGTCCTTAGAATCATGAGAGAGGACCTTATAAGTTCATTAGAGTGTTATGAAGTTATTACATGTAATACTTTTAAACTCTATAACAAAATTGGATTATTTTATGGCATTAATGAAAACCATATTCCTCATCAATGGCAAGGAAAGAAAGCAAGTCTTAATCATCTTTAGTAACTGATTGCTGAACAAGCAATTTTATGTTTACCAGGCTGATGTGAATAAGATTAATATTATGGCGTAAAATGATCTGGCGGCTATTCGGTAATACTGAGTCATCGTGATGAGATGGTATCATATAAAATTACCGTCTTTTATATGACTACAAGAAGGCCTGGGAATTTCAGAGTGCGCAGACTGGGGTTCTGGGTTATAACACCAGAAAACAAAATGACACTCATTTGTGTCAAATGGAAAAGCCTAAAAAGTAATTTGATAATTTTTTGCAATCTAAAAATTGTAAGAGCTGCCAAACGAAAATAGCGTGAATACTTGTGCACATCTAAAGAGCTAGATGTAGCTGAAATCAAAGCTAGATGTGTTACAGTTGACCTTTTGGTTGTTGGCATCTTGACTGAAAAATTTTCACTAACAGCTACGTAGGTATGTATTGATTAGATGCTCAAAAACCAGTACTTCAAGGTTTAAGCTGAACTAGATTTTATACGAACTGTGCAGTTATGACACCAATTATACATTTCTTTTGAAAGCAACTGCTTATTGATCTAATAAGATAGATAAAATGAACGCTTTCATTAAATGCTCACTCCTTGTTGTAATGGGCAATGACAGTAGTAACTTCGAGACTTTTTCTTTGGTACTTCCATTAAAAACGGAGGAGTTATATGCTCTTAAAGCTGAATTTTAAGAAGCCGAATTCTCTGACCAGTTTATAAGTCCAAATAGTTATTTTTACATTAAAAGGTTAAAAAATTCTCATAGATCTTCATAAGTCCATGAAGGCTAATTTGGAAGAAGTATTATTGCCTGAACCAACTATAATTTATACCCTACATGGAACTAAAAGATATGAGTACCTTCAGATCGTATAAGAAAATTTGCGATAAATTAGTATTATGATATACACTTTTCGTTAGGTACTCTTTGTTCAAAGTTTTAAAGTGTAACCTGTCCGAAGAAGTAAATTACACATGCGATGAGCCTGGTCTTCTTGCACGTCACAAGAGATAAAGGGAACAAGCCTGGATGTCTTACCGATTATTTGTATATGTTTTTATCAATTTTAGTTAAACGATCATCTTGAAATTGTCTTTCACTGTATATTTTTATCATTTTCAGTTGGTTTCACAAGTGAGCACCGACAAAACAGTAAGTTGTTTATTACGCAAAATAGTTCTTCACATGTCAAAAGTGTAGGAGCTAAAAGTCCATTCAGTGATTCAAGTACTATTGCTGTACACAGCTATTTGACTACCAACGGCATTAAATAATTTTGACGCTACGTTTACGAAAAAGGATACTGCTTCTGATGGCAGTTTAGAGGGAAAACTAAAATCCGCATATCAAATGGAGCGAATAAAATGATCAATCAATCCTTAAAAATGTCGATGTATTTTTCAATTTATTGTAATAAACAATATACGTGTTATTGTCCTCTAGGATTCACAAAATAACGCCTACGCAAACATTGTTTGCAAATGCGTTTAGAAAAGCGGGCGAACAATTGCGTTAGGTTTTCCAGAATAAACTGCAAGCAGAATACAAGAAGGTTATCATGTAGCATTATTTGTTGCAAAACAGGATATTTTGCTCAAAAAAATCGGCGTTGGAATTTTCGCAATGGATTTCAATTTGGTTCCCTGGAGCTAGATAAGATTCTAGGTTCTCCTTAAAACAATAGGAAATTTTGGGGATTTTCCAGTAAAATTAGAAATCTTTCCCCAGAATTCGCTGTAATATTAACAAAATTATGGGCTCTTCTAAACTGAAGAAGGAATTTTAGAGTCATGGGTTGGATTTCCCATAAATTTCCCCATAAATGATCAAATTTTCCTCAGTTTTGGAGATTTCGTAGATAGTAAGCCGGAGTTTGATATCATTACATGTGATTATAGGATAGAAGTCAGTTCAGATTTTCTCCACTAACTTTCTGGTAGCTAATAAGGATAAAACGGTACTCTAGGAATATTTTCTAGATGCCACTATTTGACTAACCTTCTTTAGTGATTGCTGCTTGACGTCTTGAGTTTTTATGTTGTTGAACATAAACTTCAAAACTTTTGATATTGTCTGTGGATTTAGTTCGTTGACTGAGTCAATTAGAGTTTTGGCAACATTACAAATCTCATGAAATTCAGGAGCATCCTTTGGATTTTTAACTTTACACTGCGTAGAAATTTGATTTAGAACATCTTCATAAGTTATGACCGTGAACCTTTGTCGCTGTCCATTAACAATACTACCAGCTAAAATTGATATAATCTCATTCTCTATTAATTGTGAAGGTGAAAGAATAGATAGCGACATTTTCCATACATCCTAAAAACTTCATGAAACTCCTAATAATTGACATACATCATCTAAATTGAGATCGCATAGTTTTGATTCCCAGTCCAAAACACTAATGGAGGCTCTCGGTGTTTTGCTTTTAACATTTCTAGCACTTTTTGGCATTTTGAAAAATAAACGGCGTTATTTGCATGACGATTACCTCAAAGCTGAATCGTCTACGTAGAAAAACAATACATCACTTCAATTTACTTCGAGTTCAAACATCTAGCCCGTAGTTCATATGGGGAAAATGAATATTACCATGGAAAAAGTCTGCTGTTGCCTTCTCAGCTGACGGCGAAATATTATTCTGCATTTCAGTTCCCTACAGTCTGCCAGAATCCAATATTCAATATCTTTGTCACGAGCCAGTATAAGTCAATGAGCTTCTTAGAGATTGGTTCTTGTTGTTTATGTATTTTTCAATATCCGATGACAGTATTCTAACTATTCAACTGTACAAATGATAGTCCGCTGGACCAGTTCATAAATTTGTATATTCCTTACCAGATAGTAGATCAATGGGTGGCGCTGTGAAGAATAATGATGCTCAAGAGCAGACAGATTTTTCAGAGACGATGGATCAATAAATAAGTCAACTAATCTCTGGTGAAGATATTGTGAGAGCAAATAATATTGATAACAACTAGCAAGTATGGAGACATGCATCAACCACATTTGCTCCAAGCAGGAAATGATCGTTCATATACGAGTATGTGTTGATGAAGCCTCCTCCTGAAGCCATAACTGAAGAGGTTGTGGTCGCTTTTGGCTAGAAAAGCATCCCAAATTATCTTCATGATAAAGGGTTGGCGTAAAGCAGGGTATTCGCTCTTTGATGTTTGTTTTCTAGGGTTAACTCGAGAGGTGTGGTGGTGATTTTCTGGCAATATGCTCGTTTTGCGGTGACTCAGTGTACTCACTACATTGTATGTCATTATAAAATCACCGCTTATGATAAGGAATTCCATGGTGGATGTAAGTTCGAGTGACTCTACTGGTTGTGAATGGATAGATGCCTCCGCTTATTGTGCTTCCTTCTTTATTAGAAGCAGGTCACCGATGCCTATAAGCAGGAACCTAGGTTTATTCAACAGACAAAAACATAATAGTAAATTTTTAAAAAATACTGTCTATAGGCATCCAGAATGGATCACGTTCCTTTTTGAAGGACTACTAGGAAGTCACTTGTGTCACCACAGCCGCCAGCCAATTGTAGAAGTTAACTGCTCGTAAAGAATGTGGGTCTACAGTTCATTCTGTTATGTCGTGCCTACAGTTTCTAGGTGTCTCTCTAATCTTTGGTTCGAGACTTAGCTGAAGTTTGCATCATATGGGGTGTTCAGAAGTGTTCGAAATGTCATGAAATACTAAAATGTTTCTAAGACGCCTATACCATAATCTATATAGGTTTAGTTACTTCAGGAGCTCTCCATGAAGTTTAAACTAGAACCGATTTAGTGGCCCATGTTTGGTTAAGTTCCAATGTGTTCTTGGGATTCGAATTGACAGTTACGTCTCTGTACTGTGGTATGCATTATTGATCAACGTTCTACGTTGTAACTGACCGACTATATTCTTGTCCTTTTAAAGTGATGGGGACAACACTATATTTATATAATCAAAATGAGGCCGAATAAAGCTGTCAAAGAGTAGGTAGAACGTTAACATTCAAGCAGACCGAAAAGGCGTTTTCATGTTACTGACTAAAGTTTAACTTAAGAGGCAGTTTCGTTGCAGCTAGCCTAAGACTTTAAATCATGGAGTACCGAGACTCTTAGATCTTTTTCAACTTGCTACACCTTTAGAATAAAGTTCCTTAGATCATTTACATAGTCTTCAGCATACGTCAGGTGAACTATTTTGCTCTTTGAAGTGTTAAAATTAAGTCCATTGTCATTCAACCAACTTTGAGGTTGAGTCAAATCCTCATGAAGAGCCGATTCATTGTCATGGTGCTAGCGTCCCTCTGAAATTTCATATCGTTAATGAGAAGTGAAACTCAGACGACAATTATTGAGGAAGCTCAGTGATATATATTAGGAAGAGTAGACCTAGTACTGAACTTTGAGGAACTCCACTAAGACATTCTATATCCGAAGAAAAATTAAGGTTGACCCTAACCTTAAAAGGGTGATGTGAAGCTAACTAATCTGATAAAGACGGTTTACTAAATGAAATAGTGCGCTTTCATACTTTACTTCTAACTCTACTGCCTCTGCGTAAATAAAGGCATGAAATGGACTCATTCAAATCACTTGCTCCTTAGTTCATATTTCGTTCATAACTAATTCCTTCAACATTCATAGTTGAGTCGATTTGTTTCAACACTATAGACAATGGGTAGGCGAATTTTCACCTTAGCTGTGAACGGAACTTTATTAGTAGGTGATTTTGATATCTCCAGTCAACTACTGGATAATACATTGCTGATTGGTGACAATATTAGTCGTCAAAAGTAGTGAAGTGGAGATGTACGCCAACTAATGTTTAGATATAAGTTCAGTTGTTATGTGTATCATGAGGAAGAGACTTTTGAAGTCGCACACTCACAGAATCACTAGCATCGCAACGACAGAAAATTCAGAATTTGTTCTGAACACAGGTCTAACTAACAAAATTTTCATTGAGTGTGAACAACTTACGTTTTGCAGTGACGATTAAAAGATGTTTTTGAATGATTTGTACAGAAGAATATAAACTCTGTGCTCAATTTAACCAACCCTAATATATGGAAAAATGAGATCACATTGAAATTACAGATAATTTTAAACGGTACTGCATGTGATATTTAGTCCAGCACAAAATCATATGTAACTATTCGGTACCTCACGGTCAATACCAGTGTATCCACCAAGATGGGATCAAATATCGAACAACAAGAATTCGAGAAGCCGTTTCCAGTCAGTAATTAAAGACTAGAGATGGTCAAAGCAACAATATCGTGAAATTGTAATTCAGTCAAACAGGACCTAATTGCTAATGGCTCGATAGCAGGTTATACCGAAGCAAAATCATGAGTTAAACATTAACCGAGATCGAATACTGAAGACTAAGAGGCATAAGACATATGACTTGGGTTATTATCGAATTTTAACGGACATAATTCGCGCCAACTATTGTATTTTACATTCCATTAAACATTCTTAACAACTTTATGTCGAAAATATTAACCCTCTATAAGAAGACAGTGGACTTTGTTAGTTATTGATACAAATAAGCAGCCTCTTACAGAAAACATGTTAGCAATCTTAGCATTTTGGACTTCCCTGCAAATTGGCATGCCTCTTGCAACATATTGTTTTGTGAGAACAAATTATTTTTATTGTGTATTTTTTCGAAAACTTGAAAGCGATGCTGGTCTACATGGACTCAACAGACCTAATGAACTTCAAATCCTGGTTGACCGTTATCAAACAAACCGTTCAATGCCACGCAAAGAAAAGCCAGGTTGGGTTGGAAGAGAACTACCTTTGGCAGATTGCTAAGCGTTTTATTTTAAATAGCATCAAAACTTCAAGGGGTACGGAATTGGATCGTCACTATTTACGATTCTCCTAACGTTCCTGATCCCGCTTCCCCTTAATTTATCCATCTCCATCTAGTTAAGTACCCTAACATATTGAGCTATCCAGTTTATCATTGAAGCTAGCAATACCGAAGTCCGACTGCCACTAGGTGGTATTCGGGGAAATAGAAAGAACTGCACTGCACAAACAGAAGAACTGGAAAGCGAAAGAGGTGATGAATCAGCTGAAGCACTACTTGTAGTAAGATTTCTTGGTAGGAAGTCCCAAGATACAAACATGATTAAAAGACGTGATTGACTGAGAAAATTAACTTCAGTACCATTGATTATTCACATCCTGTTATATCATAAGGAGCCGTAAGCAAGTAAAATGTTCTACCCCAAAAGACATGAATGGATTGGGATTATCGCCCTACCGTCATGAATCCTGAGCAGATACACCATCCTCCCTCCTTCCTGTTTTCAGGTTTTCTCATATTTTTGACGGGTTTTATCATTACTTACTTACTTACTTTCGCCTGTTACCCCAAATGGAGCATAGGCCGCCCACCAGTTTTCTCCAACCAACTCTGTCCTGGGCTTCCCTCTCCAGTTCTGTCCAATGTTTGTTCATTCCTCTCATATCTTTCTCTATTTCTCGGCGTAATGTATTCTTTGGCCTTCCTCTTTTCCTTTTGCCTTGAGGGTTCCATGTGAGGGCTTGTCTCGTGACGCAGTTAGGTGCTTTTCGTAGAGTGTGTCCTATCCACTTCCACCGCTTCTTCCTGATTTCCTCCTCCATTGGAATCTGACTTGTTCTCTCCCACAGTTCGTTGTTGCTGATGGTGTCTGGCCAACGAATACGAAGTATTTTACGTAGACAGCTGTTAATAAACACTTGTATCCTCAGGATGATGGCTTTGGTAGTTCTCCATGTTTCCGCTCCATACATTAGAACTGTCTTGACATTTGTATTGAAAATCCTTATTTTGGTGTTGATTGATATCTGTTTGGAGTTCCAGATATTTTTCAACTGTAGAAATGCAGCCCTTGCTTTGCCAATCCGCGCCCTCACATCTGCATCCGATCCACCTTTCTCATCGATGATGCTGCCCAGATATGTAAAGGTGTTAATGTCCTCCAAGGCATCTCCATCAAGAGTGATTTGGTTGGTGCATGTTGTGTTGCATCAGAGAATTTTGCTCTTTCCTTTATGTATGTTGAGACCTACTGCTGCAGAGGCTGCTGCTACACTCACAGTCTTCTCTTGCATTTGTTGTTGAGTGTGCGATAGAAGAGCCAGGTCATCTGCGAAGTCCAGATCGTGCAGCTGCGTCCTAACTGTCCAGTTGATACCGTGCTTCCCTCCAGATGTTGACGTTTTCATAATCCAGTCGATGACCAGGAGAAAGAGAAAGGGTGAGAGTAAGCAACCTTGCCTGACACCGGTCTTTACCTCGAAAGAGTCTGTTAGCTGTCCTCCGTGCACGATTTTGCAGTTGAATCCATCATAAGAGTTCCGTATGATGTTAACTATTTTCTCAGGCACCCCGTAGTGTCGAAGAAGAGTCCACAGTGTTTTCCTGTCCACGCTATCGAATGCTTTCTCGTAGTCGATGAAGTTGATGTAGAGTGGTGAGTTCCATTCAATTGATTGTTCCACAATGATCCGTAATGTAGCAATTTGGTCAGTACACGATCGATCCTTCCGAAATCCGGCCTGTTGATCTCGAAGTTGGGCGTCAACGAAGTCCTTCATTCTGTTTAACAATACCCTGTTGAAGACTTTGCCTGGTATTGAAAGAAGAGTGATGCCTCTGTAGTTCCCACACTTGCTGAGGTCGCCTTTCTTTGGTATTTTGATCAGGTATCCTTCCTTCCAGTCTGATGGTACTTGTTCCTCATCCCAAATCTTCTTGAAGAGGATGTGAAATATTTTCGCGGTTGCTTCTACATCTGCTTTCATTGCCTCTGCTGGAATGTTGTCTGGTCCTGCTGCTTTGCGGTTCTTGATTTGTCTGATGGCCATACTGATCTCCTCAATCGTAGGTGCGCCAATATTAATTGGGAGGTCCGTGGATGCTGCTTCGATGTTGGGTGTCTTCAGAGGAGCTGGTCGATTCAATAGTTCCTTAAAGTGCTCCACCCACCTATTTCGCTGTTGTTCAGTGTTGCTGATTACTTTGCCTTCCTTGTTTTTCACTGGTCGTTCTGGTTTACGATAGTTCCCGGCGAGCTTCTTTATAGTTTCATACAATTGTCTCAAGTTTCCGTCTCTTGCAGCTTTTTCCGCCGTCGTTGCTAGATCTTCCACGTATTTTCGTTTGTCAGCTCTGATGCTCTTCTTCACTTCCCTGTTTGCTTCTGTGTATGCAGCTTGTGAGGTAACTTTCTCCGCTCTTGTTCGGCTGACATTCATTGCTGCTTTCTTGTTCCTCCTTTCTTCAATTTTTGCGAGAGTATCAACAGAGATCCATTCCTTATGATGCTGCTTCTTGCGACCAAGGACCTCCTGACATGTTGAAGTGATTGCCTCCTTAATCCCTTTCCAATTGTTCTCCAATGTTGCGTCCTCTCCATTGTGTAGATCCTGAAAGGCCTGAAACCTATTGGTGAGGGCTATCCTGAATTCGTTGAGCTTTACAGTATCCCGAAGAAAGGCCGTATTAAACTTGTGCGATGTTGTCTGCCCCGTTGTCCAGTGCTTCTTTAGTTTCAGTTTCATTTTAGCGATTAGCAAATGGTGATCTGAGGCTATATCAGCTCCCCTCCTGGTTCTCACATCCTCCATAGTCCTTCTGAACGTTTTGTTGATACAGATATGATCAATCTGGTTTTGAGTAGTGTGATCCGGTGAAATCCATGTAGCTTTGTGTATGCGTTTGTGCGGGAATATTGTGCCACCGATGACCAGTTTGTTGAAGGCACATAGGTTTGCAAATCTCTCACCATTTTCGTTTCTTTCTCCCAGTCCATGTCGTCCCATGATGTCTCCATATCCAGTGTTGTCCATTCCAACCTTGGCATTCAGGTCTCCCATAAGAGTCGTCAAATCCTTTGGTGAACATTTTTCGACGATTGACTGCAGCCTTTCGTAGAGTTGATCTTTAAAGTCGTCATTGTAGTCATTGGTAGGTGCATAACACTGGATGACGTTCATTGTAATGTCCTGTTTCTTTGTTTTGAAGGATGCTTTAATGATCCTGGGTCCATGAGATTCCCATCCTATTAGTGCCTTTTGTGCATGTTTGGACAGCATCAGTGCAACTCCTTGTGTATGTGAAGCATTTTCCTGTTCATGACCAGAGTATAACAGCAGTTCCCCTGAAGCTAGTCTCAGTTGTCCTACTTGTGTCCAATGTGTTTCACTGATTCCAAGCACCTCGAGGTTGTATCGTTTCATTTCTGCCGCAACTTGAAATAGTCTTCCAGTCTCCCACAATGTACGAACGTTCCATGTACCTAAAAAAATGGTTGCTCTGGTTGTCAGAAGAGGCATCGGCCCCGTGACTTCCGAGGGAACTCGACTTTCATCACGCGACGTCATAATTCTTCCTCCAACTCCCAGGGCAGAGTTAAAATGGTTTGAATTATTTTTTCTGGTTAGCGTTTTTTTGGCAAGTTAGTTTTTGACGGAATGGGGTCGCCAACCCCATGTCCAACCCTCCTCAATTACCCGGGCTTGGGACCGGCAGTAGCCCCGAAGGTTCTACTGGCGGAGTTGGTTTTATCATTACTATCGTTTAAACTCTATCTTGCACACGTTTCTGAAATATATCGACTCTACCATTTCCCTGTTACAAGCAAACCAGACAACTGTGCCTTCTGTATGTTGGACTATATATCGACGTAGCATATCACACTGATGTTTAGTTAACTAATTGATTTAACTGTAAGATATATGAAATCTTATTGAACAAGAAATGCATAATCTATTCCACAGTGAACTGTATCGTACTTACTTACTTACTGACGCCTGTTACCCACAATGGAGCATAGGCCGCCCACCAGTTTTCTCCAACCAACTCTGTCCTGGGCTTCCCTCTGTTTTTTGGAGTTCCAGATATTTTTCAACTGTAGAAATGCAGCCCTTGCTTTGCCAATCCGCGCCCTCACATCTGCGTCCGATCCACCTTTCTCGTCGATGATGCTGCCCAGATATGTAAAGGTGTTAATGTCCTCCAAGGCATCTCCATCAAGAGTGATTTGGTTGGTGCATGTTGTGTTGCATCAGAGAATTTTGCTCTTTCCTTTATGTATGTTGAGACCTACTGCTGCAGAGGCTGCTGCTACACTCACAGTCTTCTCTTGCATTTGTTGTTGAGTGTGCGATAGAAGAGCCAGGTCATCTGCGAAGTCCAGATCGTGCAGCTGCGTCCTAACTGTCCAGTTGATACCGTGCTTCCCTCCAGATGTTGACGTTTTCATAATCCAGTCGATGACCAGGAGAAAGAGAAAGGGTGAGAGTAAGCAACCTTGCCTGACACCGGTCTTCACCTCGAAAGAGTCTGTTAGCTGTCCTTCGTGTACGATTTTGCAGTTGAATCCATCATAAGAATTCCGTATGATGTTAACTATTTTCTCAGGCACACCGTAGTGTCGAAGAAGCCTCCACAGTGTTTTCCTATCCACGGTATCGAATGCTTTCTCGTAGGTACGCCAATATTAATTGGGACGTCCGTGGATGCTGCTTCGATGTTTAGTGTGTTCAGCGGAGCTGGTCGATTCAATAGTTATTGAAAGTGCTCTACCCACCTATTTCGCTGTTGTTCAGTGTTACTGATTACTTTGCCTTCCTTACTTTTCACTGGTCGTTCTGGTTTACGATAGTTTCCGGCGAGCTTCTTTGTTGTTTCATACAATTGTCTCAAGTTTCCTTCTCTTGCAGCCTTTTCCGCCGTCATTGCTAGATCTTGAACTGTATCGTGCTACAAGGGAATTAAAACATAATGACATTTTGTGTTCTTCCGTTAATAATGTGTATCATTTGTTTTTAAGTCTGAAGCAAGGTCGCGGTTTTCTAACTGGGCGGAATTTTACGAACGAGAAGCCATATATTATTTTATAGAAGAGTATTAGGTTGTTTTTCAACCAACCAACCAATTCGGACTTCACATTATGCGAACCCGTGACGATTCTTCCACAGCCAAATCATTTCAAAAGAGGTTTCCATATCTAATCAAAGTTGTAGGATTTTAGAAATGTGGGCTTCGGAATTCTCCATTAATCGCGTACCATATAAACGTTAGTACAAGGGTGGTTATGAACCACATTACAATCTGTGATGTACTCTGTAAAAATTCAACTAGTTTTGTGAAAATTGGAGCTTAGTCGTCACATGAATTCTCGCCAGATTAACTTACCGAAAATTTTCATTGCTCTACATCGAAAGCGTTTCATATTTTTCTACATCTTAATCTTTCTGAAGAACGTCATAAGATTATATTTGCTAAAATGTATCCGTCTAACTTATCCAAGTACCAAAAATAGTCATGTCGATATTACTGTTCAGCAAGTAGAGAAAATAATTATTCTCGTGAAAAATGAATAAAATGTTTGTAGTCACTCAGCAATAGGTGTAGGCGAACAGAGAAGACCACAATTCAGTTTTTTTAACTAAGGTGGCGACGTTCATCATCAAGAGGTTATACTATTAAAGGAGTCTAATAGTGCACATATACCGGTAACTATAGCCAGCTTATAGACATGCAGTGGACACCAAGCATTTTATATACCTAATGCCTACTGTGATCAAGGCGAACGATGTCTTCAAAATGAGAGAGCGTTCAGTTCGATCATAAGCTCGTTTAGCGGGGGACATGGTGTAAATGTCGCCTTCATGCCTCCCCATGGAATTAACATGTCCTCACGTCTTCATTGGGGGGCTAAAAGGAAACTCTGGAGTTCATATACATAGAAATTTTAGCTTTTCAGCGAAAGCGCTTATTTAGATTATTTTTATTGCGAATTACCGCTGCGAGTGGTAGAATTACGGTGCTCTCAGAGATATAAGTTCTTTTGGAACAGAAACTGTAATGAAGTGCCTGCGTAAAAGCCGCTATATTTAGAGTCACTTAACACGTGCTGGAAGACTCATAACGCTAGGCTAGGTCATATCATGTCACTTTCAATTGCAAAATTTCCCAAAAATGTGCTCAATAAAACCAAGTTCTTTGTTGGTTTAAGGCACTGTTGCTGTTAAGTTCATATACAGAATATTATGAGGTTTTATTTGAATGATGAATGCTCTAAATAGAATGATTAAACTGGGTAATTTTAGCATTCTTTAAAGACGCGAAAACTTGTCATCTAAGGTATCCTGATACACGAATGATTATTTCATTTTGCGAAGCTCCTAACATAGTAAAATATGTCAGAAGTCATAACTTATGTTCCCATTAATGACTTGACTGTTTTTCTAGGGACCAAGCACTTGTATTAAATTTTCTATCTGCATACGATTTCTACAATATCTGAAAATAGATGAAAGGATTGTATTCGAAATTGTCTCTAGGAAGACATCTCTGAGGTCGAGACTCTTCGCTAATCTAGATTCCATACTTGACCCAAGTTAGTCGCTATTCAGAATACTGAAACCACGGGGTCAGACCAAGGCACTGCGGAGAAAGTGAACGCTTGACAATTTATTGAAGGGTCACGTTAACTAAATGTTTGCTCACTACAGGACTTCAGTAATCAAACTGTCTCTAAGTTCATCGAACATTCTTCTGCTGTTCACTCGAACACAGTAATATTCCAGGGAAGTGTTAAGCATTTCGGCCAACACACTTATTATGTGACCCCTACCTACATCTTTCATCTCGAAGCATACAGAAAACTAGTAATTTAAGATTATTTATAACTGTGACACTCAACTGCGAAACTTTGTCTAATTAAACTGGTTATCAGACCATATTGCTCACATTGCTGACTGTTCCCTCTTGGTCGGATGTACCTTTCACATTTTAAACAAAATTATCAAAGTCGTGTCGTATGAAAATCTTTTACTTAACAGGTCGCAAACAAAAAGGTTTGAAGGACAAGCATGGTTGGGAAGAATTAAGTGAATTTATCGGATAATAACTGTAAAGTAAAGCACTGTAAAGCGTTGAATGACCACCTCGGTTCTCACACCAACATGGGTACATAAAAGTAAATAGTCCTTCGGTTCTGTAAAGGGTCGACGTATTGCAGCTTCCTCTTAACTCCCAAAGTACATCGAAAAATTACGATTATTAGGATTTCATTTACTCTGTGGATAAATCTAATAAGTACACGTTGTTTGCACCTCGAACATGCAAGCTACGCATACTCAAAAAAGTTATTTTTGAAGCGTTCCTAGATTTAGAACATTTAATAAAGTATACATACTTGGAAAAACGAACGCCCTGTTATTGGATATGATCCACCAACCGTAAATCCCTTCTTCAGAATATCCAGTGATTTTGAATCCCGAGATACTAGAAAAGCAAGACAGCCGGTACACGAGTGAACCACCTCGAGTTACGCAAATATCGATTACCCACTGACACTTCAAGGTCGTGCCGACAATGCGAGGTATTTCAACGGGGAGGTGACATCTAGATTGTTTCCTTCAATTCATATCTCGGTTAGTTAAGGACTTATTACTATTTGCTTCTAGCTCCACTTTCCATAGTGTCCTAATCGAAGGCTAGTGTTATTGGTGAATTTTGTTCCTCGCTTTTCGCAATGAATATAAGTTCATTTTATGCACAGGCTGGGCCATTGGCTTATCTCCCGTGTTCTTTTCTTTTCCAGCTCTCCTAGTACACAACTCTCCTTCCGGCATAATCTGAACAGCTTCATCTGTTTTTTTCCTGCCATAAGTACACTTAAGATGACGATAAATACTAGTGTTCATATTTTAATGAACACGTAAGTATTGCATGTAGTACGTGCAAATATTAGTTGATGTACATCGTGAAAATATCTCTGAATATATAATGCTCGAATTTTTAATCAAAAATTACCTTCGGATGAAAATACAGTTGACCTTAAATATACACATGAACTAATGAAGAACGAGAGAGCTTTAAGTTCTTAGTGGCAAATATTAAAATAATTTTGAAAATTGGGAGTGTTGGCTAATACTCTTTCTATAAATTGAAATCATTTATAGTCCTAAGATGACTTAATGCAAGTTTTTATCTGCAGGAATACATGGGTTGTTTTGTGTGCGTGACTCAGCTGGTCTTCACATATCGTTAGGATACCACACGCCATCAGCTTTGCTTGTGCAGGCTGAAAATCCTTCTAACAGCTTACATAGAGGTCCTTTTCTCGCCCGTAAATTAGCACACGTTATAGAGGCCATTTGTAAGGGATTGTGACAGGTCTGTCTCAGTGAGACCTTACGTTACTGTCTGACGGTAATGTCAGTACTTCCCCATGGTAGATCATTATAAAGTAATCTATACTTAACGGTAATTATGGCTTCGAGGATATGTTCATTGAGTTCCCACCGAAACCATTGTTTGAAGAGATTTCTCTCCTTGGTGTAGTATGGTTGCGGACTAGCCCGTAACCATAAAGTTCACATAACCCATCCAATAGTTACTTTTGCCGGTTAGTAGTTTAGTCAGTTTCTCACAGTATTCCATTTCTATCAGACAGTCAAGTGAAAAGTAAAACTTAGTTTTTACGAACTGCTGGTTACAACTGACACGCGGACCGCACCCAGGTAGTCTGCACCTATCATCACTCAGTCCAATCGTCACCTACTTCATGGACTGGTGCTACCTTGGTTTGGCCTCCCCTTTCTTCCAGCTTGCTTCGCCATACAAAACTGCTCGTCAAGGTAGGCAGTGTCTAGGCGTACGTGACATATTTCAACTACCAGCTGATGAAGATTCACTACATTATCTATCGACTTTCTATTCTTACCTGTTACTATATTCCTAATCCAGATCTCTACTTTAGGTCCAAATTTTAGATTTTCTGGGTTAGTAAATTATATCTGGATAGTATCTGTTTTATGGATCATGTTTACAATGATATTTTGGACCAATATTTAGTGTATTGGTGCAGGAGGATAAAAATATCGCAAAATTAGTTTAGTGCAATTATTAATAGTCCTACAAATTTTCCTATGTTGGATGTGGCGAGAAAAATTAGGATCCTGTCACGTTACTGTTCATAAGTTGCTGAATTGATGCAGTGAGTCCTAGTGTATTCGATTAAAAATCCAGAAACTTATCACATCCCCAAGGTTACCTCTCGTTCGGTGTTTGTAACACTGAAGTGCAACTACTCTTTGTTAGAGATAAGTCGTCTCTAAATGGCATAATCATTCGTTTAGAGAAGATTCCTGTTATATGAGCGATATCGGTAAGGATATAAAGTAATAAATCAGTCATTCAATTACAACGTAGAACTTTGTACGTAAGTACATCAGTTCAGGTTGCCATACCACGTTAGCACAGAGCCGCAACTGTGAATTCAAATCCCATAGTGGTAGAGATAGTAGAAGTATTAGCAGTAATGGAGAAGATTAGGGTTCGAAGTATAATTCAGTGCGACAAATTTAGAAAGAGAAAGATTGAGATGATGAGGAATTCAGAAGGCTAGAATTTGGGAGAACACAAAGAGCGGATGCACCTGCGACAGCAAACGATTTTAAGCCATGTGATTCAAGTTCTCTACCCATCGGTGACTTTCGTCTCACGAACCCCTACCTGATAGCCTACATCTACCAACATGGCTCATTCCACTTGTCAGTGACTTCATACATTTCTGCCATGTTTTGGTCTGGCCGCCCCTAACTTTCTTCCAGCCTAAACCTACACCACAAAACATAGCTCTTTGAGGTAGTCGGTGGTTGGGCATTCGTAACACATGTCCCAACCACCTCAACTGATGAAGTTTCATTACTTCATCTGTTGACCTGCCATCCTTACCCAGTACTCTTTTCCTAATCGCAGCATTGCTTACTCGGTTGTCCCGCGATACACGAGCAATGCTTCGGAAACATCTGTGGTCGAATACTAGTAACCTGCGAATATTTTACACTCTTACTGGCTATGTTTCGCATTCATAGAGGAGAACGGATCGAACTGCTGCACAGTACACTCGACCTTTAGTTAGCAGACGAATATCTCGCTTATGTCATAAATCACGAAGGTTGGCAAAATACAGTCGAGCTTCCTGTATCCGTGCTGAGATTTCGTCAGTCACCAGGCCATCAGCACTGACGAAACTCTCGAGATAAGAGAGGCGGTCTACATGTCCGACTACTTAACTCCCCTATCACTAGTTCAGGTGCCGATGCAACCCAATCTTGAAGCAACATTTTTCATTTCGAGGGGGGTAACCGCATGCCGAACATGTTTGCATTGTTGCTCAGGGTAGTCAGAAGACTGCATTTTGTCAGCGTCTTCACCGAATAGAGCTGTGTCATCAGCAAGCATGTCTCCTGGTAGAAGGTCCACTGCTGAGGAGTCAGACGATGATAATGATAACTTTAAAAGCATGTCTATAACAAAATTAGACAAGAATGAAGAGAGTGGACAACCCTGACGGACACCACTTGAAGTAGAGAATTCCGATGACAGTTCGCCATAGGCTCTAACCATTGGTGTCCGAGTAGAGAGCATGTATAAGGTTAATGTACTTCTTTGGTACACCCTTCAATGACAGACACTGCCACAGAACCTCACGATCCACTGAGTCAAATGCCGCTTTTAGTTCCAGGAAGACAACTATTGTAGGACGCTTAAATGTGTGTCTGTGTTACAGGACCTGTTGTCGAATGAAAATGTGGTCTATACAGCCACGTCCAGATCGAAAATCAGCCTGGTTTTCTTGAGTTTGCTCTTCACAAGCTATAGTTAGTCGTCTAAGCATACTCGACGCTAACAATTTAGAAACTATTAGTCAGACTTATTCCACTGTGATTGTCACAAAAAGACTTTTATCCTTGCTTGTAAATTGGGACAATTAGCGACTGAGACCAGTCAGATGGGATTGGGTCCATTTCCCAGATTCTCCCCAAGATCTCATTCAATCTAGCTGCTAAAACTGGACCACCATCCTTAAAAATCTCAGGGGTCAATCTATCAGGTGCTGCCGCTCCACCTCGCTTCATATTTCCTATCGCTTTCTCAACTTCATAAAGACTTGCCAATCCGGATGACTGGAGATCGTGGGCAAATGAACTATTCTGCCCATCGATCCTGTCCCCTGGGTTGAGAATGAATGGTACAGCCATTCGTTTCCGAGATAGTCTCACTTACAGTCAGATTCCTAATACCAGTTTCCTTGATGAGTCTAAATAGTTGTCTACTGTTGCTTATCGCCGTTGCATTTTGCATCACTCTTGCTTTCACTACCCACCACTGTTCGAGATCAATGCGTATGCTTTTTATCAGCCTACGCTTAGGCTGACTTCGCTCTTCATCATGTTCAGAGTCAGGTGGGATGAGTTTTCGAGCGTCCTAAATTGTCAATGTTGATTAGCACACATTTATTACAGAAGACTCCACAGACGTGTCTCCGGGTAATCATTGTTGATAGACCACAAATTATTACAGCCAGCTGTGAAATATTATTCTGCAGATGTGTTCACATCAGAGTTCCATAAGTAGCATCACAAAGTGCATTACATCTTGTCAGGTGAATAAGGGTTATTAGGCAGGAAAGTATTTTTGTGCTGTTGGTGCGTAGGTTTGGCTTTGAGTACCAGAAGCTGGGAACTTTTTTACTGTCGAATCTAGTCCTCAACATCCCGTTAATTACTCAAAGATACGATTGATACCTATCACTGGAATTCCATGTTTATTGAGATATTCGAAAATCCACACCAATATGACGAACTTAAAAATAGCTCTAGTTTGTAGAGTATCGTGCTATTCAATATTATTACTCATTACTATCCACCAAATTCTAAGTATGATCTTATTCTTTTCTAGAGCTTTAATTCATCAATGAGTCAGAGTATAACCATTCCTGTAACTCTTATACGTTCATTCAAATACCGCACAACGTTTTATTTGCCTTTGTCAAACATTCCTCGGTCGGCAACTGTTAAAGACCTGTTTGATCGTATACGTCATGGTAAGCATCACATTAGATATGCTTTAGATTGTTCATGTTCAGAAATAGAGACTTCTTCAGTTATACCTCCCCCTTTCAAGAATCTTTGCTTCGGTAAGTTAATTTTTAGTGATTTGATTTGTAGTAGGAGTATACTAAATACCTTCTTAGCAGTTTTAGTTATTTATATACAACTCACATTAATTTGGTTTGGTTTCAAAAAAATCCTTGCTGCAAAAGATATCGTATTCTCCTGGTGATTTAAACAGTGTATTTGCCTTGCGATAAAACCTAATTGAGCTTCATATGATTCTCAGTTATAGTTGCCTCATTCGTTTACCGTGTTGATGCATTACTCTAACCTGCTCGAGAAAGTTGGAAGATAGTATTTCGTATCCTAAGGACTAAGTTTATAATAACGCAGTGAGTTAATTTACTCGCTTCAGTAGGAGGTTCCACCATGGTTGTTTTATTGTTCGAGTTTAAGCTTATGACATTTTAAAAAAGTCATTGTTCGTAACTAAACTGTAAAAAACCAACATAAAAATTATACAGAACTGCATGATAAGTTTTTGACATCTTTTTTTGAATAGTACTTAGTTTATAAACTTTTGTACGTTGTTGTTACTGCTTGAGATGTTTTAATTTCAAATAATTCTTAGAATTTATCTCAACTTTCTATTTTATATATCCTATTCTCGCTCGAAGATGCGCTGAAAATTCGTCACAAAGCTTTTAAAACGAAAGTAAGATTAATAGTTTATGATTTTCTTTTTACTGGTTTTTTTTCGTAGTCTGGAGAATTGTTGGTTGATATAGAAGGTGACCCCATACCAAGTGATTCCGACCAAACTTTAGAATCTCTTGAGATAGGTATGTGTTTTACAAAACTGTCAACGCTTTTATTCTTGTGTATAAATATTTTTATCTAGTGCAGACAAACCCCGACCGAAGCTGCTACCTTGACGTGGTGGTCGAGCTTGCCTATCGTGATGACCCAACCGAGCTATATTGGCGGCAACACATGTTCTTGTAGGTTCTACCATGCCAGGCAGGTCGATTGGAGAACGATGAGACTAAAAGCAGCTACCCAAGGTCTGAGGGCGAAGTCGTACTGCTGACTGCAGAGGGGTGTGACAGTAGTAAGGTGTTTCCTTCGGACAACCAGCATCTGCAGCGATGCTGCCTTCTCACAAGGAAGGAATGGTTAGAAAATTCCGATCCTGAAAGTGTCACACCTCACCATACCTTACGGATTTCCGTCTCCGTCGGTAAGGGTGCCCACTAAGGGCCTTTAAGAACGGAGCTAATCCTCAAAATACCTTTCATAAAAAGGCCGTGAGTGACCGGCTTCAAGCAGTTGTCCCTTGGACTCTGCGGTCACGCACCCAGGTCTCCAAGACCAACATTAATCTATCTTCCTTTTTAGGTCCCTCAAGAAACAATCTTCCACGGTGTGGGCAGCCTGTAAGTGACAACCGCCCTCATTCCCGTAACAGCACGAGAGACCAATCTGGTCGAAATCAAATCCTTCCTACACCCACACATACCTCTCTTCTCTCCACAACTAACTCTACTCACATTCTCTTATCTCACTGCACCGCTAATGCAAACAATGCGAGTCCACTAAACGTCATTCCTGGTCTCCTGAAACCTCGTTCTAGTCTATATGTTGGAGCATTTAATGTACGGACATTGTGTCAAATAGGGCAACAGGCTTCATTGGCTAGGACTTTAGAATCTCGTGTCATCGATGTATGCTGCATCTCGGAAACGCGCATACAGGATCCTAGTAAAGTCATTAATTTGATTTCACCTTGTCAAAATAAAGAAGCAGCTCGACTTAACCTTCGTGTATCTGGTGGCCCTGATGCTGCTTCCCGGGGTCTCACTGGCGTAGGTATAGCACTGATTCCTAGGGTAAAACTAGCTATCCTAGACTGGATCCCTGTAGATAGTCGCTTGTGCGCTGTCCGACTAAACGGGACAGTAAGGACTCGGAAAGATAGGGACAATCGCCGTTGCCTCTTCGTCTATCTGCCTATGCCCCCATTGACTGCAGTTCGATAGAGGGCTGTCGCTCGTTCTGGGGTACATGTTTAGATTTAAATCATGCTCTAGTGCGGGCGCGTATTTGTTTGAGGCTTACTGGACGTAGGAAAGATACCCCAGGAAAACCTGTTAGGGTTCTACTTAGTGATAACACAGCCGAGACTACATTTCAGGAGCAACTAGAAAGACAGTTAGGCGACCATGTAGACGATTACCCTCTGGAGGAAGCTTGGAATGATATCAAAAAGGCTGTGGAGACAGCAGTGATATCTGCTAGTAAGGTAAATTATAAGCCTAGGATGAAGCCGTGGATCTCCGTAGCATCTACCAAACTGATGGATGCTCGAAAACTCATCCCGCCTGGCTCTGAACATGATGAGGAGAGAAGCCAGCTTAGGCGCAGGCTGACAAAAAGCCTACGCAATGATCGAGAACAGTGGTGGGTCGAGAAAGCGAGAGAGATGGAAAAGGTAGCGGCGATAGGCAACAACAGACAGTTGTACCGACTTATCAAGGAAACTGGTATTGGGAACTCAAATGTGAGTCAGACTATTTCGGAAAAGGATGATCTTATTATCCACTCTCAATCGAGCAGACTGGACCGATGGGCAGAATACTTTAGGGATCAGTTCAATTGGTCTTCAGATACACTTCGGTTGTCCACGATCCCCAGTCATCCTGGATGGCAAATCGACGTAAGTCCCCATAGTCTTTATGAAGTTGAGAAAGCGTTAGGAGATCTGAAGCGAGGGAGAGCTGCAGGTCCTGATAGACTGACCCCTGAGATATTTAAGGATGGTGGTCCAGTTTTAGCAGCTAGGTTGACTGAGATCTTAGGTAGATTCTGGCAACTGGACATAATCCCATCCGAGTGGCCTCAATCACTGATTGTCCCAATCTATAAGAAAGGATAAAAGTCTTTTTGTGACAATCACAGGGGAATAAGTCTAACTAATGTAGCTTCTAAATTATTAACGTCGAATACACCTAGACGCATAACTGTAGCTCGTGAAGAGCAGACTCGAGAAAACCAGCGTGACAGCGATAGTAGAATTATTAGCAGTAACGGAGGAGATTAGAGTTCGAAGATATGATTCGAAAATTATAATTCAGTGAGATAAATTTAGGAGGAGAAAGACAGACTATGAGGAATTCAGAAGGTTAGAATGAAAAAGCACACAAAGAGTGGATGCACCTGAGTCATTGCAAACGATTCTGAGCCATGTCGTTCAAGGTCTCTAACCATCGGTGACTATCGTCTCGCGGACCCCAACCAGGTAGCCTACATGGTCGTTCAGAGTAGAGGACTTTCGTAGGTTACTAGTCTTCGATCATATGTGTATCCGAAGCATTGCTCGTGTATCCTGGGACGACCGAGTAAGCAATGCTATCGTTAGGAAACGAGTTCCAGTTAAGGATGGCAAATAAACAGACGAAGTAATGCAACTTCATCAGTTGAAATGGTTGGGACATGTGCTGCGTATGCATAACCACGGACTCCCGCAACGATCTATGTTTTGTGTTGTAGGAGTAGGTTGGAAGAAAGTTAGTTGCGGTCAGACCAAAACATGGCAGAAATGTATGAAGTCACTGACATGTGGACTGAGTCGTGTTGGTAGATGTAGGCTACCTGGTTGGGGTCCGCGGGACGAAAGTCACCAATGATTAGAGACCTTGAACGACATGGCTCAGAATCGTTTGCAATGACTCAGGTGCATCCACTCTTTGTGTGCTTTTTCATTCTAACCTTCTGAATTCCTCATAGTCTGTCTTTCTCCTTCTAAATTTATCTCACTGAATAATACTTCTCGAATCATATCTTTGCTCCCTAATCTTCTCCAACTCCGCCAGTAGAACCTTCGGGGCTACTGCCGGTCCCAAGCCCGGGTAAAGGAGGAGGGTTGGACATGGGGTTGGCGACCCCATTCCGTCAAAAACTAACTTGCCAAAAAAACGCTAACCAGAAAAAATAATTCAAACCATTTTAACTCTGCCCTGGGAGTTGGAGGAAGAATTATGACGTCGCGTGATGAAAGTCGAGTTCCCTCGGAAGTCACGGGGCTGATGCCTCTTCTGACAACCAGAGCAACCATTTTTTTAGGTACATGGAACGTTCGTACATTGTGGGAGACTGGAAGACTATTTCAAGTTGCGGCAGAAATGAAACGATACAACCTCGAGGTGCTTGGAATCAGTGAAACGCATTGGACACAAGTAGGACAACTGAGACTAGCTTCAGGGGAACTGCTGTTATACTCTGGTCATGAACAGGAAAATGCTTCACATACACAAGGAGTTGCACTGATGCTGTCCAAACATGCACAAAAGGCACTAATAGGATGGGAATCTCATGGACCCAGGATCATTAAAGCATCCTTCAAAACAAAGAAACAGGACATTACAATGAACGTCATCCAGTGTTATGCACCTACCAATGACTACAATGACGACTTTAAAGATCAACTCTACGAAAGGCTGCAGTCAATCGTCGAAAAATGTTCACCAAAGGATTTGACGACTCTTATGGGAGACCTGAATGCCAAGGTTGGAATGGACAACACTGGATATGGAGACATCATGGGACGACATGGACTGGGAGAAAGAAACGAAAATGGTGAGAGATTTGCAAACCTATGTGCCTTCAACAAACTGGTCATCGGTGGCACAATATTCCCGCACAAACGCATACACAAAGCTACATGGATTTCACCGGATCACACTACTCAAAACCAGATTGATCATATCTGTATCAACAAAACGTTCAGAAGGACTATGGAGGATGTGAGAACCAGGAGGGGAGCTGATATAGCCTCAGATCACCATTTGCTAATCGCTAAAATGAAACTGAAACTAAAGAAGCACTGGACAACGGGGCAGACAACATCACACAAGTTTAATACGGCATTTCTTCGGTATACTGTAAAGCTCAACGAATTCAGGATAGCCCTCACCAATAGGTTCCAGGCCTTTCAGGATCTACACAATGGAGAGGACGCAACATTGGAGAACAATTGGAAAGGGATTAAGGAGGCAATCACTTCAACATGTCACGAAGTTCTGGGTCACAAGAAGTACCATCACAAGGAATGGATCTCTGTTGATACTCTCGCAAAAGTTAAAGAAAGGAGGAACAAGAAGGCAGTAATCAGTGTCAGCCGAACAAGAGCGGAGAAAGTTACCGCACAAGCTGCATACACAGAAGCAAACAGGGAAGTGAAGAAGAGCATCAAAGCTGACAAACGAAAATATGTGGAAGATCTAGCAATGACGGCGGAAAAGGCTGCAAGAGACGGGAACTTAGACAATTGTACGAAACAACAAAGAAGCTGGCTGCAAACTGTCGTTAACCAGAACGACCAGTGAAATGCAAGGAAGGCAAAGTAATCAGCAACACTGAAGAACAGCGAAGTAGGTGGGTTGAGCACTTTCAGGAACTCTTGAATCCACCAGTCTCACTGAACCCACCCAATTCCGAAGCCCACATTTCTAAAATCCTACAACTTTGATTAGATATGGAAACCTCTTTTGAAATGATTTGGCTGTGGAAGAATCGTCACGGGTTCGCATAATGTGAAGTCCGAATTGGTTGGTTGGTTGAAAAACAACCTAATACTCTTCTATAAAATAATATATGGCTTCTCGTTCGTAAAATTCCGCCCATTTAGAAAACCGCGACCTTGCTTCAGACTTAAAAACAAATGATACACATTATTAACGGAAGAACACAAAATGTCATTATGTTTTAATTCCCTTGTAGCACGATATAGTTCAAGATCTAGCAATGACGGCGGAAAAGGCTGCAAGAGAAGGAAACTTGAGACAATTGTATGAAACAACAAAGAAGCTCGCCGGAAACTATCGTAAACCAGAACGACCAGTGAAAAGTAAGGAAGGCAAAGTAATCAGTAACACTGAACAACAGCGAAATAGGTGGGTAGAGCACTTTCAATAACTATTGAATCGACCAGCTCCGCTGAACACACTAAACATCGAAGCAGCATCCACGGACGTCCCAATTAATATTGGCGTACCTACGAGAAAGCATTCGATACCGTGGATAGGAAAACACTGTGGAGGCTTCTTCGACACTACGGTGTGCCTGAGAAAATAGTTAACATCATACGGAATTCTTATGATGGATTCAACTGCAAAATCGTACACGAAGGACAGCTAACAGACTCTTTCGAGGTGAAGACCGGTGTCAGGCAAGGTTGCTTACTCTCACCCTTTCTCTTTCTCCTGGTCATCGACTGGATTATGAAAACGTCAACATCTGGAGGGAAGCACGGTATCAACTGGACAGTTAGGACGCAGCTGCACGATCTGGACTTCGCAGATGACTTGGCTCTTCTATCGCACACTCAACAACAAATGCAAGAGAAGACGACCAGTGTAGCAGCAGCCTCTGCAGCAGTAGGTCTCAACATACATAAAGGAAAAAGCAAAATTCTCTGATGCAACACAACATGCACCAACCAAATCACTCTTGATGGAGATGCCTTGGAGGACATTAACACCTTTACATATCTTGGCAGCATCATCGACGAGAAAGGTGGATCGGACGCAGATGTGAGGGCGCGAATTGGCAAAGCAAGGGCTGCATTTCTACAGTTGAAAAATATCTGGAACTCCAAACAACTTTCAACCAAAACCAAAATAAGGATTTTCAATACAAATGTCAAGACAGTTCTACTGTATGGAGCGGAAACTTGGCGAACTACGAAAGCCATCATCCAAAAGATACAAGTATTTATTAACAGTTGTCTACGAAAAATACTTCGTATTCGTTGGCCAGACACCATCAGCAACAACGAACTGTGGGAGAGAACAAACCAGATTCCAGTGGATGAGGAAATCAGGAAGAAGCGGTGGAAGTGGATAGGACACACATTGCGGAAAGCACCTAACTGCGTCACGAGACAAGCCCTCACATGGAACCCTCAAGGCAAAAGGAAAAGAGGAAGGCCAAGGAACACACTACGCCGAGAAATAGAGAAAGATATGAGAGGAATGAACAAACATTGGACAGAATTGGAGAGGGAAGCCCAGGACAGAGTTGGTTGGAGAAAACTGGTGGGCGGCCTATGCTCCATTGGGGGTAACAGGCGTAAGTAAGTTATCTTCTACATTGCTGCTAGTAATTCTACTATCGCTATCACTCTTGGATTTGAACTGACAGTTACGTCTCTGTCCTACGTGGTATGGCAACCTTAACTGATGTACTTATGTACGAAGTCCTACGTTGTATCTGTCGTATATATATATATATATATATATATATATATATATATATATATATATAAACCTTTTCAGCAGTGTGATTGACAAATAAAGTAGCGTTTCGAAATATCAAATCACATCTTTTCGGATGTCAGAATAAGGTTGCATAACTAAGGAGTATTTAAGGAAATGCAATAAGGTGAGTCGAAATTGGCGTCTGCTTACAGAGCATAGGAAAGACAAAGAACGGATTATAAACGTGGTGATAATAACGAATAATTAAAAAATAAAGGTACTAAAAATACGTTATGGAAATGTATTAACAACGGAATTACCGTCCACATTCTTTTACTAACTGATCTGGAAAACTAAGTGTTGGTTCATGGAAGAACGATATTTTTTGCGTGTCAGTTTTGCATACAGTTGCGGTATAAAAAGAATAGCTGCTAACGCCCCTGCACTATAAGTGTCGTCCATTTGTGCTTTTCCCTAACCCAGTCATCTGACCGCATAGATTATCTTAAAGAATACATCTAGTGGGTTTGTGTAACATGAATTAATAAAACGTTCCAATGTTGATCGTTTTTACTTTTTGTTAATTATCTATGAGTAGGATTATGCAGCCTGAGTATATATATATATATATATATATAATATCTGTGTACACACTATTTGATTTAACAGTGAATGAAACAGAAGTGGCAGTTTTCAAAATGAACGATTTCCTGGCTCAACGTAATAATCCAGAATTTCTTTGGTGAAAAGCAGCACCTAATGTTATCATGAGGCAACTATCTGTATACATATACATGTATGCTTAACATTTGTCTAATTAATCTCCTAGATTATTTTTTAAATTTAATATACTGTCTGCTTTAATTGATTTCTCCGTAACCTTTTGTTGAAACTGCAAGTGCTTGATACTATCACTCCCGAAGATCTACTTTTGATAGGGGTGGTTACATGCTCCTATTTAGTAAAGTTATATCTTAATAAATTGATCCCAGAGTATCTTTGTCAGTATGGTACTGGTCAGCTCAATATCGATAACGCACAATTTTTCGAGAGAAGTTCAAAGAACGTTAGTGAGCGTGACTTTTCCTGTTTACTTGTCAGAAGCCTCTATGGTAAATACGCGACTATCTTGAAATACGATTACAAAGCATTTTGGATTAGTTTGCTTTGAATATTTTAATTTATGTTTAACAATACTATGGTATTGTTCATAAAATCAATGGCAGTCGAAAGATTCATGAATATTTGTAGAAGGATAGGATTTACGTGATCGTAGTTTGCAAAATCAGATTAAAGTATCTGTAGATTTAAAACAAAAAAAGCTGATACAAAGTTGCACGCTGAACAAAATGATCAACATATATAACATTGCAATTCCCCAGCCATGTTATCTTAATGCAACGCCGAAATCATAGTACGATTTTACTCTCTCGTCACGGTCTTACAATCACTGGAAAGTTACTTGGCGCTAAGTATAGTTATTGTACACAACAGCTATTATATAAGAAAACTAGTGAAAGTATTATACTAAAAAATGAAGAAAAATTTCGAAAAGTGATTGCGAGAAAATATACAAATGTTTCTAAATTATATAGGTTGACTAGGATCCAGAAAGCGTCCCAGTAAACAAGTTCAGGTATAAAACGATGCGAACAAATTTACTTGAATTGTTCTACCCATTTCTGTACCAATAAGTCTAAACATGTGAATTGCCAATCCCAATCAGTAGGATACAAATACGGCCGAAAATCAAACCTAAAATGAAGTAGATATTTAACGCATGTTAATCAAGCGTGTGGTATAGCTTAATTAAAAAGCAGAACAAACAGACACTTATTCATAGCCAAGTGATCTGATCTTTTCCCGGAATAAAAGTTTGGTAGCCGACAAAAGCTTCACGACAGAACCATCCAGCTCACAGAACGCGACACCTCCGAAATCCCCATATGAAGCCATAAATATTTCTTTTTATCTAGAAATTGGATTATGAATAACTGTACATCCAAATTAGTCATTATAATCCTACTTTCTTTTTTGGTATTTTCAAAATAATCCCGTTAGTACTTACCTATTAGTCTCATTTCTCGCATTTTTAAGTGATGTATTAGCTCTTTTCACTGAGATTTTTTGCGGTCGACATTAATCTGTCCTTCTTAATGCGATCTTAACGAATTATTCAAATTTATAAATCCAAACAATACGCTTTTCACCAAAGCTTTATGATCTGGAATTTCTTCATTACAATACCAAGCAAAATGTAAGTTTCATGTGCCCTTGTTTATCAAAATGAACTATATGTGTCCCTGAACACGTGGAAGGCCATCAGCTTAAAAAATCTAGTGACTTGAATAATCCCGAAGAATGTACAAAAATATGCTGTAAAGATGGAATAAACATCTTCACCAGCATATTCATACAGAAGAAAAAACAAGATGGTGAGTGTGTGTAACAGTAATTTCTGGGATAAGAGACCTTATATAACAGATTTTTATATGAATTCCAGTGGTTTTGTCAGCACACAGTAAGATGGGAATAAAGTGGGTCGGGTTCTGAGTCACGCCCAAACTAAATTTTTGTGTCCGGTTGACAACCTTGAGATATCTTATTACTACGTGAAAAGTATGTGTATATACAGAAGACAACTCACAGACTGAGTTCGGAAATAGTGCATGGATTAACACTGAAAATAATAAAATTTTACCAACGTCCATAATGTGGGCTAGGTATTTTCATGAAATACCCACGCACATCGGAATAAGATACAACTATATATGGTGAAGTTAATGTGTGATGAAAGAGGGTTACATCAATGTCCATATCACTAACTATAGATACTATACCATTAACAGGTTTCGTTGATTTATTCTCGACGCTACTGCATTAGAACAATTGGATCTTTCTGTCGCATTATATTTTAGAAAAACAACTTTCTAATTGAGAGCGGTTTGTTTGCTTTCGTTGAGTGATGCGACTTACCACAACTCTACCAAGTTTTTGGTTGTTTGCATCCAAACAAATTGCACTGTATTACGCAGTCGTATAGGGCCAATTATTTACAAAACCATTTACAAATGTTAGTGAAGCCAACATTATAACAAGTGAATGATGTCCCTTACAATAATATTCTGTTAAAACACTTTGTAAATGTAAATTCTAACTGTTTCTGATGGTAATGATAACGTTAGGTCAAAAAGAAGATAAACCTTAATCTAGTCGTTAGTGGTTCTTGACTGTTATATCTACAAAATTCATGATATGTAAATCACGACACTGTCTTGTGATTTAGTCGTTAAGTATAAAAGGGTTATACTGCACCTGATTATCTGGAGTAATTCAACAACTAACCAAGTGAACTGTATCTGAGCATGAAATATGTTCATTTTTGTATCACAAATCTGACTACTCCTAAACACCACAAAACAGGTATTTAACAGCCATACAAAATGAACAGTAAAGAAAAAGATCAACTTACCGATTGTCATCAGCACTATATGCCTCAGTGTGATAAGCCGGTGGCAAAGTTGTAGCCTTATGACGATTTATTGCATAGAAACGAAAAAACAACTTCACTTTTTCACTAAGATATTGAGCAAGTCCAGCGCCAGGTTTTTCATCTTGAAAACAACTACCAGGTATAACCTTCTTTATTAGTATCCAACTACCGTCCAGTAATGATTCTAGCATGCTATAAGGTCCACAATTGGATATTTTCCTAAGTCTACCGAATAGTGATAGTTCGTCGTAGGTTAACCCCATTTCACATTCGTCCGTCTGACTAATCTCACCGTTAGGCTGAAGTGGCAGCAATTCAGCTGTTGGATGAGCAGATAAAATCTCTAGCAATACCTCTGAAAGTTTTACTCCACTCTCAGAATCCATATAATTAGGAAACGTTTGAGCACAGTAGGAAATAAATAAGCGCAAATCTAATTTGCTAATGCTTCCAATTGGATTCAAGTCTGCACTAGAACAATCATATCTTCGAAAAAAAGTTAAAAATACAAGCTACTCAGTCATGTGATAAAGTGTTTAATACATTGACATTATGATCTTTGAATACTATTATTTTAATGTTTAGTTGTTTGTTATTAGGAAAGAAAAATTCCGGTTATGTTGACTACCTTAGACTAAAATAATAATGGCGTACATTTTTTAGTCCATCTGTATGAAGTACATTTTAAGAACTGGGAGCAAGGCTTCTTTACTCGTTTTGGAAAAGCAACATCGTAACGAAAGAGAAGTGGAGCATTCAAGGTATTTACTTTCTTCCATGATATCCTGGATTTGAGCACTTTTGATTACCATCAAGCTTGATATATTGTAAGATCGCTCTGGGTTTACTTTGGATTTCGTTTCGCGTTTTCTTAAAACATTTCATCGAACCAAACATTTTGAGTTTGCTGATTCGAATTCAATAGTCTGCATTTTTAGCGTAGGTCAATTAGAAATGTAGTCCAAACCTTGTTCCTTGTTCAGTTGTAAGAACATCTCATACTTTGCTCGATTAGAATACACAGATTAAGTTGCGACAAAATGTATTGAATAATGAGTCGAAAAAACTGATTATTATCGATGATAACATTAGTAACTGGTTACAGGTTTAAATAACAACAACGAAATGGTGGCTTGCTTAAAATTAAGGAATTCCTACTATACTGAGGCAAATATATATGAAGGAGGAATGTGTTTAATTTTAGTAAATTCCAATCAAGTTTTGGTTACAGGTTCAGAGTAGTGCTTCAAAAGAAAAACAAAATTTACGCCAAATACATTAATAAATTTATCGGTTTTGTTTAATTTGAGATATTTTCTTGAGTTGTAAATTAGAATTGCGAAAGCTGGTTAAAAGTCACCGAAGAGGTTATTCTTCATCCACATGATTACAATCTACGTAAATTCGTTTTAAAATCGTGGTAACAATGATTTTTTTCCTTTCACAATAACTGTGAACCTGTGGCTCGAGTTAGATTGGTTATTTGAAGTGACGCTTTTGGAGGGTAAAGAATACAGTACGTGTTGTAGGGTTTTGAGCCCACAACTTCATGGTTAAAACAGTGTGTTTTAACCAGTCAGCACGTCCGACTGGAAAAGCCGTTTGTCTAAAGGCTAGTATATAACAAGTTTAGATAAGCTTAGTAACAAAGGATTTGACTTTCAATGTCATACGGCCAATAAAATTCCATCCACACTTTGACCTTAGTTTAATCAGTAGCTTATGATCAATAATCAGGTTGTACGGGGCGATATTATTTAGTCAATTTATTGTATTATGAGAATTAGTTGTTATTTCATACATATGACAAGCCAGTTGGTTACTTGTCCTGTAGTGTGTATAACCGTTCAGTTTGAAGGTTTACTAGAGAAGTTAAAAACCTGACAGAATCAGAACTCATTAAAATTAGTCAACTAATTTTTTCATCATGGAGTGATTGCAATAAAAGCCACTATATATACTAATTAGTACAAAAAATTTAAATGGCAATAAATATTTCTTGATAAAAAGTTGTCAAATCGCATTTGTAATAGAAAAAGTTTGATAAATTAGAAACATACTTCGTTAAATAACCTCTTAGTCCTTCATCTAGATTCGCGCTACTTAAAACTAACAGACCTGATGGCAAATTCCGATCCCATGGTATTAATTGAGACAGTAAGTATGCTGAAACCATACGACTTCTAGCTTGAATATTTTGAAGAGCTAAACTCTCTTTACTTGAACCTCCATGAACAGTGAAACGAGGTGGTTGAGCAAGATTCAAAGTTTTGGAAGCCATATGGACAAATTCTTTTACCACTGGTGTAATATCGGTCTAAGAAGTATATATAATGTCAGTAGAGGTTAATATGAATTTTATTCAGAACATAAACTCGTCAATCATAAATAATATCAAGGGTAAACAATAATGGAAAGGTTTGTATAAAAAGCAAGTCATCCAAGCAACCAAACCGCTTAATAAGTAAAACCTTGGAATTTGAATTTAAGTATGAATACAAACACTGGAATTTAAGAGATGGAGTTATACGCCTACTTGATGAGTTTCTAAATAACACGAGACGCGTTACCTGAGTTTTACTATCAGTCACTAGCAAACACTACTTGGTAACGAGATGGCATAAATCTTCTCTAAATAGCTGATTAATACGGATTTTTCCAAGTTTTAAGATAGTTTTCTTGACAAAGTGAGATCAACTTGAAGACCATATTGCCCTTAACAACTGGTTTAAACTACTTTCAGGCACCTGGGCGATACTATTCTAGGTAAACCTAAGACAAACATCGCCAAGAAATGAAAAGCATCAAATACCGACTCAATGGTTTGAAAAAGCCGGATTCAAAGAGAGAAATGAAGGATTTATGTGGAGTATATACGTCATGCACACTTCTAAAGAGTCTTAGGGCGGGTATTAAACAAAATGTCCACTCGTTTCAGGTGTTTTTTGGTCCTACAGTTGACACAAGTTTATGGTGAAAACTAGCATGTAATAAAAATCCCTGTTGTTTCTTTTTTCTCCTTTTTAATTTAGTTTTACAGGTAATAAAAAGTCTTCAGTCTCGGAATACACCATACAAAAATTGGTTCGCTACAGTGGTGAATGCTTCGTAACTGTCGAATTAACCTTTGGAATAGCGTAAAACGATTGAAATTTAATTACTTCTAAGTGATTTGAACCTATAAGTTTAGCTAAACGATCAGCGCGTAATCTTGTATGCGTAGAGCTGTTCTGACTTGACATAAAACACGTTGTTAGTAGACGAGAGCACAACTGACGACCACTCTCAGGAATATATTTATCCGACTCATTCAAGATAATACGTAAGTCGTGGGTAACGGACGAGTTACCTTGTCTTACAGCTTGAAATATCTAAAATAAAATAAAAAAGTAAGTATTTAACAGTATTATATTTTAGTAAATACGTAATAACATCTGCTAAATATTATATACAGTAAGATAATGCACCACTATATATATGTATACTAAATTCTCAGTAAAAAATCTGAATTCATTTGTTAGTTATTATTCAGTAAACATTGTGAAATGCCTGGCTGATTATTTGAATTTTGATAGAAGAATAATACAACAAGCATGTCCTTGACTAGCAGTACTCCAGTAAACCACCTAACTTCTTTAATTAATAAGTTGGTCACTGGTTAGTTGAATCAAATACGATCATTGTGGTATATAATGGCACCCCAAAATTTGAGAATACGCTTGAGACAATAATCAAAATAACGAACAAATCAAGCTAGGAAAGATAATACACATACGACATACATTTGTGTTTGCCAGAAGACATTACTGATGCAGGTGCTAGTTACGTTCGAAAAGTGCATTACTGCTGCCGTATCTTGATACAGTCGGGAGTAAAACTTTAATATTAGATTCTAGATCTGCTGTTCTTTGCCTTCTCATTTTGCTGACTACCTGCTAGATATGGCAAAATTCCAAGAAAAAACCGTTCCAGCTAATATAGCTCCAGTGAGTCGTCAAAACAGGAGAGTTAGAACAATACACTAAGGTATCAGTAATAGTAGAGATAACTTCTATTCTACGACAAATTACTCATGAATAGGACTTTAGAATAGCTAGTTTTTCCAATTTTTTGAATAACACTCAATTACAAAGTAAACGAGTTTACATTTTCGAACGATGATAGTGAGTTATTTACGACTAAATAAATAACTAAATGACTGATTACTGAAATGAAACTTTCTAGTGAAATAACCTACTTGATTACAAAGAAAGAACACAATACACGCAACTGCTGCACTGTCCAAACCTCCACTAAGGCAAAGAAAAAATCCTGAAGACTTGCTTCGGCGTAAATTATCCCACAACCACAATGCAGGACCACAAGAAATCTCTTCTGAAGGTGAGAGAATACGAGTATTAAGGTGTGGCTGTAAGGATTGGTGAGACCAATGATCACTATGGCAGAGATTGAAATCAACCTAAAAATGAAAACGATCTAAGTGATTTTTACAAATTAAAGCATGAACTTATTAGAATTTTTCGCTTACTTATGGAAGGGATGTTTTGATGGTGCAAACAGATTTAAGTGAAGAGTGATACTGAGCGCTAGCTGCGTGTATGAAGACCGAACATTCTGTAGGTCAATGAAGGCGTTACACAGGCAACCTATTTCTCTGGGTACGACCGATAGTAGGGTGTCCGTTGTCCCCTTTGAAATGCTCTCACATAGCCACGCGAGTATAGTCAATGACAGAGAAGTCTTACTCAAGGCCTTTTCGTTGCGGAGGTGCTGATCATGAGAAGGCGAAAAGCGAATGTTCCGCACTTTAAGCGGGCAAGTAGGAACAAAGGGTTCATCTAGGGGAGTTAGAAAACTAGATTTCATCAAATCAATGGATCATATGTGTTCCATGATCTTGATGGGGAACCTATTATTGGTGGCCGTCTACCATGGGACTGAATATCCTGACGTTGCTCCCCTACCTTTTGGAATAGACCTTGGAGTCAAAGGCTTGGGGATTGGTCCCGCAAGAGATCCGCCTGCTTGGGTTTGAGCAGACGGTCAGTATTCCAGCCCGTTAGCTAATCCAACAATTTACATAGCGCATAATTACTTATGTAACTCCCCCTCGATCCCCTCTGAGGCTACTGTTGGTCCCAAGTTCAGAAAAAGGAGGAGGGTTGGGTATTGGGTTAGCGACCCCATCCCGTAGGAAACCAAATCGCTAAAACAACATTAACCAGAAAAAATATTTTAGACCATTTAAACTGTGATCTGAGAGTTGGGAAGCCTTCGTTTAGAAGAGTTATGACGTCTCGTGATGAAAACCGGGTTTCTCCGGAAGTCACAAGGCGAATGCTTCTTCTAACAACCAGAGCAACCATTAATTTAGGTACGTTGGATGTACGTACATTGTAGAAGACCGGGAATTGCTGCAGAAGAAGATACAAAGTGGTGGTACCTGGAATCAGCGAGAAAGGTTGGACAATAAAGACTGGCTTCAGGAGAGATAATGCTGTACTTCGGTCATGAAGAAAATGCCTCACATTCACAAGGAGCTACACTGACGCTGTCCAAGAAGTACAATATACACTTATAGCATGAGAATATCATGGACCCAGGATCATCAAAACCTCCTTCAAAAAGAGCGGATAACAATGGAAATCATTCAGTGCTATGAGTCTACCAACGATAACAATCGAGATTTTGAAGGTCAATTCTATGAGAGGCTGCAGTCAATCGTCGAGAAATGCCCAAAGAGGACTTGACCATCTCGATTGCCAAGGTTGGAATGGACAAGACTGGAGGAATAAATTAGGAGGAGGAGGCGCTGGAAGTGGATAGGACACATTGTGGAAACCATCCAACTGCGTCACAATATAAGCCCTCACTTGCAATCCTCAAGGCCAAAGGGAAAGAGGAAGACCGAAGAACACATTACGCCGAGTATTGGAGACAGACGTGAGAAGAATGAACACTAATTTGATAGAGCTGGAGAAGAAGGCTCAAGAGAAAGTAGTCTGGAGAATGCTGGACGGCGGCATATGCTCCACTGGTGATATTAGGTGTAAGTACTAAGTAAAAAGTAATAACTTAGATGCCCTTTCGTACCAATGTTTGTGTTTAAATAAATAAAATATATTGAAGAGTGGCAAAAAGTTACGGACACACTAATGACAAACAACATAAATTTTGTGTGTACAAATGTTTTTTACGAGCTATAAACGATATATTTAGGCGCATAATAAGAACAGATGGTTGGTTCACTTAATATCAAAACTCTGGTAAATAAATTACATGCCGGTAAACCCTTCATACGGCTTTAAGAATGTTGTTTGAAATTTCATTACTCTACAAGAGTTAATTCTTACGAACACTCCTTTCAGCATCAATTTATAAACTGTTTTTAGTGGAATAGAAAACAGAATTAATTCTAAACGTCCGTTAGTTATTTCGGAGTTGCTGTCCTGTAATCAAAGTATTATGTTCTACAAATCTGAATCTTGTCATGTACAACAAGATCCATACCTACAGCTTGAATCATTAGCCGTCATATAAAAGTTAATGAACCTGTACTTGATTGTATAGTTGCGTTTATACTATTTCAATAACCTGTAGTTGCTTTTTAACGTGATATTTTCCCATATTAAGTGGGGTCGGTTCTTTAAGAACATGAATGAAATGGTCAATGATAATAGAAAATATATATCTAATCGGTACGGTATTGTTAATCTCTGATAAGTCATTATTCAATAAATTTCCGGCTCTGGTTAGTTAGCCCCATTGTTATTTTTCTCGAATTCTTGAAATGCAATTTTTGATAAAAATAAATGAATCGTATGATAATAAAAAAAGGGCTTCGGTATTTCGCTCAGTGTTTTAAACGGTAAAATTATATCCAATAATTGAATGAAAGTTCGTACCTTAACTACTGGATAATGATTGTGCGCAATGCCAAATGTATCATATTTCTTAGCTGCAATAGCTGCAGCTGCGCGTCCAAAACAACGACTAGTAATTCGTTTTGATCTGAGAGAATTCAAGCAAACAGTGACAGTTTCAACGGAGACATCTCCAAATCCAAACTGTGGGCTCATATGAATCAGCTGACCGGAAATAGCAGCTAATGCACAACCATCGTAACAAGCCCTCCCAGAGTCACATCCCCGAAGGTTTGTATATGCATACAATCCACCCCCGTTTGCTCTGCTGGCAGATTTCACTAGTTCTATTCTTCTATTTAGTTTACGTAGTTCGTGGTGACTAGCACTAGCATTCAGTACAGCATCAACACCAGCTGCATACATATCCATATGAGGTGGTGTTCCCGTCCAAAGTTCTTCGCATGTTTCCAAGCCTATTTTTACATATTCAGAATAGCCATCTCCAGAAAATCGTAAAATAGCATCACCAAAAGCTGTTACTGACTGTGAATTCTTGGTAACTTTACGGACTATTTCGGGCAACTCAAAGTCGATGATTTGTTGGTGATGAGGCCAAGGTGTAAACCAACGAGATTCTCTATGCAATCCTTCGTCAGCAAGGACCAATTTCGGTCGTATTAGTAGAACAGTCCCATTTAACAACAGAATTCTGCAGTTATAAGCTACACCTCCTAGTAAAACTGGCATTCCAATATCACACACAATATCCTGCATTTCAACATTTTCATTTGTTTCATGCAAGATTTTTGCAATACATTGCCATGAATGAGTATAAGTATCTAGTTCATGGAAATGATCTTCACATCCATAACTTGAGACCTCTAGTTCTGGACCAACTCTATACTTGGCTCCCAAACGTTTGGCAGTCTTAATACTTTCAATTACACGTTCAGTATTTCCATTGAAGTCAAGAGCCCATTGATTCAGTACGCAAAGAGCAACAGTAAATTTGCTGGAGACTGGAGACAATGGCATAACTTCAGAAGATATTAAGTCCCTGATTTAAAATGCAAACTGCACGTTATACGCTTCTGCAAATAAAACACTTTAGAAGTGGATAAATGTTACCCATAAAAACATAGTTAGGTATGAGTAAACAGAACGTTTTAATTTAGATTACGAAAAAAAGGTGAACCAAAATTTGTGTTGAGTGGTATTATACTACAGAGAACAGGTAGAATGGAATAACACTATCAAGAGATTACCACTCTATTAAAGTTCAAACTAACCAATACCTTATTCGCTGAAAATAAATTGAGAAACCACTACTGTAGAAGGGATCTTTTTAGTGAAGGATCGTTATTTTTATTGTTCCTGAGTTTGTGATTTTCCAAGAAAAGCCTGAACTGAATAATTTGTAGTACATTCATAATCTAATATGGGCGCTCTGCACGAAAACCAACTAATAAAAAATTTAAATGCGCCCAAGCATTAGACTGAAGATTTAGAATGTACTTTCAGTGGTATGTGGATGACCACTGAAACTGACATCTCGTAATCACTTACGTTAGGAAACGATATTGCCCGACCGTAGCTGCTACGTTAACGTGGTGGTCGGCCTTGACTATCGTGATGACCCAACCGAGCTATGTTGGCTGAAATATATATATTCCTGAAGGTCCTACCACACCAGGCAGTTCGACTGGAGAGCGATGAGACTAAAAGGAGCTACTCAAGTTCTGAAGGCCAAGTCGTACCACTGACTGCAGAGGGGTGTGACAGCAGTAAGGTGTTTTCCTCGGACAACCAGCATCTGCAGAGATACTGCCTTCTCACAAGGAAGGAAGGGTTAGAAAGGGTCTCCAAGACCCACACTAATCTATCTTCCTTTTCAGGTCCCTCAAGAAACAACCTTACACGGTGTCATGAGGCCAATGTCCCTTCTGACAACCAGAAGCCTTTGATGGTGTGGACAGCCAGGAAGTGACAAACGCCCTCAAACCCGTAAAAGCACACGAGACCAAATTGGTCAAAATCAAATCCTACCTAAAACCCCCAGTACCTCTCTTATCTCAACGACTAACTCTTCTCACATTCCTTTATCACACTGCACAGCTAATGCAAACAATGCGAGTTCACGAAACGTTGACCTGGACGCGGCTGTATAGACCACATTTTCACACTATGACAGGTCCCGGAAAGCAGACACACATTTAAGCGTCCTACAATAGTTGTCTTCCTGGAACTAAAAGCGGCATTCGACTCAGTGGACCGTAAGGTTCTGTGGCAGTGTGTCATTGAAAGGTGTACCAAAGAAGTACATTAACCTTATACAAGCTCTCTGCTCGAACACCACTGGTCGGGTGAGAGCCTATGGCGAACTGTCATCTAAATTCTCTACATCAAGTGGTGTCCGTCAGGGTTGTCCACTCTCTCCATTCTTGTTTAATTTTATCATAGACATGCTCTTAGAAATAACCTTATCCTCGTCTGAATTTTCAGGAGTAGACCTATAACCAGGAGGCTCGTTTATCGACTTAGAATATGCCGATGACGTAGTCCTACTTGGTGAAGACGCTGACAAAATGCAGTCTTCTGACCACCCTAAGCAACAATGCAAGCATGTTCGGGATGCGGTTCTCACCATCGAAATGCAAAATGTTGCTTCAAGATTGGGTTTCACCGTCACCTGAACTAGTGATAGGGAGTGAAGTAGCCGAGCGTGTTGACCACTTCACGTATCTGGGGAGTCTCATCAGCGCTGATGGGCTGGTGACTGACGAAATCTCAGCGCGGATACAGAAGGCTCGATTGGCTTTTATCAACCTGCGTCACTTATGGCGCAGGCGAGATATCCGTTTGCTGACTAAAGGACGAGTGTACTGTGCAGTAGTTCGCTCCGTCCTACTATATGGCTGTAAAACATGGCCAGTGAGAGTAGAAGATATTCGTAGGTTACTGGTTTTCGATCATAGGTGTCTTCCAAGCATTGCTCGTATATCGTGGGACACCCGAGTGAGCAACGCTGTTATTAGGAAACGGGTGCTAGGTAAGAATGGCAGATCAATAGATGAAGTAATGAAACTTCATCAGTTGAGGTGGTTGGGACATGTGCTACATGTAAAAAAAACTACAAAACCGGATAACTATCGACTCCTATACTAAGAGATATAAAACCTCTCGCATTACATGACCTTACCGAGTAGAGATAGACCGTATATGTTCTTCCTTTACTCAGTAATCTTTCGTGCAAAGCGCTATATTACGAAATAAAACCCACTTCATTTGTTCGTCCGGCTCCATAATTGATAAGTGATACACAATGCGAAAGTTCTTCGGACCTGTGTTACGTATGGCTAACCACCGACTGCCTTGACGAGCTTTGTTTTGTAGTGTAGGAGTTGGTTGGAAGAAAGTTCGGGGCGGCCAAACCAAAACATAACAGAAATCCATGAAGTCATGGACAAGTGGACTTAGCCATGTCGGTAGTTGTCGACCACTTGGTTGGGGTCCGTTAGATGATAATAATCGATGGTTAGAGACCCTGAATGACATGGCTCAAAAACGTTTGCAATGGCGCTGGTGCATTTATTCTTTATGTCCTCTGAAATCCTAATCTTTTGGATCCATCAACCCCTCTAGTTTTGACTTTCTAAACTTTTCTCACTGAATCATACTTCTTGAATAATATCTTCTAATCCCAACCTCTTCGATTACTTCTAATACCTTTACTACCTCTTCTACTATTAGATTTGAAATGACAATTATACATCTGTGCTGATGTGGTATGGCAGCATGAACTAATGTACTTACGTACGAAGTTCTACGTTGCATCTGACTGACTGACTGACCCCAAAAATGTCACACCTCACCCTACCTCACGGATTTCCGTCTCCGGCGGTAAGGGAGCCCACTAAGGGCTTTTAAGAACGGAGCTAATACTCAAAATACGTTTCGTAAAAAGGCCGTGCGTGACCGGCCTTAAGCAGTTGTCCCTTTGGCTCTGCGGTCACGCTCCCATGTCTCTAAAACCGACACTAATCTACCTTCCTTTTCAGGTCCCTCAAGGAACAACCTTCCATAGTGTGGGCAGCCGGGAAGTGACAACCGCACTCAAATCAGTAATAGCAAACGAGATCAAATTGGTCACAATCAAATCCTTCCTACACACCCTAACATCTCTCTTATCTCCACGACTAACTCTTCTCACATTCCCTTATCTAACTGCACCGCTAATGCAAACGATGCGAGTTCACGAAAAGTTATTCCTGGTCTCCTGAAACACCGTTCTAGACTACATGTTGGAGCTTTTAATGCACGGACATTGTCAAATGGGGCGACAGGCTTCCTTATCAAGGACTTTAGAATCTCGTGTCATCGATGTATGCTGCATCTCGGAAACGCGCATACAGGATCCTAGTAAAGTCATTAATTTGATTTCGCCTTGTCAAAATAAAGAAGCAGCTCTATTTACTCTTCGTGTATCCGGTAGCCCTGATGCTGCTTCCCGGTGTAGATATAGCATTGAATCGTAGGGCAGAATTATCTTTCCTAGACTGGATCTCAGTAGATAGTCGCATGTGCGCTGTCCGACTAAACGGGACGGTAAGTATTCGGAAGGATAGGGACATTCGCCGTTGCCTCTTCGTCATATCTGCCTACGCTCCCACTGACTGCAGTTCAGACGAAGTAAAAGATGAGTTTTACAGAAAGATTTCGGACCTCCTCCAAACAGTTAGGCGCTCTGATATAAAAATGATGTCTTGTGACTTCAACGCTCAAGTTGGTAGACTAAGTGAAAAGGAAAGACACCTGGGTGGATCTTAAGATGTCGCGGCCGTCTGTTGCAAAAATGCTCAGATAACCGCCTGTTCCTAGCAAACACTAACTTTAAGCATAAGGTAAAACATCTTTTTACCTGGCGATCCTCAAAATCGTCTCGACGCTGGACCAAAATAGATCACATCGCCATCAGCCACCGGTGGAGAGGTTTGATAGAGGACTGTCGCTTGTTCTGGGGCACATGTCTGGATTCAAATCATGCACTAGTGCGAGCGTATACTTCTTGAATATTATCTTCAAATCCTAATCTCCATTAGCAGTAATACTTCTACTATCTCAACCACTATGGGATTTGAAATGACAATTGCGTCTCTGTGCTAATGTAGTATGGCAACTGATGTACTTACGTACAAAGTTCTACGTTGTAACTGACTGGAAACGATTCTGTGAATACACAAGATAGCATCTGCCGGAATGGCACTAAGTTTTTGAACGTTGTTAGATGGTTGAGTATAAAAAACACACTGAAATGCTAACACATTAACGTCAAACGTCGTGGCATAATAGATCTAATTTCGACTTCCATATTACATATTTTAGTAATCAAATATTTATTCTCTCGTGAAAATATCATCTTTATTTTCTGATTGGGTTTCCGTTATGACTTTCAACAAGTAAATCTTAAAATCTTATATTCAGTTGGTCTTTACTATACAAAGCACAATAAGTGGAAGACGGAATACACAGAGCATACTAGTAAGCGATAATTTGTGGGGCCCTTTACCAAAGGTACGTATTAAAAGAAGCTAATACCTTTTCTACAGTCAGATACGCACCAGTGCACATAAATTTAAGACGGAGCTTTCAGCAGTTATGATAAAAAAATAAGTTGAATGACTGTAACTTCTCGAAGTTGGAAAATAATAGTGGTCCCAAAACGGTGATCGAAGTAAGAGTGCTCAGATCACTAGGCTACCAAAACTTGAAATAAAAGTAAAACGTTTCTTTGAAAATTTGGTTAACGAAATGTATATGATTATAAAAATGTATCAGTTAAAAACGTATTCTGCCAGAGAACTGTATTGTCTAGTAATTCTTACGGTTGTGTTCACTGTACCTGCGTATTTAAACGGGCTAATGGTTTTTTACATGGAACTAATATACGAGTGTAACTTTGTTCGACAGGACTCCGGGGAAACAAAAGCAGAGTAGTAACAGAGAATGGATTTACACCATAAACACGATGCAATATTTTGATTCGGTGCTGAATAAAGCTCTTGTGTGGGCGAAAAGAGCCCTCATGAGCATGTTTCAAATACCAAGTCATAAACATAGATGGAAAAATCAGAGGAAAATAAAAGGGATAAAAATCGTCATGAATGGTACAGAAACCTTCCGCAGAAAGAACAGCAGCATTGAAAAATAGAAATAACTGCTGATAAAAATGAAACGAGAGGTAACACCGACAACGGAACAATCTCCAAGAAATGGAGAAAACTCACTCACCAACCTTGAAAAACCTTACAATGCGGGCTTCACTAAAGGCCTAACTCGTGCATTCAAGGTCATATTAGGTCCAATCTTTTTCACAAACTAGTACAAACCAGTTGGTCTTTGGGTGTTTGATTCCTACCCTCTTGGTACGATTCCAAGTATTTGGTATTGTGTCGCATTAAAGAATTTTTTATATAACGAGCACGTGGTTTCAGTTTCAGTTCGGGAAAAGTCTGGGTCTCATCTATTGCAGCTTTTCCGCGGTTATTGAATTTTTGGTGTGCTCATAAATTCCCTATTTTGAAGGACAATAAAAACGAGTGCACATCAGACAAAAAATTATCATTAGGTTATTTAAAACCTGTGATTATGTCACCTCTTGTACTTCTATATAGCAAAGGAAACAGGTTTCATTTGACCAATCTACTTTCGTAGATCATCCTTGAGGTTCCTGGAGTCAGGCAAGTATCAGCTCTTTAAAACGTTTCCGATACCTCCCTGTCTTTTTATAGGCACAGACTGGCGACTTTTATGCGATACTTACATTGTGAATTGACAAAATCTATGAAAAGTAGTTTTTTTAGTAGAACAGCATGCAATAATCTTGAAATCATGAGACCGTCACGACGTAAGAAACCAACGAATTAGGAAGACTAAGAAGGTCATCAACACTAGGGAATATGTATAGCAATACATCATGCTGAGAACAGCTTCCAAGATATAGAGGCGCCATTTATTTCCCACCGCGAATGGGGTTCTGAAAAGGGAAAAAAGAGAGAAATAAAAAAAAGGCAGCAGCAAGGAAAGTGTATTTATATAACCAAAGCACTATCTAACCTGTCATGCTGAAATAGTCAAAACAGTGGTAAGACAAGGTAAAATTTATACTGACCCCTAAAATTAAAGTAAATTATGGGAATATAAGAATATAACCCAAAAATGAAGGAGTACAGCAGTGAGGAACAAAGAATTGTGGAGTGGTGTCATGGTGTCACGCTTTAAAATTCATCAAGACATTCATCTCCAGTTTTGCTCTCTGGACTCTCTGAGTCTGAAACTTGCGTGGTCACTGGTCTTGGTGAATTTTTATTTCTATTAAAGGTATGTGTGGTTTGTGCGCTCGCTGGGTCGTCGTCCCACATCTTTTGTTCTTCTATTTTTTAGTTCTCTTCGCTTACGCTACTCTGAATGCTCTCTCAAGAGACCAGATGCTTTCTGGCCAGATGCGAACTGCCACAGACGGTTAATATACAGAAAGAATTGATTCGGAACCGAGTATTAATCTTCTTGACGCCATTCCTCAGGTTTCTGGGAGAAACAACTGTTAGTCTCCAGAAAAATCATGATTATTGTTTGAGGTGTAGAGTTACTTTTCGAAGTGTAGCATAATGTTAAAAAACTAAACTGTTAAATAATATACAGTTCTACAGATTACAGTAGGAAAGTCTCAGTGACTTCACACACAAGTGATTCTTCGTTTCATAAACGTTTTTATTGCTGTAACTTTTCAGAAGTAGCGAGTAAAATCCTTTTTTCGACTTAATTGCCAACCCTTGTTTAAAGTAGGATTACCCGGTAGAAAGTCACCTTAGTTCAAGGTCACAATCATTTGTCAAAACGCCATACAAAACTAATATCAATAAAACTGACCAGTTCTACCACGCTAGATCGTAATGGACCGTAAGTGAATTTAGGCTTTCGCCCCACAGACGTCAGTGGTTTGAGATTCTCCAGTTGATCGCTATCCAAACTTCATATATTCCGTAGAAAAAGGCAACTTAGTTTTCAGTAGATAGCTTAGTACTAAAGTATGTGACAAAGAAATACCTTCGAATTTAGTCTATTTGAATTAGAGGTATTTTTCAGTAGCAGTATTTTTCCAAGCCAAGTTTCATTTATAGTTTTAATCGTTGTTACGCGTCAAATATACTTAATGAACTATAATCCATTTCATTTCAGTTACAATAACAATTACAGTTTTATGTTTTTTGCCAAGGCTTACTTCTTGTCTCCAGTAAATTGGGTTAACTAGTTATATTCTGATGCACATTTGTATTGTACAGTTATTAGTTCGAGTTTTCTGGTTATCACTGTTTGTCTTCGCATGTTTTTAAACCACTCCAAAACTTTCTTAATACCTGGGTGGTGGTAACAATTGCCAACGCTAGCGCTGTTTATAAACCATTGACAGTGGGGTCCACTGAGATGATTACAAGGCGGGTAACTACGAAGTATTTGTAAATTCAGCGTTTAAAACTTTCAGACTGTTAAACATTGAAACAGGAATAGTCCAGAGTTAAATAAATTTTCGTAATGCAACAGGTATCTAGCAATGCGGAATATTCGTTTTGGGATCAGTGCTTCTACAATTTGGCTGATTCTAAAGTCGGTGTCTTTTAGCGAACAGAAAGGCTTCCTTTGTCATCGTGGTGCCCCATATATTATGGTTCTATGTCGCCTAAGACTGAAAAGAGAAAATTCTGGAATGTCTTCTCAAGCTTATTTAATCATGTTGGGATTCCGCAAAGCAGTAATATATTTCAACGTGGCGTGCATTTTCATCGTCAGTCGTCTGAATCGCTTCCGCACAAAACATTCCAGGATACTATGGTTTTTGTCAGAATATTAAACTGGGGTTTATAATTAAGCAGTGTTTTACAGTAAATGTATTAACATTTCTGAAATTTCGAACTAACCTTTTAACTGACATGCCTCATATAACACATTTATATCTGAAATTAAACTGTTATTACTGACTATTTTGCTGATACAAGAAACAAGAAAGGGATAAACAAAGGCATAGCGAACGAAGCTTTGATTCTGTTATGCTATAAAGACGTGAGCTGAATGCGGAGGATGCTAAAGTCGTGATCCAAATGAATGTTAGATCTCTAATAGGCGTGAAATCACAATGTATAGATACCTGTAAAAATTGGATAATGTCTAGGTTCAGAAAACAGTTAGTGATGATGATACTGTCCTATCATTCCAGCTTGATTAGATTCAACTTGAAAATTTGGTAAAGGATAAATAAATTCTTCAAAACTCCTGGACGAGCTAAATCCACCAGTGATATGTCGTGAACAACATGCAATTAAGATCAGTTTTTTCCGGAAGTACCAATAATTGGAAAAGATATTATCGTTTTGATGCAATCTGATGTGTAATCCAATTCTAATTGTGACAAAAATTAGGAAATTATGAAGTGAGCTGATTTCGATGTATGTAGTACCGAAATGAGTTTGAACCAGAAATATTCTCTCTTTTGCCAATCGCTAATTCAATACAACTCAGAGGACATAGTAAAAAAGTACTAGAGCCAAGAAGGAACAATAGAATCGTGGAATCCAGATTTCCACACCAACTATGACCTTGAGTGTTGACTACAGAGCCTTCAATTGTTTCACCCAAATTCAATTTCACCTTTGGCTTCAGTTATAAGGATTGTACGTCGGTAGACATATGTTTATCCTTGCAGATTGTCTTCTGATGAAAATTCGGCTTCTCCTTGAAAATGTTCACTGGTGAATCTGACACCATTTGCTAGAGTAAAGAGTTACAGTCAATAACCACTCAATAGGGAAAGCGGAATTCCTCTCTGAGTTTACTAGAACGTGGTATTTGAACCTTCTTGCAGAGGCCTATAAGATGGTGATTTTTTGAGGGAGCGAAAATCGAAAAAAAGTTAACACCCTCAACTTTCTTCAGGTACGGAATGCCAGTTTAAGACCGCTTAGCGTTCTATAATAAGACGAGTGGAAAACATTTAGACGTTTTATGTGCTCATCGTAAGAGGGTTTGAAAAAACGCTTCAGTAACTTAATCCCCACACGCTGGATGCAATATAGTGTAATAAGATCTTTAAACAGGGATGGACCAGCTGTTTGGTTGCAATAAACCTGATGAGCTCTCACATAAATAGGGTATAAAATATACTCTCCAAAGCATTTCAGTGCTCGGCAAGGTAACCATACAGCAGGAAAACCTTCGCGGCTGCTGCATCATAATGTGTAGTCGTCCTCAGGTTGTAACTTACTGTAAATCCGAAGAGTCTTTTTCCTGTGCAAGTGGTAACGAAGTATCGATGGCATCATGGTGGTGACTACTGACGTACCTACAGTTTCTTAGCACACCCTTCCTGTGATCAATTCCTACGATCCAACTTTGGGACTATCTAACCAATTCGTCTTCTTCAGCCTGGAGTTCAAGATCATCAGATCCCTCAACTGTTTTGATCCAGATTTTCAGATCATCCACGAACAACAATGCCAACAAATCAGACAGTTGTGGTAGTTGCGCGCGCTTCAAAATTGACGTGTTTTCGCCGACCCATCACCACAGTAAACAATCCAATTTTCGACACCATAGTGGTGGGTTTAACCTTTTCCGAAGACATAAACTTTGTCAATGGGGCAAAACACTTTCTTTGTTAAGGCTCCTCGCGATACAGCGGGACGTAAATAACCGAAGATATTGATGTTTCTTCTCTATGTCAACCACGTCTATGACCTATGTTTGTGTTCTGTCACTGGTTTCACTTCGTACGAATAAATACTTTTGCAAGCTGATCTAGGCAATTATTTTGAAAAAGGGCTCACATGTGTCTTCTTAAGCAACGTTCTTGATAAAAAGAATAAAAAACAATAAATTAAATATCACAAAAGCATCAAATGATTATGTCTTCATCATCAAATTCTATAAATGAAGTACCTAGTCCTACGCCTGAAATATTAGCACTGACACTGCCTGAGAGTCTGTTGCTATAACCAGAATTATTATCCGGTGAATCTCAACAAGATCAATACACATTTACTTCATCGATTCTTGTCATATACATACATCCATGGATTTGACTTGGATTGATTTTCAATCAAAAGTAGTTGGTTGCAATGCTAACGACATAACTCGAGCCGACTATTGCATTGTGCATTCCAGAGTGTAATATTTAAAATTTGATATGGAAAATATTGGCTCCTCTGAAAAACCCACAGTATGTTATGAAATATTTATCTAACTGAACAACCTTTTACAGTATATA